GGCAACACTGCCCCAGGGATAAGGGCCGACTATAGGGCTACAGTATTTGGGCGTTCAGAAACTTAAAGTGGCCTTTAGGAACAACCGGGTTTTAGGGTCAGGTAGGGTCAGCTTCTTCATTAGTTTCTTCAATTCGCCGTGTTATCATTATCGATCACTATAACTGGAGCCTGCAGTGCGACTTATTCTACTCAAGGCACGTGGAGGCTCGAGTTCGCTGGAGTTTAGGAAGGTTCAAATTTTAGGGTCATATGTGTGCAAATTAATGGTGATGTGGAAGCATGACAAAACTCCAAGTCGGGCCTCCTTGTCACCGGAGCCAGCTGGAGGGCTATCCCAGACCTGGGCCAGGACTGTTTCCGGTATTGTTTGTGGCAACCTGGAACCTGCTGCAGAAAAAAGCTGCACACCGTAAACCCCAGAAAAGTAGCACTCGATGACCTCAGCATTTCGTCCGAGGGACACTCGCAATATCGGCCCACATTTGTTTGGTCCATGTGGGCTCCGGGTTGATCACGGGCTTGACCTACAAGCGAGAATATCTATAGTTATAATATGTGCAGTAGCAAACGGCGTGGGGATCGGTAATGGCCAAGCCTCATCTTCGTAGCCTTCTTCGGGCCACCCATCCTCGATAAAGTCCGGATCCTGCCGAAATATAAATCCAGCTTCGAATGGATGGGCTATGTCAGCTCTACTCATGAAATGTTTCTCCAATGATTGGTCCTGATCCCACCACTCCTCATCAGCGGGGTCGTTGTCGAGGCCTGTTCTTTTCAACTCCTGTTGCCGTCACTATATGTATGTTCATGGCAGGATTTAGCATTGTCCTCGGCCCACCATTTCTCATCGTCGATTTCGTCGGCGCCTTGCTTGTCCTTTCCTTCTTTGACCTGTCGGCAATCTTAGGTGTGCATCCAGAAACTCAGATCAGTGGCAAAGCGGGTCGATCCTCAGCAGAAGGAGTCTGCGTGTCGTCCTGTCGGGTTGCGACTGAATCTGGAATACAGATCTGATACGAACCAATAAACATCGACCTGCCTCTGGCCAGTCATCATTCGGCGCTGTGGGCTCCTACAGCGAAACACGGACTGCATGGGCCCATGGAATTTACTTGCATGGGTCCTTTGCAAAGATCGTACCCTTCTCTTCGGCTTGGGCTTCGTCCTGCCATAAACACTAATATAACCTGACTCACAAGCAAACACCAACGAAGTCCTCCTCCCATTCATCTTCCTGAAGATCTTCTTCTTCTCCAAGGTCCTGTCATAGGCACTGACCCAAAAGTCCAAAGATGCATACAACTGAATTGCAAAGTCCTCGACCCAATCGTCGTCTTGCTCGGCAACTGCGGAATCGGGCCCATCCTGTCGCAAAGCCAAAACAACCGAAAGGAACACAGTAACACTTGGTCCTCAGCCCATTCTTCGTCCCATGGTCCATCTTGGTCTTCAGCTTCGTCCTGTCGTCTCAAATCATGACAGTTTTCAAGTGCAAGTAGCAGGAGCCCAGTCCTCAGGCCATTCTTCATTGTCCTTCCAAGGAACTTCGACCTGCCGTGACCAACGTTCGAATGGGCGAACATGAAATACAAATTATTGACCCCTGATGCTATCGGCCTTTGCTTGATCTTCCCATTCCTCATCCCAGGCCTGAAGCACTGCCATATGCTAGATTCACATGGAAAGCTGAAGCCGGTCCTGCTCCACTTGTTCTTCTTCCCAATCCTCGGTATTGTCCTGCACAGATGGAATCGCACACTATAAGCCTCAACCGAATCTTGAATCCTTATCAGCCTGAGCTAACCCTGAATCCTACGATCATTCCAGAACTATATCCCGCCATAATCCCAAATCTTGAACCCCTATAACCCCTGATGCTGAATGCCCAGAGCTCAGCCTCGTCTTCAGCATGTGGGCCATAATCATCGCCCCATCCATCATCGTCCTGCATGAGTGCCACTTTATTCCAACCATTTCGGAATATATTATCCAAGGTTCCTCCACTTCCGAATGTCCCGAGCCGGTGGATAATGTCCTCAGGTAGCCACAGCATAAACCTGTAAGCTTAGGGTTTAGGGTTGGGGATTCTAGAACCATTGAAATCAGAAGTGGCACGTCTTTGCCCGCAATCTCGTCAAAGGTGGCATAGCATCCTCCTCAGATTCGATCTTAATCAAGCTTGGCGTGAACGACTATCGAGCCGAATAGAGCCGAGGGTCATCGGCCAAAGCATGGCAGTCGCCTTTGAGAGCCTGAAAACACCCGGTCTCGAACTGATATTCTTAGGCACTGCACGAGCAATTTAATTGCAGCTGGAAAACAGTCCATACTGAGACGTCATCAAGATCAACCTGAGATTCGAATTTAAGCAAGCTTAAGGTGTGAGCCACTACCGAGCCGAGGGTCGGCCAAAGCATCGAAGTCGCGATCATCATCAGCCTCAAAACACTCGGTCTCAAGCCCATGTTCCGACCACTGTCAATTCCATTGCAGCCGGAAAACGATGCATTTATCATCCTCTTCATCAGCAGCATCCTTGTAGGGGGCGTGGGGCTCGGGGCTCGAATGCTATAACCCTAAAGCTCAAAACACCTCTTCGATGGCAGCCTGGTCGACATCGGGTGCCCAATCTTCCTATGCATTTCCAAAATGCAGCCACAAAGCCGCCTCGCCATCGCCAGTAATCTTCTCGTCATCGTAGTCGTCCTCCTCGAGGTAAGTTCGGTGGCACTGATATGAGCATGCACAACTTTAGATTTGAGCCCTGGCCACATCAATTTCTGATACATGCTCGACGGTCCTCGGGCAACTGAGTCTCATCGTTGTCCATGGCGATGGAGCGACGAGCTTTGCACAACAGCCGTTGCAAGGTTTTGGCTTCGTTGTCCAACCAGGTATGAAATTTCAAGCCTGGAACCTCAGGGAGTTTCAGGTGAGTATGCTGTTTAAACATTAAGCGAAGGGCCTCTCTGACAGCTCGCACGGTGAAGAACCTATTATTATGCACCGCAAGGACCCACCGAAACTGTGCACGATTCTTCTGGGTTCTGAAGTGATGCACCGTGGTGGTTCGCCCCGTCCTGAGCAGATGCCCTTCGTCAACCTGATCGTACAGGTTGTCGCAGATGACCCTCGCTTTAAGCCGGAAAGCCGGGGCTTGCCAAGCCATATATGTTCCCTGCTACCAGCTATGAATAGAAGGCTCTATCAGGAAGCTCGATCTGCCCTCGAATCTTGGCAAACATGCCCCGGCAGCCCCGGCATTTCCGACCAAAACCCTGTGATCCCAAAATGCGAGGCAAACATGCTTTGCAAATGACCAAGCACCAAATCCAATCCCGAGCCTTTATAACACCAGATATTCTATATCCGTATATATGGTACACCCCATATAACCACTTAAGCCCCCCTAACAAATCCCATCCCCAACCTTTGTAACAACAGATATTATATTTCTATATCCGTATATATTAATTGTAAACCCCATATAACCATAAAAGCCCCAATATAATGACATAGAAACCCTCGATCTTGCCAATGGCAAACTGCTCCGAACCTGAGCAAAGAAATTCCCGGACCCTGTATTGCAGCCGCACACCACAATCCCGCCATCGTGCCCAGAATCACAATATTTGATTTCTACTTGAAAAAAGTAGAAACCCTCGATCTTGCCAATGGCTAAACTGCTCCGAACCTGAGCAAAGAAATTCCCGGACCCTGTATTGCAGCCGCACACCACTTAATCCCGCCATCGTGCCCAGAATCGCAATGTTTGATTTCTACTTGAAAGGGGTGCCTAAAGATTCTAAACTGTATGGCCGGACTGATTCTTGATATATATGTATGTGACTATCTCTCGTCTTCTTCTTTTTCAACTATCCAAATCGCACAATGTCTTTGTCAAGCGGGGCCTCTTCTTCAGCAACACTGTTTATTTCGACATGTTCCGATCTAAACATCCATCATTTCAATCTATTGCCTGTTCCAGTTTCTATACGAGCAATGAAAGCATTCATCCTTCTTAGTTGAAGCATACCCTATAGCGACGACTATCGTTATAGAGTCGACTGTCTATTATAGTGACGATTGGGGCGTGCTGGTAATGAAGGATCGCACGAATAAATGCAAAGTTGGATTGAACATCCCTTGTATCACCACACATCCCACTTGCGATTCCCACCTTGAGAGCCCTGCCTTTGGCCAGCCCAAGCCCCAGTTCAGTTGTCCCATGTTGCCAGTGCGAATTGAAGATTATCTGTAACTGGCAGGTTTGAACCAAGCAAAACCCCAACGAGGCTGGAGATTACTTACTCAACTAGGAAACGATCTGAGCACACCCCGTTACAGGTCCTTCTGAATGCCTCGTTTGAGACCTGTAGGAAACCCGTATCCAAAACAACAAACCCCTACGGGAATCCCTGCAAAAGCCTGCAAAGCCTCATATTAATATCAGAAACTTAAACACTGCATAGCGACAAAGAAAACGTAAAACCCAAACCCTAACCCCCTAAACCCTCAAAGCCCTAATGCCCACACCTTGTCTAGACCCCCCAAGTAGCCTCTAACATACCCCAAATACCCACTATTGAGGGCCACACGGTTGATGATATAAATCCTGCATTACCTTAAGGACCCCAAACTATGGGAATTATGGTATATTCCGTATTATGGGAAATGCAGGATTTATATCATCAACCGTAGGGACTCTATTCAAGGGCCCATGGGGGCTCCTGGTAAATCCTAAACCCCACACCCTAAACGGCCCCCCAACACCCCAGTCTAATTATCAAGGCCCCTATATTATAGTACCCTTATGGTATCCCTGAAAGGAACCCATTATAGGAACCCTATTCTAATTACAGTAGAAGCCCGAAAGTTGGAAACCCAAGAGCCTCAATCATTAAGAGAAAGTATATGAAATCCCGGCACTATTTGGCCTTAATCCGGTTTCCAACTTTATGGAGTTTTTCTGTATTAAGGCCCCTAATTAAAAGGCGCCTGTCTGGACTTCTTCAGCCTCGCCACAAGCGTCTCGTCGTTGCGCGCGAACTTGGCCTTCGATGGCTGCTTACGGTCAGGGTTTAGGGTGTAGGGTTTTCTGGTATTTTGGGTGTGCAAGGGTTCAGAGTTCTGCACAGGATTTGCAGCGGTTCCCAAGGGTTTGGGGTTTCGGAAGGGATAGAAATGCTTTGGCAGTTAGATAGGGTTTAAGGCTTTTGGACCTTAAACTTACATAAGGCCCCACTCATCTCCATATTCACCACCGGCGTGCGAGCTTTCAGAAGCCCCGCAGAGCCAGAACGTTTTCGTCAACTTCAACTACAGCTCCGGGAAGCGAAAGTCCAACCCTTATGCCTCCCTGCCCCCCTTGTAAAACACGACATCACCAATTCAGAAACCCCGCCACTTTCAGGCTAAGTAAGGCTCTGTGCTGTTTTTATGCCAAGGGACCTCCCGTCCGGAGGTCACGAAGCGCACAAGGCCACCTGCCAGCTAGACGGATTTATTGTATTTCGTTTTTAGGGTTTAGGTTTAGAGCTTTCAAATGTCAAATGTGAAGGGTGTTTTTAAGTTTTTTTTAATGCAATGGCTAGGGTTTAGGTTTAGAGCTTTCAAGGGCGAAGGGGGTTGGGGTCTTGAGGGTTCGACCGGGGTGGTGGGGGCTCAGGGGCTTTTTTTATGGTTCGTAAAAGTTTGGTGGTTTCGAAACGGCTTTACAAGTTTTTGGTTTAAGGTCTTTGGGTTTCAGGAATTCAATGTTTCGAGGGCGCTGCGAGAAGGTTCAAAGTTTACGATATCTGCGGCTTCATCCCCGAATACCGCTCCGCTGGTTTCAGGGGTTAAAGGGAACTCCAGAAAGTTGGAATATGGATTAATGGTAGGATCCCCTATAATTTAGCTTAAAGGGTTACGATAATGATATTCCAACTTTCTGGCTTCTACTGTAAGTGTTTCAACGCCTGCTGGGGCTTGGCTCGGCTTCAGAGCTTTAAATTTGTCATGGGTATGTAATGTACTCAAAGGGTCTAAGCATCATCCTAGCATATACTTAGACCCCCCAAATACCTTATAAGTATATACCATAGTGATATTTGGACCCTTTGGGATAGGGGCCTTCATGATTCCAATAGAGTTTTGGGGCCCAGTATACGAGAGTTATGATCCTTCTCGAGGGCCGGACATGGGTTTACTGCCCTTCTGAGCATGGGCTCAGGGTGTGTTCATGCTGGCATGCACTCGAAAGCACTGCCTTGCTTTGTTTTTTATATTGATCCGCTGCAAGCTTGTAAACTGCCAGCATCCGTCGGTCGGCTTGGACCACGATCTGCGTTTATGGAAGATTCTTTGCGAAAGCCTTCTGGAGAAGCTTGCACCGGATCCTGGCCTTCTTGGATAGGATGCCATGGCCAAGCAGTTGCACGGTTGATGATATAAATGATGCATTTCCTTAAGGATCCTAAACCATGGGAATAATGGTATATTCCTTATTATGGGTCATGCAGGATTCATATCATCAACCGCAGTGCTCATGTCGATGTTATGCGGCCTCAGGGATCTGAAAGGAAACCCAAGCCCCAACCTTCAATGCTTATAACTGGACTTTGAAGTAGGGCGGAGCGGTTTTCTTTTTCCTAGGTCTGGCCCTCCCCGGCTTGCTTTCCTAAGTCTGGCCCACTGGTTGTGGTTGCCGACAGCGGCAACTGCGGTCTTTGCTGCATCAAGCTATTGGTCAACTAGAATTCGACGGCTCTGGTTTTGCTTCTGTTTTGCATGAAGCTATTGGGGAACTACAACTTGCGGAGTCTGATTTTGCTTGTGTTTGGCATGAAACTGTTGGGGAACCACAAGTTGCAGGGTTCGGTTTTCTTTGTGTTTTGCATGAAGCTATTGGGGGGTTCGCGTTTGCAGGGATCGGTGTTGCTTGTGTTTTGCATCAAGCTATTGGGGAACTACAATTCGCAGGGTCTTCTTTTGCTTGTGTTCTGCTTGAAGCTATTAGGGAACTAGAATTTGCGGTGTGTTCATCTGCTTGTCTTTTGCATGAAGCCACTAGGGAACTACAACTTGCGGTGTGTTCTTGTGCTTGTGTTTTGCATCAAGCTAATGGGGGAACTACAATTTGCGGGGTCGGTCTTGTTTGTGTTTTGCATCAAGCTATTGGGGAACTACAATTTGCAGAGTCTTTTATTGTTTGTGTTCTTCATCAAGCGAATGGGGAACTAGCATTCGCAGGGTCTGGTTTTGCTTGTGTATTGCATGAAGGTATTGGAGCACTACAATTTGCAGGGTCGTGTTTCGCGTGTGAATAGTGCGAAATGCAAATTTCAAATCTTCTGTCTTCTGGCGTTGTTTTTTGGTGTCGTTGTCGACATCTAGGTCATCGTCGTCGTCGTCGTCCTCGTCCTCGTCCTCGTCCTCGTCGTTGCCGTCGTGGTAGTTGTTCTTGTTGTTGTTGTTGCTGTTGCTGGTGTTCTTGTTGTTGCTGTAGGGTTCGGTTTTCTTTGTGTTTTGCATGAAGCTATTGGGGGGTTCGCATTTGCAGGGATCGGTGTTGCTTGTGTTTTGCATCAAGCTATTGGGGAACTACAATTCGCAGGGTCTTCTTCTGCTTGTGTTCTGCTTGAAGCTATTAGGGAACTAGAATTTGCGGTGTGTTCATCTGCTTGTCTTTTGCATGAAGCCACTAGGGAACTACAATTTGCGGTGTGTTCTTGTGCTTGTGTTTTGCATCAAGCTAATGGGGGAACTACAATTTGCGGGGTCGGCCTTGTTTGTGTTTTGCATCAAGCTATTGGGGAACTACAATTTGCAGAGTCTTTTATTGTTTGTGTTTTTCATCAAGCTAATGGGGAACTAGCATTCGCAGGGTCTGGTTTTGCTTGTGTATTGCATGAAGGTATTGGAGCACTACAATTTGCAGGGTCGTGTTTCGCGTGTGAATAGTGCGAAATGCCAATTTCAAATCTTCTGTCTTCTGGCGTTGTTTTTTGGTGTCGTTGTCGACATCTAGGTCATCGTCGTCGTCGTCCTCGTCCTCGTCCTCGTCGTTGCCGTCGTGGTAGTTGTTCTTGTTGTTGTTGTTGCTGTTGCTGGTGTTCTTGTTGTTGCTGTAGGGTTCGGTTTTCTTTGTGTTTTGCATGAAGCTATTGGGGGGTTCGCATTTGCAGGGATCGGTGTTGCTTGTGTTTGCATCAAGCTACTGGGGAACTACAATTCGCAGGGTCTTCTTCTCTTGTGTTCTGCCTGAAGCTATTAGGGAACTAGAAACTAGGTCATCCTCGTCGTCGTCCTCGTCGTTCGTCGTTGCCGTCGTGGTAGTTGTTCTTGTTGTTGTTGTTGTTGCTGTTGCTGGTGTTCTTGTTGCTGTAGGGTTCGGTTTTCTTTGTGCTTTGCATGAAGCTATTGGGGGGTTCGCATTTGCAGGGATCGGTGTTGCTTGTGTTTTGCATCAAGCTATTGGGGAACTACAATTCGCAGGGTCTTCTTCTGCTTGTGTTCTGCTTGAAGCTATTAGGGAACTAGAATTTGCGGTGTGTTCATCTGCTTGTCTTTTGCATGAAGCCACTAGGGAACTACAACTTGCGGTGTGTTCTTGTGCTTGTGTTTTGCATCAAGCTAATGGGGGAACTACAATTTGCGGGGTCGGCCTTGTTTGTGTTTTGCATCAAGCTATTGGGGAACTACAATTTGCAGAGTCTTTTGTTGTTTGCGTTTTTCATCAAGCTAATGGGGAACTACAATTTGCGGGGTCGGCCTTGTTTGTGTTTTGCATCAAGCTATTGGGGAACTACAATTTGCAGAGTCTTTTATTGTTTGTGTTTTTCATCAAGCTATTGGGGAATACAACTTGCGGAGTCGGATTTTGCTTGTGTTTAGCATGAAGCTGTTGGGGAACCACAAGTTGCAGGGTGCGGTTTTCTTTGTGTTTTGCATGAAGCTATTGGGGGGTTCGCGTTTGCAGGGATCGGTGTTGCTTGTGTTTTGCATCAAGCTATTGGGGAACTACAATTCGCAGGGTCTTCTTCTGCCTGTGTTCTGCTTGAAGCTATTAGGGAACTAGAATTTGCGGTGTGTTCATCTGCTTGTCTTTTGCATGAAGCCACTAGGGAACTACAATTTGCTGTGTGTTCTTGTGCTTGTGTTTTTGCATCAAGCTAATGGGGGAACTACAATTTGCGGGGTCGGCCTTGTTTGTGTTTTGCATCAAGCTATTGGGGAACTACAATTTGCAGAGTCTTTTATTGTTTGTGTTTTTCATCAAGCTAATGGGGAACTAGCATTCGCAGGGTCTGGTTTTGCTTGTGTATTGCATGAAGGTATTGGAGCACTACAATTTGCAGGGTCGTGTTTCGCGTGTGAATAGTGCGAAATGCCAATTTCAAATCTTCTGCCTTCTGGCGTGGTTTTTTGGTGTCGTTGTCGACATCTAGGTCATCGTCGTCGTCGTCCTCGTCCTCGTCGTTGCCGTCGTGGTAGTTGTTCTTGTTGTTGTTGTTGCTGTTGCTGGTGTTCTTGTTGTTGCTGTAGGGTTCGGTTTTCTTTGTGTTTAGCATGAAGCTATTGGGGGGTTCGCATTTGCAGGGATCGGTGTTGCTTGTGTTTTGCATCAAGCTACTGGGGAACTACAATTCGCAGGGTCTTCTTCTTCTTGTGTTCTGCCTGAAGCTATTAGGGAACTAGAATTTGGCATCTAGGTCATCCTCGTCGTCGTCCTCGTCCTCGTCCTCGTCGTTGCCGTCGTGGTAGTTGTTCTTGTTGTTGTTGTTGTTGCTGTTGCTGGTGTTCTTGTTGCTGTAGGGTTCGGTTTTCTTTGTGCTTTGCATGAAGCTATTGGGGGGTTCGCATTTGCAGGGATCGGTGTTGCTTGTGTTTTGCATCAAGCTATTGGGGAACTACAATTCGCAGGGTCTTCTTCTGCTTGTGTTCTGCTTGAAGCTATTAGGGAACTAGAATTTGCGGTGTGTTCATCTGCTTGTCTTTTGCATGAAGCCACTAGGGAACTACAATTTGCGGTGTGTTCTTGTGCTTGTATTTTGCATCAAGCTAATGGGGGAACTACAATTTGCGGGGTCGGCGTTGTTTGTGTTTTGCATCAAGCTATTGGGGAACTACAATTTGCAGAGTCTTTTATTGTTTGTGTTTTTCATCAAGCTAATGGGGAACTAGCATTCGCAGGGTCTGGCTTTGCTTGTGTATTGCATGAAGGTATTGGAGCACTACAATTTGCAGGGTCGTGTTTCGCGTGTGAATAGTGCGAAATGCCAATTTCAAATCTTCTGTCTTCTGGCGTTGTTTTTTGGTGTCTTTGTCGACATCTAGGTCATCGTCGTCGTCGTCCTCGTCCTCGTCCTCGTCGTTGCCGTCGTGGTAGTTGTTCTTGTTGTTGTTGTTGTTGCTGGTGTTCTTGTTGTTGCTGTAGGGTTCGGTTTTCTTTGTGTTTTGCATGAAGCTATTGGGGGGTTCGCATTTGCAGGGATCGGTGTTGCTTGTGTTTTGCATCAAGCTATTGGGGAACTACAATTCGCAGGGTCTTCTTCTGCTTGTGTTCTGCCTGAAGCTATTAGGGAACTAGAATTTGGCATCTAGGTCATCGTCGTCGTCGTCCTCGTCCTCGTCGTTGCCGTCGTGGTAGTTGTTCTTGTTGTTGTTGTTGCTGTTGCTGGTGTTCTTGTTGTTGCTGTAGGGTTCGGTTTTCTTTGTGTTTTGCATGAAGCTATTGGGGGGTTCGCATTTGCAGGGATCGGTGTTGCTTGTGTTTTGCATCAAGCTATTGGGGAACTACAATTCGCAGGGTCTTCTTCTGCTTGTGTTCTTCTTGAAGCTATTAGGGAACTAGAATTTGCGGTGTGTTCATCTGCTTGTCTTTTGCATGAAGCCACTAGGGAACTACAATTTGCGGTGTGTTCTTGTGCTTGTGTTTTGCATCAAGCTAATGGGGGAACTTCAATTTGCGGGGTCGGCCTTGTTTGTGTTTTGCATCAAGCTATTGGGGAACTACAATTTGCAGACTCTTTTATTGTTTGGACCAGCGGACCAGGGACCAGGGGACCGGAGGACCAAAGGACCAGGGGACCAGGACCAGAGGACCAAAGGGCCAGGGGGCCAAGGGACCATGGGACCAGACCTAGCAAGGCCCCCCAGACCAGGCCAGACCTAGGAAAAAAAAAACAGTGGACCCGTAGGAAGTAGCCATGGAGAAAAAGTATAGATCTTTATTTCATAATGGTTCCTTTAAGGAACAGGTACCAAAAAAATGTATTCAAGTATGGTACTCAAAACCCAGGATAAAGTACCTTTTTGGGACCCTCGAAGGAGCCCTGAATCCAAAACCACCCAAGCTTAACACCGTGTCCTGCTAGAATCCTTAATCCTAACCTCCGGGCTCAATATAGAACCCTTCAGCGAACCCTTAACCCTCGAAGACAGGAGGCTTGGCAGCAAGGACAGGAAGGTTTTTCTCTCCCGTTTCTATGTATTTGAATCCACAGAACCCAACCTCCCCCCCCTCCCGAATGGCCAAGACCCTCGGACCCTCCGAAACCCTTCAAGCTAATTACTTAGCAAAGCCCACCTAGACCCCGAACCAAAGCCATTCTTGGTCATACATGTGTACCAAACACTACCGGGGCAGGGGGGGGGTCTGGGAGCACGGGGATCAGGCCGCCGCAAGATGTTTGAGAAAGGGGGGGGGGGGTTAAGCCAGAACCACATTAACTTCTTCGGAGATCTTGCGATCCTGTATCGAGACCACTACCCTAAACCCTAAACACCTAAACACTAAACCCTGAAGCTCCGGCCGGAACCGTTCGAACTCCGTGAAACTCCCTCAGACTTCCTGGTCATTCCTGCGGTTGATGATACAAATCCTGCATTACCCATAAACAGGACTATACCAGAATTCCCATAGTTTAGGGTCCTTGAGGTAATGCAGGATTTTTATCAACCCTAAACCCCCTATAGATCCCTTAAAGGAGCCCCTGTAAAGGTAGGTATTCTTTTAGATCCCTTCAAAGGAACCCTAAGATTTATGTCATCAACCATAGCACTGCTGGGCCTTTGGGCCCCGTGGCGGGCGGTTTCGCCTCCCGCACCTTGGCGGAAGCCACAAGCACTCAGAGCAACATGGGTTTAGGACCCTAAACCCTAAACCCTAAACCCTCCCTAAAGCCTGCTTTGTCATCGGCGGGCTTTTTGGGTACCAGAGCTTTCTGAACCCTCGCATAGGGCTTAGGGTTTAGAGGTTTAGGGGTTTAGGGGTTTAGGGTTTAGGGGTTTAGGGTTAAGCATCGGCCGGAGGACGATGTTCTCTGCGGCGGCACGGACCAAGATCACATCGCTGGTGGTGCAAACCAGGTCCTGATTTTTGAGGTTTGGAATTAAGATCGATGGCTTGGGTTCAGGTTTGGGGCTTGGAGCGCGATGGGCTTTGCTCTTTCAGGGTCTGGTGTTGAGGGCTTTTGGTCAGCGTTGAGCTTTGACGGAGGCTTGGAGGACGTGTGGGCGCAGTACGCCAGGAATATGTTCGGATAGCTACCTCGAGCAGCCCTGCTCAATGCACCTGGCAAAGAACTTTGAACCTGCGACAACGTCTCTGCAGTTTGTGACATTGATGCATGTTTCTATGTGCCACTGTGCGACCCGGAGATGTTGACAGTGTTCGCATGCTGCTTTCATTGTATACTGGTGTGCTCTTGCAGTGTGCTCTTGCATTGTCGGCGAAATGAAGCTCACCAGGAACCGGGTGTAGCGAATACACTTTCAAACCCCAAAGTTAATGTAACCCTGGAAACCAGACAAGATAAATGTATGCCTTCATCTATGAAAGCCTGACCTACTCTATACTTAACGGGGCTACCCGGTAAGTGTCAGCACCATCCTTAACGCAGCTTTTCTTTGGGGCTTCCTGGGAACTCAACTTCAAAGCGTCAAGCGAGCCCAGACAAGGACCTGCAGGCGATCCTGGAGAAAGACATAAAGGGAACTCCAGATAGTTAACGGTTTCAGGGTAGGATACCCTATAATTTACCATAAAGGGTTTAGGATAATCATATTCCAACTTTCTGGGAAGACATACCCTGGGGCTCCAAATAGCCCAAAGTAGGTATTATTTACAGACTTTAGGCCCCAAAGTAGGTACTATTTGTATACTTGGAGCCCCAGGGATATACTGATGGCAGAGGCCAAAAGGGGGGGCTTAAGATTCTTGGGGTAGGGATTCCTTAACTTAATATGAACCTTACTATGCGAACCCTAATCCCTACTAAACCCCCATAAGCTAAAACCCCTTTTGGCCTCCTATGATAGACCTTCGACAGAAATTACACGAATCCTTCAGCGCTTCCCTCCGGCCCTCAACCCTGAACCACAGAGGGACAGCGGGAAAAGGCCCTTCCAGGCTCCAAAACCTGCAGAAGTTTGAAGACAATACAGCGGGGGCGATTTGATGGTCGAGTTGTATTGGGATCATGAACCCATAGGCATCGAAGGACTCGTAAATTAAGGCTTTTGGGCCCAAAGACCATGCTCTATAACCCCTTTGTGCTACTTTGATGCCCAGGAAATGGATCTCAATACTTCAAAGTCATTTGTCAAAACGCTCAAGACCTCATGTGCCAATCGCCGCAGAGGAGCGTAACCGGCGGCGAACATCATCTCCGCAGACCGGCCCGGGACTAACATGCCTTATAGGATCCTTAAGGGAGGGTGGTTCAAGGGGGGAGGGTATAAGGAATCCTTAGGGGACTGTAAGGGAACCTTAGGGAGTACTAGGGAGAATTAGGGATCACTAGGCTATATACCCCCCTTGGACCCCCCTCCCTTAAGGATACTACAAATGCCTGCCCACGTCGTCGTTTAGTGCTTGCTTGTTGTTGTCACGGGCCTGTTCAGATCTAGAATCTAGAATGCATGGGCAAGAAGGGAGTGCGAGAAGGGTTCGGGGATTTGGGCCGGATCTGTCATGAAGCCTACATATCCCAGGACCCTCCTTGTGCCCTCAGATAGGAGTATATGGTCCCAAATAGTGGGCATGTAGGGTCAAATAGAGGGTAGATGGAGGGTCTAGGTCCCTACATGAAGCCTGAACCTGAAACCCTGAATCGAAGATTGATTCAACGATTTCTGCGTTTTCAATCAGATTCCAAGGTGTGTCAGGAAGCGACAACCCCCCCCAATTCCGGTTGATGATATAAATCCTGCATTACCTTAAAAGGACCCTAAGCTATGGGAATTATGGTACATTCCTTTTGGGTAATGCAGGATTTATCTCATCAACCGTTCCCAAGCCCCAGACCCTCTAAACTCTATAAACCTGAAACCCACAAGCCTACACCCTGTAAGCCTCATATCCTAAACCCTAAATAAAAAAGCCCAATTCCTAGACCCTATAAACCCCATAAACCTTGACCGGAACCCCTAAACAGCCTGCAGACCTCAAACCTTAAACCCTATAAACCCTGAGACCTTTACACAGACCCGCAGCCCTGACCCCGCGCGCCTCCCAGGAGTTTCTTGGCCCTCTTGACTTCGGCCTGAAGGGGACTCTGAGGGATGACACGACCCAGGTCCCCCAGTTGGGGCTATGGTTTTGGGGATTTTTGAGTGCGGCATTTTGGGGCTCAGAGTTTAAGCCTTTGAGACGGGTTTTTGGGGCTCTGCGGGGTCTCAGGGTCTTCGAGGTGTAGGGCTTGCGGGCCTCGGACTCCATGGGTTTAGGTGAAGTCAGTCATCCTCGGTTTCTGGGGAGGAAACTGGGCACACAAAGGAATTTGGGAGCTTCCGAAATAATTAGGGGTACCCTATTTGGGGTCCTTATGATAAGGATCCTACTACTTAGGCTACTGCATTAGGGCCCCCTATTTTCGGAAACTCCCATCTGAACATAAAGATCTCACCGACGAGGAGGGACATGGTTCTCCGGTCCAAAATTCAAATCGTCAGACCCAATGTGGTCTACAAGCATGAGCAAAAATACAGTTCGTAAAACCTTTGTCTTTGTGCAGTTCTAGATAGGAGTCATATGTGTATGTGCCGTATTGAAGTCTGAGTTTCAGGTGAAAGCTGCCCCGAGCCTGCGAATTTAGGATAAATTAGGTTTCAAGGTTTAGGATGTCAAGATATACGGTCTAGACTTCAAGGTTTGGGATTTCAGGTTTGCGGCCTAACATTTTTGTCAAATCGGAAGGAACTGCGAGGTGAAGTGGCCGGAGCGAGGCCCCCCATGAAGATGAAGGGGTTGTCGTCCCTCCTACTGATTAAAGTAAACGCCAGAAAGTTGGAATATTGTTATCCTAAACCCTTCTATGGTAAATTATAAGGAATCCTACCCTGAAACCATATTCCAACTTTCTGGAGTTCCCTTTAGGGGCTTTGGGTTCAGGGTTTAGAGACCCGGATCTATTCATATTTCTGTTCATCAGATGGAGGAAGATTGGCACTCCTACGGTTGATGATAGGAATCCTGCACTGCCCATAGTAAGGAATATACCATAATTCCCATAGTTTGGGGTCCTTAAGGGAATGCAGGATTTCTATCATCAACCCTAAACCCTAAACCCCCTATAGATCCCAAACAGGAGCCCCTAAAAGCTACCCTTATAGATCCCTTCAAAGGAACCCTAGGATTTCTATCATCAACCGTAGGGGCCCAGTGTGAAGCAGAGATCCTTGAAGCGACCAGTCGCTCCCCAAGCCCCGACCCCGAACTTCTCAACCCTACGGTTTCATTCATGGGTAGTTATAAGGGTTCCTTTAAAGGGTCCCTTTAACGGAATCTATAGGTTCATGGGTAGTTATAAGGGTTCCTTTAAAGGGTCCCTTTAACGGAATCTATAGGGATTCTAGAAGGGTAGAGGGTTTAGGGTCTACTTGGAGGCTCATGGGTAGTTGTAAGTGGGGCTATAATTAGGGTAACTATGGTTATAACCCCTATTTGGGGACTTATAACTCCATCTATAGCCGAACCCTACTACTATAGAACCCTACCATAGATCTCTTATAGACCCCTTTAAAGTATTCCCCTATTTGGGGACTTACCACCCCATTAACGACCCATGAACCTCCAAGTAGGCCCTCTGCCCCAGGCCCGGCCCTGCGCCTTCAACCCGACAGCCAGCCAATCTCAAGCCCTAAAGCTCCAAAAACCCCATAGCCCAAATTCCCGCACCTCACACTCCACACACCTGTGAAGCCCTGATGAAAGCAACGAAGAAAGACAAGCATATGTTTTTAACTCGTAAAAATGCACCCGATAACCCCCGCCCTCGAGAAGACAGCGTGAAGCTCTCCAAAATTCAAAAGCTAACCCCGAAACCCTGAACCCTAAACTTCAAACCTCAACACCCAAAACCCAAAAACTCTCCCAAAGGGTCCAATGTACTGTTATGGGGAATACTTCCCCAAACCATAATAGTAATTCCTAATATAGAAACCCTACATTCTACTATATCGGTACTTTGGACCCTTTGGGTCTAAACCCTCAACCCAGACGCCCCAAACCCCAAGGCCTCAACTCAGAAGCCGCCAAAAGCCCAAATCGCCAAACCCCGAAACCCTTTGGGGGTTACGGTTGATGATATAAATCCTGCATTACCTTTATTACCCTAGACTAGGGGGTTTATGGTAAAGATTCCTCAGTATGGGTAAGGCAAGATTTATATCATCAGCCGTAAGCCCTTTAAATTCTATCGCCCAAACCCTAAAACCTAAACCCTACCTTAACCCCAGGTAACATACCCTTTTAAGGACTTATGTAAAGAAATAATGCTAGGGAACCCGAAAAATAGGTAGGCTCCTTAGGGTCCAGGTAATAGGACATCCCAGGAAGAACCTCAGCGGTCTCCAGAGCCAGGAGAAGCCCAGCCTGACAGGAGAAACAGGACCCTCACAGTGTTTCCTACTTCTCGGGTATCATTGGGAACGAAAGGTTAGCCTTTTTGGCTCCAAAGGGATTATATAGGGACTATACTGTGACTATACTACCCAAACAAGGTTAAAGGTTACCTACTCTACTTCTAGGGTTTTCCTGGTGGGGCTTCGGGTTTGAGGGTTTAGGGTCTAGGGTTAAAGGGTTAAGGGTTGAAGCGTTTCAGGGTTTAGGGTTTCAGGCTTCAGGGTTTTTGGGTTTCCACGGTTTAGAGTTCAAGGGCTTAGGGTGTTTATGGGTTTGCGGGTGCAGCCGAATGAACCTACCCATAATCCTCAAGCACTGACATCCAACATCAACTCATGCTAACCCAAAACAGCCTGCACATGAAACTGCACCGGAAACTAAGCCTGTGCCTAAGCATCCGCCTGAAGCCGTAAGACCTGAAACCTGGGTCCTTGTTGGGATAGGATTCAAAATATACATTTTTAGTCCTTATTGGGTGTAAGTACCCATGAAAGTGCAAAATGTTACCCAACTATGACAAGGAGACCCTGAACTAGAAGCCTGCGAACCCAAAACTGCTCATAGAGCCCGAGCGTTACAAACTCTCCCGACGCCCTAAGCCCTAAATGACCCTAGAGCCCTAAACCTTAGGTACTGCCGCCTTACACTAAGAGTATAGGGCTACTATAAAGGCCCTAATATATCTATATTATGAATATTATTCAACTATTACTGAGTGGGGGCCGCACACAGCCTTATAGGATCCTTAAGGGGGGGTGGTTCAAGGGGGGAGGGTACTAGGGAGCTTTGGGGAACCTTAGGGAAGCTTAGGGAGTATTGGGGAATAATGGGGATTACTAGGTTACCTACCCCCCTTGGACCACCCCTTAAGGACATCCTAACAGCCTAAATCCTACAAAACTAAACCCTAACTAGCCCTACAAACCTAAACCCTAAGCCCGGAACTGCAGACCCTTAAGCCCCAAACCCCCATTAAAACCCAGCGGAGCCTCCTACAAACCCCCAAAACCTCTCCGAAGTCCTACCTTGAGCCCGAAGAACCTACATTTTTAAGGACTTTTATAAAGAAATTCTAAGAAGGAGGAGCCCTAAAAAGGTATATACATAGGTTCTTCAGGGTTAAGGTAAACCCACCGAGGAGCCTCTTGACCCCTGGGCGCTGAAGCCGCCAACTCGACGGGGGCGAAGAAGACCATGTCAAGTCCTGGATTGTAGGGTAAGTTGAGGGTTTAGGGTTTAGGGGTTTAGGTTTTAGGGTTAAAGGGGTTTCAGTGCGGTTTAGAGTTTAGGGCTTAGGGTTTATGGGGCTTCTCCTGGACTGTTGTAATCTTCGGGCCTTGAGAAAAAGAATAGGGTTCCTTTAAAGCGCTCGGCTACTATAAGGGATACAGCAAGGGTACTATAATATGTCAAGTCCTGGAAGTCAGACAAGGGGTCCAGTTAACAAAAAAGTGATGAGCTACTGGGTTGTAAGATATATGGTTATTTAGGTAACTGGAGCCCTACAGGTAAGTCAAGGGGTTCAATGTAGGGTGAAGGGATTGCTTTAAGAAAAGGTTCCCTTAAGGGTTCTATAAGGAATACCGTGCTTTGGAAGAAGGCTACCGCGCTCGTTGATCTTTGGAAGAAGGCGACCGCGCTCGTAGATCTTTGGAAATGGCCCTTTCAAACACCAGAGCTTGAAAGTTAATACAGGGTCATCATGATTAGAGTTGGGGTTTGGGCTGTAGTATACCTCAACCAACATCATCAGCCCTAAACCATGCAAACATTGATTCTACATCCCGCCGAAAAAATGCAAACACCAAAGAGTGATGCCAGTTGTGATCCGTTGCCCTGCAACCCGAAGAGTATGTACAATACCATACTAAAGTTTCATAAGGGGCGCTAAACACTGAGATCTTTTTTCTAAGGACCCCGGAAACCAAAGCCTCGCCTTCCACTTTGGCGATGTCGCGCACATTCGCCAAACCCGTCTCAGTTTCGACCTCCCGGATTTGGGTTGATAGGTGAAATGACAGCAGAAACAGGGTAGTCAGATTCTGGAACCACATGGGTAGTTGTTAAAATTATGGCCCGTTTTTCGGTACCCTATATATTAGGCGCCGTAATATAATAAGGACCCAAAAAGGGACCATAATTTGACAACCACCCACATGGAAGACCCTAGGGACACTGCTGAAACAAATCTGCAGCCTGGACGGCTTTCATCAGCAAATCTTCGCCACGACGACGCAGGAATTGGCTTGCCTGACAGTGGATAAGAAGCACAGTTACTTAGACTCTGAGTTGTATTTCTTTTTCTGGACCCAATATGGGCTTTACGGCTTGTTTCCTGTGAGAAGATGTATGGTGTTCCAAACAAGGAGACTAACAGACTGCATTAATGCTGCAACTTGCAGTCCCTTCTGTACGGGTCTTAAGCATTGACAAGGTTATCCCTTGTAACTAACTTGTAACCCCTATATTTTATACTCTCTGTCAGTCTATTTCACATACCAATCGTAAAGCCGAGCTGTTTGTTGGGGAACTAGAGCTTTTGCCATGGCCGTTTCAACAATAATTTCACCGAGTGTCGTATCGAAGCGCCCGCTCCCGTATCGAACCGAACCGCAACATCCGGGACTGCACCAAACCGAACCGAAGCCCTCCCACCTCACTTCCCTCCCCACCTCTCGCCTCCAATCCCATCCCACCTCCCCACCTCCCCCCACCCAGTTGCGCGCAAGGTGCTTGGCACGTTTCCGTGGCTAACCCGATCTCGAGGCTTTCCTCCCTATATGGGGCAGCCGCACATAATGCCTCTTTGTAGCGGTGTTTCCGCATGCATGTGTGACGTGGAAGGTGGGAGGTGGGGGGGTGGGTGGGAGGGGAGGTGGGAGGCGGGAGGGAAGTGGGAGGTGGGTGGGAGCAGTTTCGGGGCCTAAGTTGTAAAAGGCATCCATAGGGTTCCATTTGAGACGAAGACCGCAACACCGAATTGCGTAAGGCACTCAACTATGTCCTTATTAGTACTATGACATCGTATAGAGTTATGGTGCCCTTAACAAAAGCCTATAAGGGCCATTAAGGGCCCTACACCAAACACGCCTTGAGTCGATTCCTGCTAACATGGGTGTTTCGGTTCGGTTCGGCACGGTTGGCATTGTCTGCGGTTTCCTTCAAAGGTTCGGTGCTGCCACCCGCCTTGAGTCTGGCAGGTGTTCTGCTCCTGTATTGTAGCGCGTCAAACCACGACCCGATAACCCTATAATGGGCTATATAATGAGTATATAATAGCTATATTAAGGGTATACACCCTGCCATGCGACAGTCTTCTCAAAACCCAATTCGGCTGGTTCGATATGGGGTCCTTCCAAAGAAGATCGGGCTCCAGTCACAATGAGCTCCCGACGATTTCGCGCTATGTTCGGATCCTCTATTCCTTGTGTTCTGAAACTTCGATTCCATGCCCTAGTAGTAACTTCTGACTCCTCAAAGCCCAACTCTGTTGAATTTACTATAATCCGAAGCCGTAAACCACAATCACAAAGAGGCGAGTCCCTCCCAAAATCTGTGCACACCGGCAAAAAGTGCGGCCGCGCTGCCACGGGTGCCGCGCTTCGCACAGCTGCGGCCCCCGGACCACCTGGCTGAGCTTATCCTAAGGCCCCATAGTACTTCCGTGTTGGGGTTCATATTTAGGGTTTTGGGGTTTAGGGTTTAGGGTATGAGGAGCTACTATGGGGCCTTAGGGTATCTTCTTGCCCGAAAAAGGCCAGGCAGCCAATGTAACGATTCAAGAGGAACAGAACAAAGCGCTTGAATTGAACCTCTACAAACGACACCGAGTTCCGGATTGATAGAAACTGCCTGAACCTGGAGCTTGGGCCCCATACGTTCTGCATGAGCGGGGGCTGAATACAGGTTGAAGGTACGATCGATCATGCGCCAGACAGTGCCCTTGGCTCAAAGGGTTCGCGGTATAGGGCTCAAGGCACCCTTAACCCTCGTCCACCCTAACCCCCCCTTAATAAGCACCAAACCCTCAAACCTCAACCCTCCACCTAATCCCTCTTACAAACCCCTGCAAACCCTAAACCTCGAAGCCATAAACCCTAAACCCTCACCCCCCTTAATAAGCCCTACATATAAACCCTCAACCCTTCACCCTGACCCCTCTTACAAACCCCTGCAAACCCTGAACCTCTAAGCCCTAAGCCCTAAACCCTCCACCCTAACCCCTCTTACAAACGCTTACAAACCCTAAACCTCTAAGCCCTAAACCCTAAACCCTCCACCCTAACCCCTCTTACCAACCCCTTCAAACCCTAAACCTCTAAGCCCTAAACCCTAACCCCTCCTAGAAGCCCTGCAAACCCAAATCGCTGCCTGCGCCTCTCAGCGAAGACCTCGGCTGCTTCGCGGAGTCAAGAACCAGGGTACTCTATGGGCCTTCATGAGCAGCACAAGGGCCTCTTTAAAGGGATTCCTTCAAGGCATCAATGCATATTGCAAGGCTTTTACAAAAGGCGTGGTGTTGGTAATTACAGGACCCGAAAAAAAAGCCCACTCGGGGGGGAGGGGGGGGGGGTTGGGATTTGCGTATTGAACTTGGGGCTTCCGGTTTAGGCTGAAAGGCAGGCTACTTGGGGTTAAGGTGCTGCGGGCTCCCAAATCTGAAGCCCTGAACGGCGGTTTCGAACCCTGAGCCTCGAACCAATCCTAAACCCTAAACCGTGCTGAGTCACCTTTCTCAACAAACGTTCACTGTCTAACTTGTGTTCTAGCCGCTACGTCAAAACGTGAACCGTATACTTGTGCCAGGGCTTTGTCAAGGTTAAAGGTTACCTAACCAGGCCCTACGCTCATGTTGCGAGCATATATGGCGAAAAAGCTTAACGGATATCTTTTCAGCTATATGAGTCCTTGAACTACCATGCAATGGTTGGGATTGATCCTCTGCGAAGCTATGTCACAGAGGAGTGAACCTAGCAAATGCCTGCAACAGCCCTCACTTTAACCCTGCCCCTAAACCCTAAACCCTAAACCCCTAAACCCTAAACCCTACACCCTAAACCCTAAACCCCTAAACCCTAAACCCCTAAACCCTAAACCCCTAAACCCCTAAACCCTAAACCCTAAACCCCTAACCCCTAAACCCTAAACCCTAAACCCTAAACCCCTAAACCCCTAAACCCCTAAACCCCTAAACCCTAAACCCTAAACCCCTAAACCCCTAAACCCCTAAACCCCTAAACCCTAAACCTTGCTTTGGGATCCCCGGCATGGCCGGGAAGGATCTGCGGGCCATGGCCACGAACTGGGCTGCCTCGCTCTTCTTAAACTAGACCCAAGAGTAGCCTAGGAATAAAAAGGGTGCCCTTTTTGGTTTAAAGGGGGCTAAAAGGGAACCTAAATTCTAAAAAAAGGGAATAAGGGCCTACTCTGGGTCCTAGTAAACATAATCCAGAATACTCTTTGGTTAGTGTACTTTTTGATCTAGGGTTTATAGGGTTTATAGTGTTCATAGGGTTTAAAGGGTTTTAAGGGTTTATAGGGTTTATATAAGGTTTAGGATACATCATGCCGTGTACTTTTATTTGTTCTAGTTTCTTAAAGCTCCTTTTACCGCCGTTCATGCTGTCTCATCCACGGCAAAGCCTCCCCTGGCTTTCTTGGTGTAGGCTTTAGAGTTTAAGTCGAAAGTTGGGGTATGAGCTTGGGGTGTCAGGTGCTGAGATCCGAAAACTCCTTATCGCGAACCCCAGAAAGTTGGAGTATGGATTTAGGACGAACTGCGGTTGATGATATAAATCCTGCATTAGGCATAATAAGGAATATACCATAATTCCCATAGTTTAGGAGCCTTAAGGTAATGCAGGATTTATATCATCAACCGTAGTGCTGGGATTTCCTATACTTTACCTTAAGGGCATGGGGATCATGATGCTCCAACTTTCTGGCTTCTACTGTATTACTCATGCCGTCCGCTCAGCAACCGCAAAGGTACAGGTTGCATTGCTCTTCCTGGGATGCCCATCCTGGCTGCGAATGTCTCTGCCCTACGAGTTTCCTGAGTTAATGAATCTAGGGTGGCTTTCTGATTGGGCTCAACAGATCTGGGTTCAAGGTTGTAATACTGTCATGACAATCGCAGTCCACAGAATAACACCTCGGACGGGGCTTGCGCAAAATTCCGGATTGTCTTTGCGGTACCTGGTTTCCGATGCAGCACGGTTCGAGGACCTAAAGCGCAACATTTACATCAGGATCTTATCTTTGCGTACAGGGGGCCCTTTATATGGTTTAAGGATGAAAGGGTTCAGGGTTTAACCTAGACCCCAAACCTAAGGGGAATTCCAGAAATAGGTATCTGGCCTGTTCATGCCTGTTCGAGGTTGTATCTTGGACCCCAGAGGTAATCGCACTGCTGATGTCACCACCCAGAGACTGCAAAACACTCGTATTAAGGACATTTCCTGCAATCGTAGGCGACCCCCCCTCATATAAATGTAATTTTAAGGCATCGTTGATGCTCCTTAGAGCAGAGGATATTCAGAGCATGAGCAAGGTATACTCGTTAATTGTTGGCGTGGTTTCGGAGACTCTGCGTTCTCTCGGTGCGCCTGTTCCGCCGTCTCCGTCATGGGCAGGATCAGCCCTTCGAAGCCCAGCTGCAACGCCCGGCGCAGGTATCTGCAGAAGGATTTTGAGGCGGAGGAACGAAGTTCTGGGTCCCAAAACCCTGACCCTGAACCCTATAATAATCCTCAAAAGCCTCACATGTTTCAGCGTCTGACTAGGCTTGCTTGCTTTGGGAGCATGCGGCGCAGGAAGGCTTTGAAGAACTACGCACAGGCTATGGGGTCTGGAGGGCCTAAACAAGACTTTCCAAATTTCGGCATTGGGGATTTAGAGGGTTTGTGCTGGCACTTAGAGTGATGAGCCACTGCTGCAGCGGGTCCCGTGCAGCAAGTCTTACTTTCTGCGAAATTTACCGCTCAACTGCGCTTGACGCAATGAGGATGACACAGTCCCTTGGAAACGAGAATGCTGATCCAGCGGCATCTACTCTTGTATAACTATGGGCGTCTGAAAACAGCGCAATGTTCTGAACTCATTGTCCTCATAATATCCACTTGAGGGGCCTTCATAATTAGAATAGGGTTTGGGGCCCAATATACTATAATTGCAATAAGGAGCCACCAAAATAGCATAGGCAAAAATTAGGGCGCCTATGGTATACCCCGAAGCGCCCCAAACACCGGCAGCCCCGAAGATCTTCATCCTCAGAGACTCGCAAACCCGTTAAGTCAGGAACATTCCTTGAGTAATTGGAGATCTTCAACTGATATTGCAGAAAAGATTTTGTTCCTTATTTGGGGCTAAAAACTTGATCTAAACATCTGAGGCGATGGTTAACGATACTTTAAGTATCTTCTTGGAAAGGATGATCTTGCCTAATATGACAATATTCCCGGTTCAGGGGTAAAGAGGACTTGCATCATCAACCCTAAACCCTAAACCCTACCGTAATCCTTGTCTTATTACAGGTTGTTGGAGTCTCCGGGACCTCGAACACCGGAACCCGACGTTGCTGGGCGCCGGGCCCCGGATCGTTGCTGGGAACCTGAGTTAAGGGATGTGGAGTGATAGTTTGAGATCGTAAGAATTCCTTTAAAGGTTTCTATATCACTCAAGCTCCGGTCCGATCCAGTTTGAGATTTGGGCTTAATGTGTAGGGCTTAAAAAATATGTTGTTTAAAGCTGCTTGGCCCGTAAAGGAGCAGGAGCTGAGTTCGCTGCCCGAAGGGATTAGGGTTGGGGTTGCGTGGGATCGTATGCACCCGAAAGGGTTTCAGGTTCTCAGGAATCAGGACCTACCCAGCTACTAAGAAAGGGAAACAGAAGGTATGTCACCTTTTTACGGTGAGGGTCCTATTCCGTAGGCTTTCGGGCTTATAGCGAGCTGGATTTCGCTGCTATTGATCTGGCATCATCCATCTTCTGAAGCTCCTATGTACATGCAGTGATGCTTGATGTTAACACACACAGTCGCCAATACTGCTAAGCAGCCCTGCATACTCTCACCAAGACCCTAAAGCGACCATGCTGTGGAACCCCAAACAGACCTTCATGAGCCGACAGAAAGCTTCTTGACTCCGTGCAAAGCAACACAGTATTGGGGCCTTAATATCTACTTACACTGTTTTGGGGATCCGAATTATGATCATACTATATCCCAAGCCGGATTCTAACAAATTCAGGCCCCTGTAGCATGTGGCACATGGAAAATACGGCTTGGGCCGAGAAGCTCTAAGCAGAGGATGAGTTCCAGCACTCGCCGCGGCATGAACCTTGCAAGGAAAACGCTGGGCCAAGGTTTAGGGTTTAGGGTATTGGTTAGAAGCTGCCCCCACCATGTAATAGTGACTATAAGGATTATATTAGGGCCCTATTTTATTCCTATTCTATTCCTATTATACCGCTATTACAGGGTTGGGGCAGCTTCTAAGGTATTGGCTTAAGGAACGGAATTGAACTTTGTAGTAGCAAGAGCTGACACCCACAGTATGGCTTGGGGTATAGATGGTAAAGACGGCTCAAGCTCACAATGGCAGTGAGTTGTTCGGATTCTACACTTGGGGGACTCAAACCCTTCATCCTTCGCATCAAACAAACCATACCTCCTATTCCCCGATGCGAAAAATTAACATCTCTTCTTTACAGTATGAAGAATCCCAAAGTATTCTCGCAAAGTCCTGAAAGGCTGCTCTCCTCGCGTACTCGAGCCCCTGAATCCTAAAAAGCCCCTGATGTAGGGGCTTTAATAATTACCTATACTCTTGATAAGTTCCTGAGTATAGCTATAGTATACGGGGACCCAAAACCCTATTCCAACAATTCAGGCCCCTGCATTACCTCTGGGCCCCCATGCCAGGCCAACGGCGTTGAGCAAATCGCCCGGTCCCTGCTCATGGTCGAGAACCAGGGCCTCAAAACAAGAGCTCTTAATGGTATTAATGGCAATATTGCTGATGGACAACATTCTGCATGACCCTAAGGACTCTAAACTATGGGGAGTATGGTATATTCCTTGAAATGGGTAATGCAGGATTTTGTCCATCAGCAGTAGTAGTCATAACGTCTTCCGGAGTTCCTATCTTCTGCTCCTTCCCCTTGTATGTTAAGTTTTCCAACGCTTCCATCGCTTATAGACGGCTTCGGTACGAACATGTACGATCTGATTCGGTGTCAGAGTTCTTATGGGCTCTTTGCTGTCAGGCACTCTATGTCTGGACCGAAGGCTTCTTCTATTTTTCCTGATTCTTGGCACCGGTTTCACGCAGAGTTCTATGGGGATTTGCTAGGAGCAATTGCTATCTTTATGACTTCCATTCCGTCGTTATCTTGTTGTCAAGCCTCTAAATGAGCCTTTCTGAAGCTATGAAGCGATTTCTCAAGAGCTGCACTGCTGGTGCAGAGGGTTAGGATACATGGGAGAAAGTCAAGGATGTAAGGTTGAGGGTTCAAGGGTTGAGGATTCTTACAGTCTAGGGCTTAAGGGTTGCCAGTCGCCGAGTTTAAAGAAGAACCTGCGGTAAAACTCTCCCGACAATTGTCATTGAAAAGGCAGCAGAAGCAAGACCCTAGGGCTCCCGTTGCCTAAACAGTGGGTTGATGGGTTGTATAGTGTATGGCCAGTAACCTGCTACTTAGGTAACTGGAGCCCTAGGGACAAATCAGTGATAAGCGGTTGCACCGGAGCCAGAACCCTAAAGCAAGCCACGCAAGCCCTCTTCGAAAGTAGTCTCGCGCCTTGAGCCCTAAGACCTCAACCCCGGGACTTACATCCTAAACGCTAGAATCAGCTACAACCGAAATCCAAGAAACCAACAGCCTAACTCCTAAAGCCAGCATCCTGTACGGAGTAAACTTTCGAAACTCTGAATCCGATTGAATCCTAATATGCAACACCCTGAGACCCTTTACAAAGGCACAAGAGCCAAACCAATACAGACCCTGGCCCTAAATGAAGAAGCACTGCACACTCCTTCCAACCCGAGTAGTGAAATTAGTCTTCACGGCCCCTATATCACGGCTTCTTCCAGCTTTCTTGGGCCTCGAAGCCGGCGTTGGCCACAGCTTCGGCTGCAAGGGCATCGCCCAGGTGGAGGAAAGCAGCCACGGCCTGCACTTGGAATCCAAGGCTTTAGATTTAGGGTCTCTGATAAGGGTTCATAAGATGTGTGTGTGTATATATATATATACTAATGTGTATATATATATATAGAAGGGTTTACATGGGTTTGTTCAGGTAAGATAGAGGGGGGCGAAACCCTAAGACCTAAAACCTATTCTAGAGATCTCAGAGCTGCTGCCGCGAGTCTTCGTGTAGGGCTGCCACGGTTAGGGTATACGGTATACGGTGTCGGCTTAGGGTTAAGATTTTTAGGCCTTTGGACCAGGGTGCCAAAGCAGAAGACACTGCAAGGAGCTCTAAGTTCAGTCCTCTAAGAGAATGCCAAGAATTTTTAGGTCCCAGAAGACCATCCCCATCATTGCTTTTGGGACCTATGTAGCTCCATGACGGTAGTGTATATGCACCCTCTGGGCAAGATGCCCTATGGTTTCAAGCGATGATCTGCTAAACTCAAGCCATACTAAGATTTTATAAGCAGTCAATTCCACTGTGTAACCCTCAGGTATAGACGCCCGATTAATGAACGCCTTCTTCGAATCAGGGGCTGCACTACGGATGCGAATAGTACTGTGATGGGTCATTACCTGGACCCCCAAAGTATGTAGAATAACAGCCTTTTATAGGTATTGGGCTATTATTTTACCTACTTTTGGGGGTTTAGGCAAGCACCTGTCTACATGAAGGGACCAAGGAGGACCAAACTCAAACACGACCCGAAACCCTACGGTGGGGAAGACGAACTCCCGCTGATCCTGAACCCAGAGGCTCCATGGTCCACTTAAGCCTTAAAGGGGTCCCTATATGGGTACCTTAAGACCTAAGAAAGTACTATATGGGTACATGGAGCCTTAGGGGAACCTGAAATAGAACGAGAAAGACGAAAACAGACTTCCTCAAGCCCTAGACCAAAAAGTGATACTGGAACCCAATATGAGAAACCCTGGCAATAAATCCTTAGACAAAACCCCCTGAACCTCAAACCCCTAAATCCCAACCCCAGAAGCGAGCTTTGTGTCGCAACAAACCCAACAGTGCACAGAGCAACACCTCACAAGAAGTGAACAACGCACACAGAAAAGTAAAAAGCCTAAACCCGAAATTCCTAAATCCCTAAACCCCTATACTAGTAGATACCAAAAACCATCCCCCTCCCCTCCGACTTTGACATTGGCGAAAACCCTAATCCCTAAACCCCTCTACTAGACATTACCAACAAACCTCCCTCTCTCCCCCTCCGGCCTTCTTCTGCCTCCTTAGTAAGAAGCCTAAACCCGAAATTCCTAAATCCCTAAAAGCCTATGCTAGTATTGTAGGTACCAAAACCCCTCCCCTCCGGCCTTCTTCTGCCTCCTTAGTTGGCTCACCAGGGCACTGGTGGCCAGCCTGGCCCTCGCCGACCTGGGAACTGCATCCGCCCTCCACTGGATTCACCAACATAGGTAAAGGGTTTAAGGGTTTAGGGTTTAAGGGTTTAGGCTTTAGGGTTTAGGTTTTAGGGTTAGGGATCTTCTAGTATAAAATAGTAGACTCTATGATCTTATAGTGTATAAAGTATACTATGGTATAGTGTGTGAGAGTATACAGTTATCAAGTATACTATGGTATAGTGTACTATAGCAGATTATAAATATAGTATATATATATATATCATACTACATGATACGCCGCCGTAGCGACGCCCGTTTCGTTTGGGTCTGCCAGGGCTACCTCCGGAAATCAGATCCAAAGGGAACAGGTTCCCCCGAGAACCCAATACCCCTTAATTAAGGAATATCCCTTAAATAATAGGGGCCTTAATATTATGATAATATAAGATATAAGGTATATTCCTTAATTAAGGGGTATTGGGATCTCTGGGTCCAAATGTACTGCCATTACCCTAAAGGGAATTCCAGAAAGTTGGAATATGGCTTCAGGGTAGGATACCTTATAATTGACCATAAAGGGTTTAGGATAATCATATTCCAACTTTCTGGCTTTTACTATAGGGTTCTAAGGACTCATATGGGTGGTTGTCAGAATTATGGTCCCTCTTTGGGTCCCTAATATAGTACGGCACCTATTATTTAGGGTACCCAAAACGGTACCATAATGTTGACAGCCACCCCTTAATTAAAGGCCCAAAGACCATTATATAAGGCTGTTGGGCTATATTGATGCCCAGGCTTAAGGAATCATCGGCCCCACAAAACAACATGGTCGCTTGCGGCCGCTTCTTCCAAAAACTTGCTGCCTGTATATGGGGGTTTCCGAAAATAGGGGACCCTGTTTTGGTATCTGAAATAGTAGGATCCTTATTACAAGGACCCCCAAATAAGGCACCCTTAATATTCGGAAACTCCCATATGGACTCCCAGAGTGACTGCATGACGTGATGACACGGACTTGAGGAGTGCCGGCTACTTTAGAAAAGTGCTGGTGCAATGGGCATTTTCGTCCTGGGCCGACGTATCGGGGTCTAAATGCAGTTTAGGTTGAAGGTTTATAAAGCATTGGCCCGCAGCTGCTGGGTTTACGGCGTCAGCGTTAAGGCCCCTGAAAATGTCGTCAACACTGAGGACACACGCTTTCATCGCGGATTTTATGCAACTCTTCCCGAACCCGGATTCGAGCAGCTCACCCAGACACCCAAAGTCACTCAAAAGCCTCCAGTCCTGAGACTCCGACAAACACTGAGAACACCACAAACCGCACTTGTCGAAAGATAGCTCCGGCCCCTTGTATAATTTCACACCTCGCACGTAGGGTTTAACCTTCAACGCTGCTAGCTAAGTCCCACAAAATCCTAAATCCGGAACCCCCATCCCCAATACGTACCACAAAAATCTAAACTCCTCTGAGGCTACCACTCCAAGGGTGCAGCCCAATGGCGCTGCTGAGCGCCATGATGCCTGGCAGGTTAAGCTTGCATGGTGTATAGGGTCAAGGTTCTAGATGGGTTGGATTGTTGGGTGATTTCTTGCCGCAAAACAGAGATTCGCGTAGAGTTCGACAAAAGACCCCAGAATCCAAAGTAGGCTCTCTTGTTCAAGAACTGGCTTGAGGTTTAGTGCTTAGGAGTTCGCATGCTAAGGCTTTTGCCGTTTCGGGCCTGCAGGGCTCTACGTTCGAAGGCCCATGAATAGGCCACCAAACGTTGGGGTCAGTGTCTAGCTAGATGTCAAAGAATTAGCAAAAACAAGACAGAAGTTTCAAGTTATATGTGACGAATGTATATAGGGCCTATTCCACAGCCTCAGCCTTAATGCTTGAATGCTCTGAGAGACTGGTATACATCCATCCGCCTCTCACTCTTCATCTCCGTCACGTGGCGATAAGCCCCCTCACGGAGGAGTGCCTGGAAGTGGAGACTCGCTAGGATTTCTGACTTCTTGGGATTTACCTGGGGCTTACAGGATCTTTAGACTGCATACTTGGACCCTGAACTGGAGTATCTGCTTGTTCTAGCTTGTTTCGGTAAGGACCTTAGCAAGATGAATCGGCAGCGCAATCGAGAACACTTACTACAAATAAATACAATCTACAAATCAGGGTCAAGGCAGGGGTTTTAAGTTGAGGGCTAAGAGCAGGAACATGAAAGCATAAGACCCCGGCCAAGCGCGACACTCTATGCACAAGTGCTCTTGAAGGCTCAAGGATGCTATAGGGGTGGTTGTCAAAATTATGGCCCCTTGTTGGGTACCCTAAATATTAGGTGCCGTATTATAATAAGGACCCAAAAAGGGACCCTAATTTTGACAACTACCCATAAGTAGGTTCGTGGGTCAACCCGGAGGGTGCATATACACTGCCATTATGGACTGAAACCCCAAAAGACCATCCCAAAGCTGGTTTTGGGGGACCTGCCTCCATCATAACTCTCTTCTTCAACAACCGGGCCCCAAAAAGTTCAAACTTTCTAAGATAGAACAAATATATAAGGCCAAAAAGTTTAAAGTTCCCCCGTTCACCATCTAAGCTAATACTAGATATGCTTCTTGCGTATTGGGATCCTCCAGGATTCGGGCCCCGAAAGACTGTAGGGGCCTTATAGTCATTAGAACAGGGATTTTTTCAGTATATGGGTGGCTGTCAAAATTAGGGTCCCTTCCTGGGTATAATACGGCACCTAGGCACCTAGTATTTAGGGTACCCAAAAAATGGACCTAAATTTTGACAACTGCCCACGTGGAAGTAAAGAAACTCCATTGGAGTTGCCAAGCATCCCGGCCCCCCTAAACCCTAAATCCTAAAACCCTCTACCCTAAACCCTACAGAAGGCGCTCTGGGAGTTCCGGGTGAAGATGTGTAGGGCTTGTCATGTCAGGATTGGAGCTTAAGAGCATCCGGGATTCTCCACTTGAAGCTTCAAATCTTGGGTACGGCCCTCCTACAGTAGCAGTCTAGAATAGGGCTACTATAGAGGGCGTAGTATGACTAGGATAAATATAAAGGTTCTGGGATTAATCTGGGGGCTCGGAACTTTCCGGGTTGGCCTTTAAACACCATGAAAAATATTTAAAAATAGGGGCTAGACGTCCGATCTCGCCGCACACGCGTGCGGCGATCTCCGCCCATACGCCCTCTGCGCTGAGTCCCTCTGGCCCTACCTGCCACTGGGGTGTGCCGGGGTCCACAAACACTCCACGGCGCCCACACAGCTCATTCCCCATCCAGACCACCACGATGTCCACTTCCAAGTTCATGGGGTTCAGGGACTCGTTGACGACCTGTGGGAGCAGGGTGTGGATCGCATCCACTATGGAGTGAAGGTTCCCGCCCCAGATGGCCTTCTGCTCTACGTTTGTGTACTGCTGGAGTATGTGCCCTTGTCCTGTGAGGGCCTTGAAGTCATCAGCCATTTCCACAAACGTCCTCGCACCAGCTTTAAAGATCAGGGTCGAGCCAGAAACTATAATGCACGCCTTCTCACGGCCACCTTTAGAGTCTAGGAATTCGCCAGCTCAAGCCTGAAACATCCAGAACCCGTACACTCGTACTAGACCCAAGAGTACCCTAGGAATAAAAAGGGCGCCCTTTTTGGTTTAAAGGGGACTAAAATTTTAAAAGGGAACCTAAATTCTAAAAAAAGGGAATAAGGGCCTACTCTGGGTCCTAGCGTATAGCCCCTGCTCAGGGTTTAGGCTGGAGGCTCTTAAATCTTACGCCGTAGGCCCCAAATCCTAAACCCTAAACCCTAAACCCGTTCTCCTAAACCCCAAACCCTAAACCCAAAATCCTAAACCCGAAAAAGCCTAAACCCTAAACCCGACATCCTAAACCCCAAATTCTAAAACCTTGAAGACTTAAGGCTAGGTCTCCGGCCAAATCGGCACAAAGCGCCACCACCTAGGCACATGAGCACACCCCCCCGAGCCTTTTCTGAGACTCCAATATCCCTTAATTAGGAATATACCCTTAAATTATAGTAGGGTCCCTAATATGGTTTAAGGAATATTCCTTAAATCCTTAAATTATAAGGGGTATTGGAGTCTCCGGGTTTAGGGGTTTAATGGAGTTTACATACTGGGTTAGGGTAGCAACAGATCGGCGGGGACGGGCCCCTTTTTTCGGGAGGTTTTCCCGTGGAATTACAGGCTGACCGGCCTGCTCTCTCTGGCTCTCCACCGACTTTCAGCTTCCCCAGAGACTCCAATATCCCTTAATTAGGGAGTATTCCATATATCATACTAGGGATTCTACTATAATTTAAGGTATATTCCTTAATTAAGGGATATTGGAGTCTCTGGGTTTCACCTTCCCGATGCCTGGGGCGGCCTGACTGGCGAACTAGGAAGCCTTGTCACGGTCCGCTGGGTTAAGTTCGTTCTTCCATCTGGGAGTTTCCGAAAATAGGGGACCCCCAAAAAGAGTACCCTAAATCGTAGGATCCTTACCATAAGGACCCCAAAGTAAGGTACCCCTAATTTTCGGAAACTCCCACCTCCGTGCAAGAAGAGGAGGCCCCCACTTCGAGCACTTCAGTCTCTGCCACCACATCCCCTCAGCAGCCAGGGCATAGGGTTTAGGGTTTAGGAGTTTAGAGGTTTAGGGTTGTACCCAAACATAACCAGCACCACGACATAGTAGTCGCCTGGACCCCGTTTCCTTACTCGTCTTCTCGACTGTGCCTCGGGCGATGGCGGGTGACGACTTTGGCCGGGCCGACACCGACACCTTTGCGAGGCGTTGCTTGCTGCTGAGCTTCTGCGCGAGGTGGCCCATTGCTTCCTTTCTTTCACTGCTGAAGCGGCGAATTGCTTCACTTGCACCGCCATCCTTTGGCAATTAGTCTGTTCGCTTTTCGACCACCCTCTCTGAGCCCTGATCCAAAAGCTCTTCTAAACCAGCGCCCTTGTAGAACCCTAGTAGAACCCTAAACCCTAAACCCTAGTAGAACCCTTCTAGAACCCTCATAGAACCCAACCCCCATTCTCCGGTTCAGCACTTATCCAAGTCCGTTACCCGGAGGCTGAAAAAGCAACACTCCTAAACCCCAAAAGCATTAAAACCTACCTTACAAAGAAATCATAATAAGGAACCCTAGAAAAGGTAGGATTTTCAGGGTTAAAGTAGTCCCTAAACCCCAAAAGCACTAAAAACCTACCGTTTTGAAGGTCCTGATGATGACTTCCTTGTATCAGCTCTTAAACCAAGAAGGTCAATACAATACTTTGTTCATGGCCCGGGTGTGCTCCCTAAGCCCCTACGTAACCACGCAGATCAAGCCCTGAAAGCCCTGAACCCTAATCGTGAACCCTAGTTGGAGGCCCTTTTGACTTAGTAAGTCTACTTAGTATCCCCTAGAAACCCTATTACAAACCCCATAACCCACCCTACTTACCCTACTTACTAAGTCAAAAGGGCCTCCAAGTATCCCCGAACCCCCCAAACTTCCAAAATCTGGAGAAACCCAGGGGCTAACCCAGGGGCTCCATAGTAGTTCCTTTGGGGATTACCTTCTAGGATTCTAAACATGAACCCCAAAAAAGGAACTACTACGGAGCCCTGAGGGTAAGGGCTACTTTAGGAGGGGCCCCCACCCTGTAATAGTGGTATAATAGGAATATAATAGGGCCCTGATATAATCTTAATAGTCACTATTACAGGGTGGGGGCAGCTTCTAAGGGCTACTTTAGCGAAGGAGATCGGAAGTTTGGGGGGGGCTTTGCGGGTTGAAGGTTTAGGTGCAGAGCATCGACTCGGAAAGTGTTCCGAAAGACGTCAGGCTTTCGAGGGGAGTTGGGTATATGTTTAGGGTTTAGGGATATCTATAGGCTTGAATAGGGCCTAGGAGATGAAATGGGGTTCTGATGAAGCTCATTAGAAGGCTTACCGTGAACCCTAAGAGTGAGCTTTTTGGCAGTTTGGTGTAGAGACTCCAGAATCGCTTTCCTTAAACTATGAAAAGGACGCCTAAACCTTACACCCCTCAAAACAAAAATGCACCCCCACAGGCCTGAACTCTAAGCCGCCAAAACCCCCTCTAAAGCCCCTTAAATCACAAACTCTAAGAAAGCCCCTAAACCCTCCAAAAAAACTCCTGAACCCGAAACCTTGTAAACCCACAACCCACCCCCCAGATCCACCCCCCTTCAACCCTAAATCCTAAACTCTAAAATGCCTGAAACCTGATCCTTAAACCCCAAACCGAAATCCCTAAACCCTAAAGCCCTAAACCCTAAACCCCTAAACCCTAAACCCCTAAACCCTACACCCTAAGCCCTAAATCCCTAAACCCTAAACCCTACACCCTAAGCCCTAAGCCCTAAAACCCTTCTTGGGCTCCGGGCGCTGTGGCCTTGGACCAGGAGATCGAAGGGCGCCGTGCGGCCGTGTGCCTGAGGAAACCCGCAGGGGACCTGAAAAATGGGGGGGGGGGGGGGGGGGTTAGGGTTTTTAGGGTTTAGGGTTTAGGGGTTTAAGGGTTTAGGGCTTAGTTTTAGGGTTTAGGGTTTAGGGTTTAAGGTTTAAGGGTTTAAGGGTTTAGGGCTTAGTTTTAGGGTTTAGGGTTTAGGGTGGCTACGACAGTACCCAGACCCTCCATCTACCCTCTATTAGACCCTAAATGCCCACTATTTGGGACCATATACCCCCTATTTTGGCTACAGAAGCTCCTAGGGTTCCTTTAAAGGGATCGACGAGTTGAAGGGGTTCCTAAAAGGAGTCTATAGGGTTTAGGGTACCCGGAGACTCCAATATCCCTTAATTGAGGCATATACCTTAAATTATAGTAGGATCCCTAATATGATTTAGGGAACATTCCTTGATTAAGGGATATTGGAGTCTGTGGGTAGGATGCCCAGGAACCTAGGAATAAAAAGGGCCCCCTTTTTGGTATTGGGTACGTTACTAAAAAACGTAGGACTACAAAGGGAATAAGGGTACGTACTACTAGGCATCTTAGGAAGGCTTGACGGCTCTACAGTGGTTAACTATAGGGTTTAGGGTGAAGGGCTCTATGGGGATCATAGGGATTATGGTTTAGGTTCAAGGCTCTAGGGTTTAGGGTTTACGGTGGAGGGCTCTGCAAAAGACTTAGGGCAGAGCTCTACAGGGCCGAGGGTTTAGGGTTTGACTCTAGGACTTAGGGTCTGTAGGGCTCCAGGGTTCCACGAAGTTTCACCAAAGAGGAACACCCATGAGGGTGGGTGTCGAAATTAGGGTCCCTTTTCGGGCCCCTAATATAATACGGCACCTAATATTTAGAGTACCAAAAAGGGACCCTAATTTTGAAAAACACCCATTTAAGGGCCGGTTCGCCCAGAAATGTAATTGTCGGGGTTTAGGGTTGAGGACTCTAGGTTTAGGGCTCCAGGGTTCCACCAAAAAGGAACACCCAAAGGTTCTTCAAGGTCGTATATGGGAGTTCCAGAAAACTAGGGGTACCTTATTTGGGGCCCATTTTTATTAGGATCCAGGGTTCCACCAACAAGGAACACCCATGAGCACTTGGGCACCCGGCGCTGCAGCCAACGAGCTTCCTTCGCTCGGCGGCGCGGCTGGGGAGCGCCTCAGATGGAAGAGAAAACTTACCTTGTAGACCCCTTTAAGGATCCCTTTAAAGGAACCATAAGGCCCCTATAGTACCTTTGTAGTATCCTTTATAGACCCCTGTAAGGATCCCTTTAACTTACCTTTGGTTAGTAGGGAATGGAAGAATGGTAGTAATAGTAGTTATAGTTGTACCCCATTCCTCCATTCCCTACTAACCCTAAACCCTAAACCTTGCTACCCTAAACCCTAAACCCCAAACCCCATTCCTCCGTTCCCTACTAACCAAAGCCTGGCTAAGGTAAGATGGAAGAGAAAACGGCCAAAACAGCACAAGGGCTCTCAGGGCTTGGAGGTTTAGGAGTTAGGGTCTTAGGGTTTACAGTTTAGGGGTTGAGGGTTTATAGGGGAAAAAATCCGCCATAAGGGTTCCTATAGCAGGGGCCTTGGGGTATGTTATACGGTATTTAACTCATCAGCTGGACTTCTCTGCTACCTTTACCTTAACCCCAAGTAACCTACCTTCTTTAAGGACTTACATAAAGAAATCATATTAGAGAGCCCTAAAAAAGTAGGTTCCTTAGGGTCCAGGTAGCTAAACCCTATAGCCGCCTAACCTCCCATGGCCGAAGCAACCCCAAAGGAGGGTACGGTTGATGATATAAATCCTAGGGCCCCTTTTAAAGGGATCTATATGGGTACCTTAAAGGGGCTCCTTTAAGGGATCTATAGGGGGTTTAGGGTTTAGGGTTTAGGGTTGATGATATAAATCCTGCATTACCTTAAGGACCCTAAACTATGGGAAGTATGGTATATTCCTTGTCATGGGTAATGCCGGACTTATATCATCAACCGGTACCTCTAGACAGGGCTGAGCTTTTCAGTTTATGGGGTATCCCTCGCTCCAGTCGGCCTTTTGGTCTTTTGGTGTTTAGGCCTTAGGATCAATCAGCCCTGGTATTTCTTCACGGATTCAATGTTTACGAGGGAAAAACTGTTCCCTTTTTTTCCGGGAGAGCATCGGAGCGCTGGTATTTCTTCACCTACTATTTGCTTAAGAACCCACCAAAAATAGAAAATATTAATCCCTATATTACCCCTATAAGGAATATATTTTTCATTTTTTGGGGTTTCTTAAGCAAATAGTAGTCACCGATTTAGTGTTTGGCTGCTAATTCTCATGACGTGGGCCCAGCTGGCCACTCCCAAAGGGTCCAATGTACTGTTATGGGGAATACTTCCCCAAACCATAATAGTAATTCCTAATATAGAAACCCTACATTCTACTATATCGGTACTTTGGACCCTTTGGGACTGCACTTACAGGGTTTGGCTGCTGATGCTCATGGTGCTGTCTTAGCGGGGCGACAAACTGAAAGGGTTCGGCAGCTGACGCTCATGATCCTTTCCGGCTGGCCGCTAGGAGCCAAACAGTTTGGCAGCTGATGCGTCTGACGCCGTCCCAGCTGGTCACTAAACCAAAGGTTTCTTCCCGGTCGCTGAACCAAAGGTTCTTATACTGGCCAAGCTGGTTTGGAATGAGAGGCTTCTCTCTACGCGCCTTGATACAGGGATTTCTTCTCGGGGTTCTGCATCCCCGTCTTCGTGGACCTGATTTGGAGGCCCTATAAAGATCCTCGAAAAGACCACCGGTCGGTTCATGGAATGTTTCCAATGGCCATCCGAAATATGAAGAATCTAGTCGTAGGTCGTCACCGCAACAGCTCTCCGGATACCCGATACCGCAAGACACCAAACCCGAAAGCCTACAAATCCTATGGTTGATGATATAAATCCTGCATTACCCATGATAAGGAATATTATACCATAATTCCCATAGTTTAGGGTCCTTAAGGTAAAGCAGGAATTAAATCATCAACCGTAGAAGACCCCGAAGCACCTGTCAGTCCAGCTAAGCCATGCTGGCCCCGCTCCTCCTCTGCTGCCCTCGCCGAGAGGAAGTTGCAAGCCAGGAAACCCCCAAACCCTAAACCCTAACCTTAAGGGTCCAAGCAGTCCTCATTTTTATGGTTTTTGGTACCTAAAATTGCCGGAAAGTCCTATAATAGGGGGTACTTGGACCCTCTGGGTAAAGGCCCAACCCTAAACCCTAAACCCTCCGCAATCACCCCTAAACCCTCAACCCGAAACCCTGATTTTTGACCCAAATCTAGCACCTAGTATAGCACCTAAATCCCTTTGTACATGAGCACCCTGATAGCAACCTTATGGTACCCAACTCCACCGGAACTTGGGTACGGCCCCCACTCAGTAATAGTTGAACAATATTCATAATATAGATGTCTTAGGACCTTAATAGTAGCCCTACCATAGACTCTTACTGTATGGGGGCAGTACCTGAACCCTACTTGCAGGTTCATGGGTAGTTATACGTGAGGGTATAAGTCCCCTACTAAGGGTTATAACCATAGTTACCCTAATTATAACCCCACTCATTACTAGGTTGGCCCTTTAAAGCCTCTGAAAAATAGTCGCACATAGGGTCCTATTATATAAGCCCAATAAGGGAAAATGTAAAACGTCCCAAAGGTCTACCTAGACTACTACCCGTGAACCTCCAAGTAACCCACAACTCCACGAGAATCTTGGCCTCGGACGTCAAAGCCAGACCAGAAGTTCTGCATGGCCTTTGGGTCTATCCGGAGGGTCCAAGTACTCCCTATTATAGGACTTTCCGGTTGGACCCTTGGGCTTAGGGTTTAGGGTTTGGTGTAGGTTCCTAGGTTGTAGGGAGATTGGAGGGGTATAGGGTATCGGGGTTCAGGGTTTAGGGGTTTAGGGGTTTATGGTCCTCAGAAGTATAGGGCTTAGGCTGTTCGTTTTTAGGATTTGGTCTTCGGTTTGTAAGTTGAAGTTTAGGCCTTGGGGCTTATAAATTTCAGGAAGTGGGGGTGCCAAGTCTGGTCTACCGAGAGCTTGGGATGTCGGTTTAGGATTCAGGGTTCGGGGTTTGGGACTTGGGGTTCCGAGGGCTGAAGCTCGAAGACCGGAATGCTGATTTTAGGGTTTAAGGTTTAGGGGTTTAGGGTTTAGGGTTTAGGATTGACCCCTGTCAGAAGCCTTCACTATGAGCCCTCCAACATGGTTTATGAGGCTTCGCTTCTCCTGGAGCATCCTGTCTGGGACGCTCCACGACTTATCATACAGCTACTACCAGTACCGTCCTCGACATTCATTCTCGTTTTCATCGGCCATGGCTGGAACAGGTACCAATCTTGCTCCAAACATTCTTTCGGTTGCCTCATGGAACTCAATAAACTCAGATTCTGACGGCAACGATGCTGGTGCCACTTGCCAGTGCAGAGAATGACACACTTGATCCTCAAACAAGCTAAACTAATGCTCCGGTCCAGACCTAAACCTGAACACGACGTCCTGCAAGTCTGAAACACGTCTCAACCCTCAAAACACCAAGCCCCCCCCCCCAAAAAAAAAAAAAAAAAAATCAACCCTCGAACCGAAACGCCAAATCCGAACCCCCCAGCACCTGCACTAGCAAAACCACAACACGAACACACTAAAGCCTAACAACCAAAAAGCAAGCACTAAACATCCAACCGTAATGTAGCGGCCTTAATAATTAGAAAAGGGTTTGGGGCCCATTATACTCCTTAACTAAAATCAGGAACCCCGAAAATAGTATTGATGGTAATTATTTAGGCCCTACATGACGCCCTAAACCCCTAAACACTAAACCTCTAAACCCTACCCCCTAAATCCTAAACCCCTAAGTGAACAAAGACCGCCGAAAGCCTCGGCGGCGGCCACGGGAAGCGCGGCCGCGCCGCCGGCGGCGGCGCGCAGCCGGGCCGAGAGCAACGGGGCCTTCATGGAGACCTCCAGATATTTTTGGTTTTTGCTTTTTAATTTTTTACGGTTTAGGGCTTAGGGTTTAGGGTAATTATAGGGCTTAGGGTTTAGGGCTTGGGGTTTAGGGTCTTTAGGGTTTAGGGTGTTCTGCTGTGGTAAAAATGGTTGTGCTGTGCTTTTGTGTGTTTTTCTACAAGAGGTTCTGTTTGCTAGTCGAGTTCACAAGGGTGGGTTGAGGGTCTGATGCTTCGCAGATGATTGAGGAGTTCGGATATGCTATTCAGCTTTTCATCGCGTGAAGACCATCGCACACCAAAACTGAATAAGACTCTTTGCGAACACTGGCGGAAACTACTCCCGACCATCAACGGCAAACAAACGATCACAGCACTGAAATCACAACTGGCGGAGCTAACACACTTACGGTAAACCTCCCGTGCACTACAACACTAGCAGCAACCGCTTCAACAACGGTTTCGAGTCTCGAGGGTATCGCCTGCGATCCCGTTCCTCTGTGATGAGGATTGTAACTTGTAACTACCATTAGCCACTGAGGATTAATCAAGATTGGGTGGTGACATTATGGACTTGAGAAGACAAGCGACATGGGAGTTCATTACGAAGTATCCCCAGGCTCTGATGCTGGCTCCCGCCAAACATGGCTGCCTGAGAGCGTCGGGTCGTCGTCGGTGGTGGGCCAGGCGGCGGAGTGGCGGAACGGAGGGTATTTCCCGGCGCATCTGGCTCCTCGTGGTGCGTTTAGGGCTTCAGGGTGCTAAGGTTTAGGGCTTACGGGGCATGCTGGCCGTTGGAGCTTGGGGCTTGACTTTAAGGTGTAGGGGTTTAGGGTTTTAGAGCTACCGGTTAACCTTTGGAGCTGTTTGGTCGAAGCTTACTTGCTAGACTGCTAATCCGTAGATGCCTTAACGAATCCACAAAGCAAGGAGCTTCAGGTACACAGGACTTTCTGAAATTTCCGACACGAATCGAAGGGCACAGTAGTCCGACCCCGACCCTAGAAACCCTCATGCCGTCCACTGTAATTCTAGGATGTGCAGTAACCTAGGAATAAAAAGGGCTCCCTTTTTGGTATTGGGTAACTTTAAAGGAACCTGGGACTACAAAAAGGGAAAAAGGGCCCACTGGGAGGCCTAGAATTCGAACCATGTCGATGGAATCTGGTGGAAACTTGCCGTGGTCCTTGGCGCGAGGGCTCTCAGCGTTGCCAGACCTTGTTCGCTTGAAGAGTCTAGGAATCAAAACCCTGCAGCTCCCACACCCCTAAAACGTGTAAGCCCTAGATTCTAGAGCATCGAAATCAGTATGCAATGTACGAAGAACCCCCCCGAGCCCGACAACCTGAAAACCTTATCCCTATACTACAAGTTAGTTAAGTCAAATCGCAAGACTTGCACCACGGGTTCCCTGCAGGTCTGCAACGGTTTCCTAAGAGCTACATAAGGGTTCCCAATGGGATCTCTATCAAGGTTAGGAACTTTCTACAGATACACATGGATTCATGTTTGGGTTTAGAACCTCGGGTTTTAGATTGTAATGTTTTTAAGGTGTTTAGCACTTGGGATTCAGGGAATCTGGGCCACCAATGCCAGCCTGAAGCACAAAGCGCGTTCAACCCTCAACTGAACCTAAGTCTTAGTTGCTGTTATTGCTTTCTGGTATTACTAGTGTTACAAAGACTCCAAGCGGGCCCTCTGGCCCTATCCTGCAAGTACAGAAGCGTTACTGCTTTTACTAGCAGTGCTCTGCTTCTTATGGTTTCTGTTGTTGGTGCTGTTATTCTTATCAAGCTATGATCTTCTGGTGCAGATTTTGCTCTGCTGTTGGCAGGGAGTGCTTGAGTTTCACAGCTCTCACTTAGAAAAAAGCCTGAAAGGAACACACAACAGTCGGATGTGATTGGGGTTTAGAGCCTGGAAGAGCACGGCATAACGACAAGACGAGAGTAGTCATACCGACATAAACAAACACCTCACGAAGAAGAGTACAAGCACCAAGAAGGCCGCACACATGCTTCCATGCGACGACTTCATGTTGCTTGACAAGGGCACCCAGTGGTACGATGTGACCAACTGCTGATGGGCAAGCACAATCACTACAACGAAGCTGCAACACGACCGAGAGTTGCGATGCAGACCATGGAGCTTAACTGATGACCGAATCCCTTCCGAAGATTTGTTCTCTCCATTTGTTCGTAGAACCCCTGAAGGACGGTTTATCGGAGCCAAGACTTATAGGGCGCAAAAAAGCACATAAGCAAAAATATGGATAGGGATATCCCATATAAACTCCCTTAAAATGAAGCCCACTAAGGTAGGAATATCTCTATAAAATGCTTATGCTTATGTGCGTTTTGGGTCCCTAAACTTAAACCCATACGCTGCTGCTACCTCTCTGCTGGAGCCCCGGACGCAAGCGGCACACGCGGTGGGAAGCCTTGTGACGAGGTCGCGTCCTCTCGCTGAATACGGTTTAGGGTTTATGGGGAACTCCAGAAAGTTGGAATATGGATTAATGGTAGGATCCCCTATAATTTACCTTAAAGGAGTTACGATAATGATATTCCAACTTTCTGGCTTCTACTGTAGGGTTTAGGGGTCTCAATGTGTGACGCTGGAGCCCCTGGTTTCACTGCAGAGTTTTGGGTTGCTACTCGCACGGTTGATGATATAAATCCTGCACTACCGTGTGGACCCTAAACTATGGGAATTATGGTATATTCCTTACTACTGGTAATGCAGGATTTATATCATCAACCGTATCATCTCAGCACATCCTGCTAGCATATTCCGTGGGATTCAAGCATCCCGAAGCTACCTGATTCCCTTTGTCTGATCTGGGTTTCATACCTACAACCTTAACACCAATCCGCTTGAGACAACCGACGACAGACACCCGGACAAAAATGCTGCTTGGTGGGAGAAAACCCCGAACCCCCCAACCCTTCTTGGCACATCTAGTGGGTCCCCTAAACACTAAACCCGACAACGCTAAAACCCTAAGCTTTAGGGTTCAGAAACTGCAAATCAAACTAGGGGAAAGCCTTTGGTCAGGAATTGCCGTTGACGAATCCAGCACAGTAAGACTTGTTCACCTGTGGCCAAAACGACGTCATACCATAGATGGCCTAAATGGGTTCCTTGTTATATCATAGCTATAACAGCATATGACCCCGAAAACCCCACTCTAATCTTTGAGATCCCCAAAACCCCACTCTAATCTTTAAGATCCCCAAAACCCACTCTATCTTTAAGATCCTTTAAGATCCCCCCAAAAAACCCACTCTAATCTTTAAGATCCCGAAAACCTCACTCTAATCTTTAAGATCCCCCCAAAAAACCCACTCTAATCTTTAAGATCCCCATTTTAGAGCCTCTTTGCCCCAACCAAGCCTTAAGACAAAACAGAGCCGGGCAGCCTGAGTTGGCACCAGAAAACTCTGTGGGGTTCAGCCTCTATACCAAGGAAAAGACCCAGGGTTTCTTAATCAGGTTCCTGAAGGGGGTTTAGTGCTCTTCAAGACCAGTGGAGTCTACGGGTACATCAGCCAAGGCTTCTCCTCGGGTGCCGGCGTGTTCACGCGATACTCTGCCAGGATCGACTCCTGGGCAGGTTCGGATTTGGGGGGACTTTGGAGGTAGGAATTGCGATTGGGGTCCCTTTTTAGGATTGGGGTCCCTTTGAAAGGGTTCTTTAAGGGATCTATGGAGTTTCTATTGCGTTTCTACTACTACTACTACTACTACTACTACTACTACTACTACTACTACTACTACTACTACTACTACAAGGGTGGCTCTCTGAATTCAGGTCCTTGTTCAGGTCACCAAAATAGCAAGGCACTCTTACAAGAAGGACCTTATAAGAGGGACCCCAAGCCAGAGAACTGCCCTTTTGGGAGTTTAGGAATTACGTCTTGAGGTTTTAAGATTCGGGGTTTTAGGATTCACCTCTTAGGGTTTTGGATCGAGGGTAGGGTTTAGGGGAAATGGTCGAGGTTGGGGGCTGTGATGAATAACTTTTGAAAGCACAAGGCTGTAGAGTGCTTTATGCAGGACTTAAATGACGCCTCGCAAGCTAAGCGCTCAGGAGGCAGGCGCCGCGGTCTAGGGTTCAGGATAGAACAAAAACACATACTAAAAGCTGCAAGAACGACTCCCTCACCTAAAGGCTAGTGGTGATACACCACAAGGAACATTCTTGGTGATACGACAGTAGTCTTGGAGGTTCATGGGAATTTCTGTCCGGGATGCAGTCTCAACGACTCTAGGGCTTGAACATGCCATTGTTTGTCGATACAGGTGTTTCCACTGTTGCTCTTGATGTTGCTGGTTTTGCCGTTGTTGCTCTTGCTGCTGTCGTCACCGTTGTTGCTGCTGCTGCTGCTGCTGTTGTTGTTGTTGTTGTTGTTGCTGTTGCTGTTGCTGTTGCTGTTGCTGTTGCTGCTGCTGCTGCTGCTGCGGCGGCGGTGGCGGCGGTGGCGGCGGCGGCTGCTGCTGCTGTGGCTGCTGCTGTTCCTGCTGCTGTTGTTGTTGTTGTCGTGTCTGCTGGCGGTGGCGGTAGTGGTGGCAGCGATGGTGTTGCTGTTGTCGCTGCTGATGTTGATGTGCTGTTGTCGTTGCTGCCGGTGTTGCTGCTGCTCTTGTTTCAGTCTTGTGTCGGGGATGGGAATACTGCGTGGTTTGGGGGTAGGGTTCTGTCCTCATGTCTGCTGAGTTCTTTGGAAACATAAATTAGTACCAGCCGTCCCCCAACCCTACTCTAACATAGCCCAGGTACCCATCGTGAAAGGCTGCAAGGCCTCTATGACAAGTTGAAAATGTTCCGAGACTCCGTCAAAATTACTTAGAACGGTAAACCATAAGACTGGTGTGCATGCGCGCGGCTCTGTATGTGCTTATTTATCTAGCCATTATGTATGCATCCATCAGATATTCCTTCGCCTGCAAATTGCTGGCATAGGCTGAATTAGCCTGACAATTCACAAGAGCTCGGAGGTTCCATGTACCTATATCTTATACACTGTGGCCCTAAGGTGAGAAATACTTTAAGCCATACCACAAACATGGGGGTTCAGGGTGAAGGGTTTAAGGTTTAGGGTTTAGAGGTACGAGGACCCCCGTGGAAACTGATTGCATCCTCTGGTGGGGCCCATGCACATTGTTACGACAATATCGTTGCAAGTTACACGGGACATGTAGCCAAACCATAAGAACTGATGCGCACATGTCCATATGGCGAACATTTGGGGAGAGCACATGCACGATGTTTCAAAAACTACTGAGACTTCAGAATACTTGTTCTTTCAAATCACAAGATCCTAAAGACTAAAATCTTCACCGTAAACATCCCCTAAAACCCCGAATCAGACTGAACTGCAAAAGTCACAAGTCCAAAACGACATGCACCCTAATTAATTAGATGCTAGACCCAACAACACTCAAGCGTGATCTTGTCAGGTGCTCAGCCCGCTCAGCCAGCACTCTCAACCTCTTGACCCCCGTTGCCTACGGCTTAGGTTTGGGGGTTTGTAAAGCTGCATGCGCCTCTGGTTTAAACTGACTGCAGCTCGCTGCGCTGAAGGTTTACGGACTGTGAACAAAAACCTTCTGTCTCTAATCGGAGGTTTTCAAGCGTGGGATGAAGATAGGTGGTATTCTCCCCAATCAAGAGCCATGAACCCTACACCTAGGGATCCTTCATCCCAGCTTACGAGGCCCTTGACCTCAAGCTCGACTGCCGAGGCAGCGGCTAGGCAGCGATCTGGATCTACTAAGACCAGATCTACACCATCGGCCTTCAACAGCTCCTGGCAGTTCAGATTGTTTAGGGTTTAGGGTTTAGGGTTCAGATTTTTTTACGAAGCTTGCATAAAGGCTTTAAGGCTTTAAGGTATGTGAGGCAGATGCATGTATATACTGAAACACGATAGGGTTTGCAGAGCCTGGCGCAAGAATTGTGCGTAGTTTCTGTGGGGTCTTGTAGAGGTTTTTGTAAAACTTTATGCGGGGGCTTGAGAGTGTAGGCGTGGCCGTTAATCAAAAGCGGCTTATGGTGTAAAGCAGTTCTGTATTTCGGGAGTACGACTTGGGATTTGGGTTTGGGCTTAAGGGTTTCGGGTTTAGAGACTCAGGTTTCATTGCTTTCCAAAAAACAGACCCACCAACAAAAATCCTCTTGGTAGCCTTCATAGACAGAATCCCATTAGCTCTAAAACATACTGGCTGTCAATCATGCTAACTGCTGACGAACAGACTCGCACATTATCCAGAAGCAAGAATATCCTGTAGCACACGTGCTGAGGGCACACTAGCTAATGAGTATCAGTCTCTTGCATTGCTTTCATTCAAGATAACCTGACCTATCGCGTCCCAAAAACCTGCGATAGCAACTTGGAAGCCTCAGCCAGACACCCTCGACCTTGAGGGCATGGTTTTTGTTCCTTATTTTTTTCCGTTTTTTTTCTTATTTTTTGTCCGTTTCCCTTGTTTGGCTAGGGGTAGGGGTAGGTAGGGGTAGGGGGCGAGGGGGTAGGGGTAGGGGTAGGGGTGGGGGTAGGGGTAGGGGTAGGGTCATAGTAGCAGTAGAAGTACTAGGGGTGGTAGTAGTAGTAGTAGTAGTAGTAGTAGTAGTAGTAGTAGCAGTAGTAGTAGTAGTAGTAGCAGTAGTAGTAGTAGTAGTAGTAGTAGGTGTAGTGGTAGTAGTAGTAGTAGTAGTAGTAGTAGTAGTAGTAGTAGTGGTAGTAGTGATAGTGGTAGTAGTGGTACTAGTAGTGGTACTAGTAGTAGTAGTAGTAGCAGTAGTAGTAGTAGTAGTAGTAGTAGTAGTAGTAGTAGTAGTAGTAGTTAGTAGTTAGTAGTTAGTAGTTAGTAGTTAGTAGTTAGTAGTTAGTAGTTAATAGTTAGTAATTAGTGGTTAGTAGTTAGTAGTCCGTAGTAGTAGTAGTAGTAGTAGTAGTAGTAGTAGTAGTAGTAGTAGTAGTAGTAGTAGTAGTAGTAGTAGTAGTAGTAGTAGTAGTAGTAGTAGTAGTAGTAGTAGTAGTAGTAGTAGTAGTAGTAGTAGTAGTAGTAGTAGTAGTAGTAGTAGTAGTAGTAGTAGTAGTAGTAGTAGTAGTAGTAGCAGTAGTAGTAGTAGTAGTAGTAGTAGTAGTAGTAGTAGTAGTAGTAGTAGGTGTAGTAGTAGTAGTAGTAGTAGTAGTAGTAGTAGTAGTAGTAGTCGTAGTAGGAGTAGTAGTAGTAGCAGTAGCAGTAGTAGTAGGTAGTAGTAGGTAGTAGTAGGTAGTAGTAGTAGTAGTAGTAGTAGTAGTAGTAGTAGTAGTAGTAGTAGGTGGTAGTAGGTAGTAGTAGTAGGTAGTAGTAGTAGTAGTAGTAGTAGTAGTAGTAGTAGTAGTAGTAGTAGTAGTAGTAGTAGTAGTAGTAGTAGTAGTAGTAGTAGTAGGTAGTAGTAGGTAGTAGTAGGTAGTAGTAGGTAGTAGTAGGTAGTAGTAGGTAGTAGTAGGTAGTAGTAGGTAGTAGTAGGGTAGTAGGCAGTAGGCAGTAGGTGGTAGGTGGTAGGTGGTAGGTGGTAGGTGGTAGGTGGTAGGTAGTAGGTAGTAGGTAGTAGGTAGTAGGTAGTAGGTAGTAGGTAGTAGGTAGTAATAACAGGAGGCTGCAACGATTCCATCCTTGCTTCCTTTATTGCTTGCTTACTTCTTTGCTTGCTTGCTTGCTTGCGCGTTTGCTTGCTTGCTTGCTTGCTTGCCTGCTTGCACGCTTGCATGCTTGCTTGCTTGCTCGCTGGCTTGCTTGCTTGCTGGTTTGCTTGCTTGCTTGCTGGCTGGCTTGCTTGCTTGCCACGAGGAAAACGGAAAAAAATAAGAAAAAAAACTGAAAAAAAAATTAGCAAAAAATACCGCCACCCGACCTTGAACCCTGAAGCGCAAGTCTCCGCTGGAAACCTTCGTGATACAGAGCCTACTGACATTTCGGGTCTTCAGAACCCAAGGCGCCAGGGACGAGCCAAAAGCCCTGGCCCTAACAAGGCCCCAAACCCAAATCCCCAAATACACGGTTAGGGTTTAGGGTTTAGGAGTTTAGGACAGAAGCACCTCTTAACCTCAAGCTGGGCCTCAGCCACATCGATTGTACAGCTGGGATCCATCTCCACTGCGACCAATGGTCGGGGTACCTGCTGCGGTCTGTTACGGCTGATGCTGCCTGTCTGCTTGAGCTCTGTTCAGTTCGGGGAGTTGTACATTCCTCAACTGTGCAGATCCTCAAACTCTGACAATCAACCGCAAATAACAAAACTTTGGTGCATAAACAACTCGACCAGGGTTTTGGCATATATTGCATATGCCATAGTTATGACAGGAACGCTGGGGCAACTATTCAGCCGCTATAAGAGCTGCTCTCTCAAGTGAGATCCGTTCTCAATATCAGATTGTGACGAGACTGAGCATGGTCTCGGGCTCTCCATATGGGTACATTCCGGCCCCAAGACCCTCTAAGCCCCTAGGCCTAATCCCGGAAACCTGGGCCCTAATCCCTACAGCTCCAGCTGTAAACCCTGCATGTAACCTGCACCCTTAGGCCCTAGTCGTTAGAGCCCAACCCCGAAACCTGCTCCCTAATCCCCACACCCCCATGAATCAAGCCTCTGAAATTGACTAGCCAATAAGAATAAAGAGGGATGTCTCACATGCCGGCACCGAGAACCCCAATGAGCAAGGCGGCGGCTTTCGACAACCCCCATGAGCTGGGCACCGGGATCGGATCTTCCTCCCCGGCCGTGGCAGCTTCCTCAGTAGGAGAGCTTCTTTGGAGGTACAGGAAACTCCAGAAAGTTGGAATATGGTTTCATGGTAGGATACCCTATAATTTACCATGGTTAGGATAATCATATTCCAACTTTCTGGCTTTTACCTTAAGGGATCATCGGATCTGCCAGGGATAAGCGGTTCAATTAGGGTTTATAGGGTTTGCCTCGGGAAATAAGAGACAGCCCGGGAAATGCGGGGGAGGGAGTAGGAACCCGCTACAGTACCTGGACCCCCAAAGTATGTAGAATAATTGCCTTTCATAGGTCTTGGGCTATTATGTTACCTACTTTGGGGGGGTTTAGGTAATGATCTTGTGGCATTTGGGGCTACAGCGTTGTGCCTATGAAGCTTCGGGTTCCTGGGGCTTGAGCTCAAGGCTTCGGGCCAGCTGGGTGTAGGATTTGGGGGCCGTAACAATGAGAATATAGGGTTGCGGAGCTCATTGGCTCATTGTATTATAATTAGAACAGTAAGGAACCCAAAATAGTATTGGTAATACTTATTTCGGCCCCGGTATTAGGATTTGGGTTTGAGTTGGGAAGAGGCTTAGGTTGAAGGACGACCTCAGCAAGTGGGTCACCACCTCGGTTCTGAGGACACGAAGGTGTCCCTCTTCGCCACAAACTGCTGAAGAGCTTACCAGCATGTTTGCAGCACACAGTTGCCGTCCTTAGCGCATTCAACCTTCCTCATCTCCTGCATGGCTTGTGTTGCTTGGGACCACCGTCTCTTTGGCAAACTCAATGCGCAGCCTGCACCTGCGATGAGTTGAAACACGAGCAGAACCCTGAAGGGCCTTAGAGACCACAAGATTGAAACCAACCTCAACCAGGGTGGTTTACCTTTAAAGGGATCTATAAGGGTTCCTTTTAAAGGGCTCCTATAAGGGATCTATGGGGTTTAGGGTACCGTATGGGTGGGAATTTAAAATTAGGGTTCCGTTTTGGGAACCCTAAGTATTAGGTGCCGTACTACAATAAGGATCCAAAAAGGGACCATGATTTTGACAACCACCCACCAGCATCAAAGGCCGCTCAACAATGCATGTACATCCTGTACATGTAGACGCTTGGAGATTTGGTGAGTGGCTCGGGTTGCAAGATCTGGGATCCGAGGTCGAACAAAGGGGGCCTCAATGATCAGAAAAAGCTTTGGGGTATGCTGTATTATCAGTATACTTGGATCATTCGAGGATACGGCGTTTTAGGGTTTAGGATTATAGGCTTGGGGTTTACAGATTAAGCCATTCACGATTTGAGCCCGACAGGTCCGCATATCCAAGTTGATCGACCCAAGAGGAATTCACTTGTGAATTCGAACGCAAATCCTACCAAATGCTTCGAAAAGCAACCTCCCCCAACACCGCAAAACCAAACCTCATTCTGTACTCCAACTATCAAAAACAATACAACTATTACAAAAACCGAAAGCAACCTAAACCCTAAACCCCTAAACCCTAAACCCTTAAACGAACTGTGAAGCCTTAAGCTTTGAAAAGCCGAAGGGCCGGCAGCGGCAGTGGCGAGCTCCGCCACTCAAGATATTCCTCAAAGGGGTCACTGCAGGCGTTCTTTTCACAGGGTTTAGGGTTTAGGCTTTAGGGTTTAGGGTCTAGGGCTTCTTCTGAAATGGTTCTTTAAAAGGCTCAATAAGGCTTGCGGATATAGGAGAGTAGATAAGTTGACTCGACTCAGAATTGACGCGGTTCGACACGACCAACCTAGGAGAGAGCCCTCGTGAAACCCCCATGGAGGGGCTCCTACTGTCCTAACTGGGGCTCGAGTTTCGTGTTTAGATAGGGGTGGGGATTCTTTTACCGAGGATCCTTGACCCTAAACCCTGGACCCTGCTGATTGCGCTATAGCAATGTCAACATGTCTCAAATCCTTTGACTCGACTGGTCGAACTAGTACAAATCAGACTTTTTTGAGACGGACGAGTCCGTCACTTCATCGGCGCTTGGCTTGGAAAATTGGCCCGCCACCTTGGGCGCGGGCTTCACGGGCCTAGGCTTTCTGGAGTCGTCCTTCTCCTCATACTCCTCCAAAACTGCCGTCCAGAAATCCAGAAAACCGGCTGTGGGCTCGGCAATGTGGGAGCCTGAATATTTAGACTAGGGCTTTGGGCATTGTCTACAGATAAGGAGCGCTGAGGAACCATATTGGTACTTGTACTCGGCTTCTACATTAAACAGTAGGCGGGATGCCTAGGGGTCGTCAGTCACAGGTGAATCACGCAGTAGGCCCCCTTAGAACCACAATCGAAGTATGACTGCTAACAACACGTTGGGGTCATACCACAATCAACAACAACAAACTTCCTAGCAACCCTACAGATCGTCATTAGACGCCAAGGCGCCCTGCCCTTAGGCTCTCCGGCCACTGAGTCACTTCAGAACCCACCGACCATGCGGCCGAGTCTCGTCGTCGCGCGTCCGCTCGCCTTGAACTACACCTACAGTCTCCATTGTAGTTCCTTTTTTGGTTAACCAGTTTTATGGTTAGGATCCTACAGTAGAGATTTTGGTTAACCAACTACAATGGAGACTATAGGCACACTGCACGGCTGTTTTGTCTGGTTGTTGCTTTCGAGCCCTAGTTGCTGAGTTCATAAGCCCCCAAAAGTGTACTCTTTCAGTGTTATAGTAGGTATTGTTATCCCAAAACGTGTAAAGTATCCACTCAGCTACCAGGGAGCGCTTTGGGCTCAGGGCTTTGGCTATGGCTTTGGCATGAGGGCTTAGGCTTCGGCGTGGCGCAGCAGCGCTTAATGTGCCTTCTTGGCGTCAATGGTTGAAGGAACGCTGCGACGAAAGCTCCCGCATAATCAGTACCCTTATCACTGATGCGAAACCATTCTTACCAGCGTTACACTCGCTGCCAGCATTCTCAATCCTGCTACTCCTGCTTTGGTTACACGTTTGCGGTGTGGTGAATACTGGTAACACAAAGTATGGCGAGTATTACTAAATACCACTCGGGTTGCTGAAAACGAGTTGCTTGCCAAGGCGATTACTTGCATTGCGCTGCTAACATGAATGTGATTCTGGTGGATAGCCGACGCTGCTGTTGTTACATGTTGCTATGATTGCAAACTACGACACTCTTGGGCTCAGCACTGCTACTGTAGCTGATTCCAGCATCCGCACGAGGTGCAACATAGATTGCCAGCGGTCGTAAGGATAGCTGCACCACGAAGCTAAACAAAAGCTCGTGTGTGGAACGAAAGAACGGTAATTCCGTGGCCCTGACGGCCTACACCCGAAACTCAAACCGATGTCTAGAAGAGGGGCATGCTCATCCCTCACCCGATCTAGGGTCAAGGGCTGCTAGCACGCCGTAAAGTCTATAAATGCTAAACATTGATTCCTAAAATTCCCTAAAACCAGAACCCTGCAAGTTATCGGGGAGTGTGAGCACGCATCAGTCTGAAATTCGAAGAAGCGAGGGTTGTACACAAAGTCAGAAAATCTTGGAGCCATAAGAAAATGGTTTGGGATTTCAGAGTTGTAAGGTCAGTTTGTTCTAAGGGTTCTAGGATTTCCAGGCTTTGGGGTTAGGGCTAGTTGCTTATAAGTGTGCTTTGAAAGCTTATAAAGGGAACTCCAGCAAGTTGGAATATGGATTAATGATTAATGGTAGGATCCCCTAGAATTTACCTTAAAGGGGTTACGATAATGATATTCCAACTTTCTGGCTTCTACTGTAAGGCTTTACGATGGGTTTCAAGTCACCACACTACTCCAGACCCAAAGGCCTGCGGCCTGGAAGCCTGGTCAAAAAGCCACCCCAAACCCCTCCAAAAATGAACCAAACGGTTGATGATATAAATCCTGCATTACCCGCCATGGAATATACCATAATTCCCATAGTTTAGGGTCCTTAAGGTACTGCAGGATTTATATCATCAACCGAATCACCGCACACCCTACACTAAGCAGCGCCAGAGGGGAAACAAGCGCCAGAACCCCAACACCAACAACTCATGGTCATCCTTGTAGAGGCCTCTGAAAGTAGAGATCATCAACTCCTGTAAACACCCACAAAACCAGCCAAGACCAGCCCGCTGTCTCTTGCTCCGGACCCGAAACACCAAAACCCCTGTTTAGGGTTTACGGTCTAACCCTGAAGACTAACCAAAGTGAAGGCCCAGAGACTGACTTTCCGGACCGTAAACCCTCAAAACCCCAAACCCTAAAGCCCCCAAAAAAGCTGAAAAGCTTAATTAAACCTGAAACCAGCCCAAAAATACCTAAAATCCTGAACCCTGAAACCCTCCAAAAAACCCTAAAACCCTCCAGACAAAAGCCCTAAAACCCCTATAGACCCTAGCCAAAAAAGGGCCCAGGGGCTGACTTTTCGGACCAGGGCCCCGAAAGCCTCGGCCTCACCTCGGCTCTGCACCTGAGGCAGAAGGAGACCTGCGCAGGGCAAAGCCTACCTTTGGTTGTAGGGGCCTTATTATAAAGGGGTCTATAAGGGTTACTATGGGTACTATAATTTAGGGGCCTTAATAATCTTATAACTTACCTTTGGTTACTAGGGAATTTGGCTCCTTTAAGGGGATCTTACAGGGGTTTAGGGTTCCTTTAAAGGGCAACTTACCTTCGGTTACTAGGTTAGTAGGGAATGGAGGAATGGAGGGTTTAGGGTTTCGGGCCTGATAAAGGGGTCTAGGTTAATTACTATGGGGAATGTATAGGGGTACTAAAGTAGCCTACCTTTGTTTAGTAGACAGGGATCTATAGGGATCCTTATAAGGGATCCTATAGGGGTTTAGGGTTCCTACTTAGGGAATATCGGGCTCCTTTGAAGGGATCTACAGGGTTCCTTTTAAGGGATCCTATAGGGGTGAAGGAGACCTGCGCAGGGCAACATCAACCGAAGCTTACTATAGGGGCTTTAATATAAAGGGATCTATAAGGGTTCCTTTAAAGGGCTTCTTAAAAAGGGGATCCATAAGGGATACTATAAGGGGTACTATACCATAGGGGCCTTAACAATTGGAATAGGGTTTTGGGATTAAAATTATCATAAGGAACCCCCAAAATAGTCTAGGTATTTATTTTTCCTTGGTTGTAGGGGCCTTATACGGGTTTCTATAGGGGATCTATAGGGGTACTGATCTTATATCTTGCCTTTGGTTACTAGGGAATATAGGGCTCCTTTACAGGGATCTATAGGGTTCCTTTTTAGGGGTTAGGGGTTCCTTTAAAGGGAAGTTTAGGGTTTAGGCCCTTGGTTAGTAGGGGCCTTATTATAAAGGGGTCTATAAGGGTTACTATGGGGAATCTTTTGGGGTACTATAATATAGGGGCATTAATAATCTTATAACTTACCTTTGGTTCCTAGGGAATAGGGCTCCTTTAGAGGGATCTACAGGGTTCCTTTTGAGGGATGCTGCGGGGGCCTAGAGTTCCTTTGAAGGGATACTTACCTTTGGTTAGTAGAAAATGGAGGAATGGGGTTTAGGGTTTAGGGTAGTAGGGTTTAGGGTTTAGGTAGTAGAGTTTAGGGTTTAGGGTAGTAGGGAATGGAGGAATGGGGTACAATTCTAGCTACTATTACTACCATTCTTCCATTCATTTACTAACCAAAGGTAAGGCAATCCGGAGGGCGGTCGGGTTTAGGATTTAGGCTTTGGGAGCAGTTTTGGGTGTAGGATCTAGGAGGGTTTAGGGTTTAGGATCTATATAGGAGGGAGTTTAGGGTTTAGGACCTAGGAGGGAGGGTTTAGGATCTATATAGGAGGGAGTTTAGGATTTAGGATCTAGGAGGGTTTAGGACTTGGAGGGCGTAGGGTTTAAGATCTAGAATCTAGAAAAGTTTAGGGCTTAGGTTTAATAAGGAACACGGAAAAGGCCGGAGGGGGCAGGGTTCTTCTACGGCTTCTTATATACAGGTTCTATACGGGATCTTGTATGGGTTCGTCTAAGGGCTGATTTAAGGGTTTCTATACAGGTTTGGGGATTCAAAGTTTAGGGTTGAGCCTAGGAATTGAAGACAAAGGTTACCCTAAGGCCCCATAATAGTTCCTTTTTGGGGTTCATATTTAGAATCTTATGTGGTGATCCCAAAAAGGAACTACTCTGGGGCCTCTGGGTAAGGTCGCTTGCATGCTTGACCGGCTTGAGGGCCTTTAATTAGCACGTTTCAGTCTTCAGCGCTCCCCTTTGTTTGACGCGACCTTCAGTGCAGCGTCTGAAGTGCTGTTCCCTAGGGATCTAAGGACTCATATATTAGAATTCAACGCTGAATAAGACCTAAATCCACAAGTGCATGTCAATCAAGGTTTTCGCTAAAAGTCGAAACCCAAGCAACTGCTGAACCCGAAACCCTATAATAAATGCTATAACATAGGGACCTTAATCATTAGAATAGGGTTTTGGGGCCCATTATACTCTATTGATAACCAGGAACCCAACATATTGTAGGTATATTACACAGAAAGTCGAAACCCAAGCAACTGCCGTGGTTGCCAACTCTTCGAAGAACGGCCTTCAGCTCCGGCGTCGAGAGCTCGGTAAACCTGGAACTTATTCGAGCCATGTTTGTGTGTGTGTGTGTATGTGTTTGTTTTTGTTGTTGTGATTGCTTTCTTGATTCGCTTCTATGCTGCTTTTGGGCTTATTTTAGGGGCCTGAATAGTTACAGTAGGATTTGGGGGGGAATTTTATACAGTAGTCTAGAGAGATATACCTTCAAAGTACAACCGGTCGGGTCTACGTAGTGTCCTCGCGCGCTACCGGGTGTTAAACTTACTTAATAAAACTATACTGAACTTAGAACCCTAGCAAGAATTTTAATTTTAGCTGCTTCTTAGGGATTATAATAACCAAAAATTAAAAGCTATTTCAAAGTACCCTTAAGAGTAGATGGCCGCTGCAGGCCTTGCTGTCTGCTTTGGGGCTTACCTACAGTCTCCATTGTAGTTCCTTTTTTTGGTTAACCAGTTTTATGGTTAGGATTCTATAATAGAGATTTTGGTTAACCAAACAAAGGAACTACAATGGAGACTATAGGTATAAGCAGTTTAAGGTAAGGGCCTTAATCATTAGAATAGGGTTTGGGGAGTCCTTATATATTATACTTATGATATAATGGGCCCCAAAACCCTATTCTAATTATTAACGCCCCTATATCAAGGTGTGGGATTGGATGGAGCTGCACGAGGTGCGTCCAATGCCTCCACCCCGGCTATGCCAAGACCACACACCCTAGGCCCGAAAACCTAACACTCCACCTTATAATATACCTTAAGGACGAAATGAACCCTAAAAGGGTCTAAGGTTCATATACCATATATCATATAGTGATTCATAGTATATGGGTATAGCCTACTTTTAAGGGTCATTTGGTCCTTCAGGCACCCTTTACTAAACCCGAACCCCTGAACCCTGAACCTAAACCTAAATGTAAGCAGAAAACATAAACTACCAAGCCTTGAACCCATCTGTTGAAGCACAAGAAGGGTTGAATACGTTTGAGGGGCTTTGCTTAAGCGGTTTATAAGAGTCTGACAAAGGCTCTTAACGGTACAACACTGATGCTTTAGGGCTGGATTCTGGAGCTTCTCAGAGTTGTTCTTTCGTGGGTGCTAGGGTTTAGGGTTTACGGACGCAGAGCCTTACAAGCAAAAAACCTTTTGGATGAAGGATCTAAAGCTCAACAGTCCAAAGCATACTTACAGTCTCCATTGTGGTTTCTTTTGGGGTGACCTTGTTCCTATGGTATACACGTGATCATGTCAATTTTTTAAGATGTTAATTTATCCCAACCATAAGTTGGCTAGCCCAGAAAGGAACTATTTACAATGGAGTCTACAAGTAGCGAGGAACTTTGACACTTACGGCACGCAGCAATATCCCCACCTGCGTGTGCTCCGCACAGGGTAGCCGGAGGATGCAGTGGGCTCCCGCTCCCACAGAAGACCTGAACAAGCTTAACATAGAGGCCTTAATGGAATATGCAGGGCTTTGAGGTCTTTTGTAAAATAGTATGGCACATGTGTAACTCTAACAAATAACAATTGAAGTTAGTGAGGTTGCCTGACTTCCTTTTAAGCGGTTTCCTGAGGGGGTCCTCTACAAGGGTCCAGTAGGATCTGGGATTTGTAGGGCTTGATACAGTGGCTACAGCAGCTGGCAACTGCCTTGATAAATAGATACAGGGTTTTGGTGTTTCAGGGGGTTTAGGCTTTCATGACTGACCCAGCCTTGGTCAAAGAGGTGGCCACTACTATTCCTCAGCACTGTGACTGAAAACATTTCGGCCATTTTGCCCCTGAACCCTGAACCCCAGAAGCCCCTGAAGCCTCCAAAAGCCTCAATCCTTTGCCGCACACATCAAAAACATAAACTCAAGCCCTAGACCTTCATGAACCTCTTCTAGGAACGGCCCCCCCCCCCTCTCATTTTGTAATACCTCTAAAAGTACAACCCCCCCTATACAACCTTTCTAAAGCCTTTTGCAGGGCCTCAGAACCTCGTCACATGCTTAAACAACCGAGTCCTGCATTTAACGGTCCCTTTAAAGGGATCTATAGGGATTCTATAGGGGTATAGGGTTTTAGGATTGACTTGGAGCTTCATGGCTAGTGTTTAAGGGGGGGTATAAGTCCCATCATAATAGGGGTTATAACCATAGTTACCCGAAATATAACCCCACTTATAACTACCCATGAACCTCCAAGTATACAACCGAGTCCTAACTCCAAACACCAATCCCTTCACACAAAAGGAACATGTCAATGTGGGTAGTTCTCTACAATAAGGGTGCCGTGCTGTTATGTGGACCATAATAGGGACACTGATTTAGAGAACTACCCATATAGTACCTCTTCTATAAACCCCATGATACCCCTACAGAAACCGCTATAGATCCCGTTAAGGAACCCTAAAAAAGGGCACCCTAATTTAGAGAATTACCCATGTGCATCTTCAAGTTCAAGCGGCACAAAACCCTAAACACTCTCTAAACCCTAGCACCCTACAACCCTGAACCCTAAAACCCTAAACCCTAAAATCCTAAACCCTAAACCCTAAAACCCTAAAACCCAAAACCCTAAAAACCCTAAAACCCTGAAACCCTAAAAACCCTAAAACCCTAAAAGCCCTAAACCCTAAAACCCTAAACCCTAAAACCCTAAAACCCCCTCAAAACCCATCTTCAACCACTTCGCCCCGCGCGGCGCGCCTCACGAGATTCGCCGCCGAGAAAAAGTCGCCCGGGCCATTCCTATAGGTGGTTGATTAGGGGTTCCTTGTAAGGGGTTCCTTTAAGGGGTTCCTTTAAAGGGATCTACAAGGGATCCAAGGGATCTATAAGGGATCTATAAGGGATTTAGGGTTTTAACTCAACATTATGTGGGTGGTTGTCAAAATTAGGGTACCTCTAAAGGGATCTATAAGGGTTCCTTTCAAAGGGCTCCTATAAGGGATCTATGGGGTTTAGGGTATGTCAAAACTAGGGTTCCGTTTTGGGTACCCTAAATTTTAGGTGCCGTATTATAATAAGGACCCAAAAAGGGGCCACAACTTTGACAATCACCCCTATAGACCATGTTTAGAGGTAGAGGTTTAGGGGTTTAGGGGTTCAGGGGTTTAGAGGTAGGGGTTTAGGGTTTAGGGGTCTAGGGGTTCAGGGTTTAGGGGTTTAGGGGTTTAGGGGTTTTGGGGTTTTGGGTTTTAGGGTTTAGGGGTTTAGGGGTTTAGGGGTTTAGAGGTTTAGGGTTTTGTTTTGGGTTTCGGGTTTCAGGGTTTGGGGGTCTGGGGGGGTAGGGTTTATTTTAGGGTATATTTGTTTTGGGTTTCGGGTTTCAGGGTTTGGGGGTCTGGGGGGGTAGGGTTTATTTTAGGGTATATGGTAATTATCGAGTTCAGGGTTTAGGCAGGACGGGACTGGGGAGGAGGACGAGGAGGTTGGAGCTGTGTAAGTGTTGGAGATAAGAGAGCAGCCCTGAGAAACTCAAAAACCGTACCCCGCGTCTTTGCCCACAAGAACCGATTAAACCATGCACACGAGATCCCGAAGTTACACATATCTACCCAAGTCGCTCGTGGTCAACGATGATGAGTTCGAACCCGGCTTGGGCGATGAGCTCCTGAAGTGATTGAGGTTGCAGGTGCTTTCAGGCTTTAGGCTCCCACCGGTTTCGAAATTTTCACATAAAGTTTGGGTGCCTTGTCCCTAAACCCTAAACCCTTGCCGTTCTCTTGGTTTGAGGAGTTTGATGCGGACACCCTAAACTTGCAAGGATCAAGGCCTGGAGCCCTAAAGCCCGAAACCTGAGAAGCCGAAAGGCTGTGGTAAACAGAGTAAGCCTTACAGCAACGCTGTTTATATGTAATCTGTATTATAGTACCTGAACCCTAAACCACCACCCTACATATCCCTTCTGTACTCCCGAAACGCCCTGAAAGCCCCTAAACCCTAAACCCTAATCCGGTCTCCGTGGTGATCGCGCCACTCAGCTGCGCCACGCACGCCACAGCCCGGGCGCCTCCACAGCCGACGGCGCGTGCTTGGGGCGTAGGGGTCTGCCTAATTTAATGGCTCAATAATTGGAACCGGATTTTGGGCTACGTTATGCTACACCCATATGCATATAGTGTAGTGGCCTTACTCGTTGGACTTGGATTTTGGGTCATGTGATGCTACACCTCCAAGAAGGAACACCGAAACAGTATTGGTAATTCTTCGGGCCCCTTTATGATAGTCTTCATTGTAGCTGCTTTTGGGGGTGCCATGCTTCTGTATAGGACCCTATTCGTCGCTGGGTGGTTTAGGAGCACTGCTTCCGCCAGAGCTCTGGCACCTGCCAAAACAAGACGAACGGGAAAGTGAGCTCTCTCGGGATGCATCTTCACCCGCATGTAGGGTCGCGCAGATGTACCCATGGCTAAGTGGCTGCATCGAAGTATGCTTGTACGCATGAGTTTGTGTGTGTGTGTGTGTGTGTGTGTGTGTGTGTGTGTGTGTGTGTGTGTGTGTGTGTGTGTGTGTGTGTGTGTGTGTGTGTGTGTGTGTGTGTGTGTGTGTGTGTGTGTGTGTGTGTGTGTGTGTGTGTGTGTGTGTGTGTGTGTGTGTGTGTGTGTGTGTGTGTGTGTGTGTGTGTGTGTGTGTGTGTGTGTTTTTGTGTGTGTTGTTGTGTACTCTATGAATAGTAACAATGACAGCAATAATAACAATACCGATACTACTATCTATCTATCTATATATATATATATATATATATATATATACCTGAGAGGAAAAGAGTTCAGGCCCCCATAGTCAGCCCTCTAAGACTCGAGGCAACTAAAGACTAAAGCCCTGTAGAAGCCCACAGAAGACATGCAGAAATCCTAGAAAAGACCATCGAAGTCAAGAACCACTATAAAGATCCTATGCTTATACCCCCTTTTAAAAGGAACCCCATTCTAAGTATTAAGGCCCCTGCAGTACATCTCCCCGCCAGCTCCCTCGACTCCTGCCTTGGCGCAGCTGTGCCGGAAGCGGCGCGGCATCTCCTGTAGATCAGTTGCGGTTTTGGGGTTTAGGGATTAGGGGTTTAGGGTTTAGGGTTTGGGGCTTCGAGTTGAGAGGTTGAGAGGTTTGAGGGCTTATGCAAGGAGTCACCGCGGACGATCCGGGCGAGATGCACGCAAGGACCCCTACAACGGACTATCAGCAAAACAAAACTCCCCGTTAAGATGCTGTGCGCGTTTGAGGGTTTAGATGTCTTTGGTGGAAGCCCGAAAGCCAGTAAACCCTGAACCCTAAACCGACATACAAAATCACGGAGCCCTATGTTCAAAGTAGTACAGTACAGGCCTTGAGTGAAGCCCATAACCGATCCAGAAAGAAGCCTCTCAAAAAGGCCCTACCTTGACTGCTCGAATGCTATTGAGGAGACCGTTTCTGGGGGCCTTGCAGCCCACATCCGCAAACCTGCTATAGGTAACCCATGGCCCTATTTTTCTGATTTAATTCGAACCATTCCCTCGGTTCCTCAATATACTCATAGTATAATAGACCCCATCATGAAAAGGCATCAGGGCAAGACGCTGGGTGTACTGTAAAGCCTTCGACCCATACGCCACAGTAATCCTCTGTGCCTTATATTGTCACGAAGGGAGGCCTTGTATCAAGGCTCTGAGCCCCATAAAGGGGTCTTAATATTTTAAATAGGGTTTGGGAATAAGTAGAAAAGGGTTTGGGGTCCCATTATACTATAACAAGGATAAGGAACCCCCAAAGTAGTATTGGCAATTTATTTAGGCTCCTATATTGTAAGTCCTGAGCCACCTGGGTGGTTGTCAAAATTATGGTCCCTTTTAGGGTACCCTAAAAAACGCCCCTAATTTTGACAACTACCCACCTCGCTTTTCAGCAGCTGCCAAGGCAGCCGTGTCTATCTCGGCCTCTCGCTCGACTCCTTGGGGACCTGGCACAGCAGCTGTTACCAAGTGAGTCTACTTGGAGGTTCATGGGTAGTTATAAATTATAAGTGGGGTTCTAATTAGGGTAACTATGCTGATAACCCCTATTGGGGGACTTATAACACCGTCTATAACTACCCATGAACCTCCAAGCAGACAGGTTCTACAACTGTTCTCCGGGGACAGTCGCATTGTCTTGGCTGCTGGGGCTTGCCACTGACCCCAAGACTCCAAGACCCATTACTTCAGGGACCGTCCCCGAAGCATGGAAAGAATCACAATTTACTTTAAGGTGCAGTTTATGGTTTCGGGCTTCCCACAAATCAAAGCTGGTGTAGTACAGGGCTTCCTGAAGTTTGCAGGGGCTGGGTTTAGGATTTAGGGTGGCTGGAGGCCCCGAAGTTTAGGCTCCCATGAAGAATTCGTCATATTGCCTGGTCAAGGGGTTTAAGGCTTCATAGCCGACTCAGACACCCCTTGATTGAAGTGCCAGAACGCAGACTTGTCGGAAAGATCCTAATAGACCCTGTTATAAGACTTACTCGGGACGCTACCGCTGCAGAAGCGTGTACATCGTATTTCTGCAACCCAGGAACAAAACATAAACATCGTGGATTCGAAACCCCTCGAACGGTTGCACTCTGCACCTCGCATCCCAGACCACATACCATCAACCAACACGCCCGAGCGCGTAGATCCAAAGCCCCCAAACCTTAAAGCCTTAAGAAGCTTATTGTTCTCATCTTCAATATGGTTCAAATCCCGCATTTAGAGTTCCTATGAAGGATGCCATAGGTTGATACAAGAAAGGTTAAAGGCGACACCAATTATGAGGGAATCTATGAGGGGTCACTGCTCTAGGTAAAAGAGGCCATAGACCCCCCCCGTCTCAATAAGGTCCCTTCTAAGAGAACCCTAAGGCCCCTTTTTACGAACCATAATCTCCCTTTGCAGAGAGCCATACGGTCCCTTTTAAGAGAGCCATAGAAGTAGGGTTCAGAAAAGACTACTTAGGTTGGCCCTTTAAAGCCTCTGAAAAATACTCGTAAAGAGGGTCCTATTCGGCCCAATAAGGGAAAATATAAAATATCCCAAAGGCCTACCCAGCTACTTCGGAGTCTCCGGGCCTTAAGCTATAGTAGGATCCCTCATCTGATTTAAGATTTAAGGAATATTCCTTAGTTAAGGGATATAAAGGTCTCTGGGTCCGGGCCTGCATCCACGCTTTCCGGAGGCTCCGAGGAACTGGTGCTGGGCCGCGTCTCTGGCGCCTCTGCCTTGCAGGGCTCCTTTTACAAAGGGGTCCTACGGCTGATGATAGAAATCCTGCATTACCTTAAGGACCCTAAACTATGGGAATTATGGTATATTCCTTACTATGGGTCATGCAGGATTTATATCATCAGCTGTACCCTAAACGCTAGTCCTGGAAACCCTACTTGGAGGTTCATGGTTATAACCCTATTTATAACTACCCATGAATCTCCAAGTAGAAAAGATGCAACTGAAACCCAGACCTCTCTGGACCTGTAGTTGCCGAAAGCCACGAGCCACGAACTCAACCTCTTCAACCGTAGTAGGTTGACGATAGAAAAACACAACATCGACTAAGCAGCTACTTGTACTAGATGAAAGCCTGAAGCCTGAAACCTCCACTCTAAGTCAAACCTCAAACTACCACAACCTATGTTGTTGATTGTTGCTGTAGTTTAAGATCTGCAGGGAGCCTACCAAAAGCAGATTGTTTTGGTTGTTCTAAACCCTAAACCCTGAACCCTAAACCCTGAACCCTAAACCCTAAACCCTGAACCCTAAGTAGGTCAAAGAAGGCATGGGCCTCTGCTGCGGGCTCCGGCGGAGGCTCGTCGGCCACCTGGTAAAAACAGCAGGTTAGAATTGAGGCTCGGTTTAGGAACCCTAAACCCTAAACCGTTTTAGGCGTCGGTGTTTGGGCTTCAGGGCTTTGGAGTTTTAAGGTTCCGGTTTGTTTGTGGGTTTACAGATGGGTTTTGGATTTAGCTAGTTTGGCGGCTTCTGTATGGGACTCGCGGGACACCAGAAATCATACCGCCCCTCTCCAAGCCAAGCTAAACAGCTTTGCAAATCCCCCCTTCTTTCCGGGAAGTGAACTTCTCTTGTCCCTGGCACATTCGTAGGCGGCTTACAACAGAAGTTAAGCCCCAAACGGCTTTGGGTCCCAGAATCCCCAAAGCCAAAACACCTGCTTTCATGATGAAACTGGTATGTGTGCGGGTATATTCTAGTATAACCAGAAGGTGTTCGTCTTACTGTTCACCCAAATCTCTACGTACAGTAGATGTCATCAAGAATTTGTGTCAAAAGCTCGACACCTATAGACTGGATTGCTGAATGCTGCCCAATTGCCAAGTACCCCTTAATCACCAAGCCCTCTTAAAAGCTTCATTCGGGCTTCGGATTGTTGTGATGTGAGGAATCTTGCTCTCTTGAGGGCTGCATCGCCGAAACGCGGCCTCAGCTGCTTCGTCTTCGGGTGCCTCTGCAGCCTGCGCCAGGTGACAAACAGAAGCGGGGAGAATCTGGTTCTCAGTTGTTAGTTATAACCTGGAGGATTGAATTTTGCAGCATACGCCTGTATAACCCCTGTATTGATGTAATCAGAATATGGCATGTACATCCACAGTCCCTAATCTTGCTATTCCGGCCCTTATGGTATCATTATGTATCATTGCATCACTACAGCGAAGGAACCCCGATGTGGTCCCATTCTATTATTGTTTATGGCATGGGAAATTGTGGGCCGCACTTTGTCTGCCCGATTTGGGCGTCCATACTTCCTGGGAAAAAACTAGTTAGCTTGCCTAAGTCTGCTGTCGTTGCTTTCGAAAAAATCCATTGCAGCCTGGCCCTCGCTACCCCAGAAGCCCATCAGACCGGACTGCAAAGAGCCCTGCGAGCCCGGGGCCAAGAGGAGGCGATGGGTGCGGCATCTTGACAACACTATCACCACTAGAACAAGCAAGAAATTGCAGAAATGGTGAGAGTACTTGGAGGTTCATGGGTAGTTATAAGTGGGGCTATAATCAGGGAAACTATGGTTATAACCCCTAGTAGGAAACTTATAACCCCACTCAGAACTACCCATGAACCTCCAAGTACAGATGCGCCCACTTCAAGAACTTCGTCATCTTTGGCTTCTTTCTCGATAATCTGGCACTTCATCGTTTGATACTTCCTGGCTGCCTCCATACATCAGCCTGGCTTGGGGCTGGGCCGTCAGACGCACCAAGCGCCGTGAGGCAGCGAGAATTTCGATGAGTCGCTGGCAAAGCGTAAAGCGTGCGTGGACAGGAAATCATGGCACGACTGTTCGGCGGTGGAGCAGGGAGGGCCCTTTGCGAACATGGGCAGGCTGTCCTTTGGGGCACACTTGCGGCTGGTCACCGCGGATCTCAAAGAGTGCTTCCAGAAAGGCACGGCAGCGAAATCGGCTGTGAACGCCATAAACCCCCGTGGCGGGAGCATGATTGCCCAACAACAGCAGATTCTTGGAGGCGGAAGCGCTAGTCGCATCGAGAACATGCATGGCGCTGTGCCTGGAACTCGATTCCAGGGAGGCGGAAATGCGGGACTGTGGCCTGCCAACATCAAACAAGATACCATACCACAGCAAACAGAACAAATATGTGAATGATGATGTGGCACAACAACATATTTGCTTCATAATTATCCTGAACCCTCAACACCAAATCTGAAAGCCTAATCCCCCTAAAAACTGAACCCTTGGACGGGTGCCCGCCTCCGCCTCCAAGCGCTCTGACACCTCCTCCGCAGGCGGCGCCTACCGGTTCAACAAGTCGGCTTAGGGCTTAGGGTTTAGGGTTCAGGGTTCAAGGGTTTCAGCTTTAGGGTTTAGGGTTTAAGGGTTTAAGGTTTAGGGGTTTAGTGCTTCAGGGTTTAAGGGTTTTAGGGTCTTAGGTTTAGGGTTTAAGGGTTTAGGGTTTGGGGTTTAAGGGCTTCAGGTTTAGGGTTTAAGGGGTTAGGGTTTGGGGTTTAAGGGCTTCAAGTTTAGGGTTTAAGGGTGTAGGGTTTGGGGTTTAAGGGTGTAGGGTTTGGGGTTTAAGGGTTTTTTTAAGTGTAGTGACCCTTTCTCCGTGTCGCCACAGGTCGCGAGCCTGCCTTTGGTCAAGGCTTACACTAGAACGGGGTAGAGCACTCAGTAGACACAGTACCAGCTGCGGCTCAGTAGACGTTGTCCCGGCTGCGGCTTCGCTCTCTACGATCAAGTCGTGCTGCACTCTCCAAACGAGTCGAGGGATCTCCACTCCAACTCACTCCAGCCCATCCCGCAAGACGCCAGTGTGCAACACTCGACGTCGCTGCAAGTCCTATCGAATACAATGCAGGAGGCGGTCATTCCCACAGCTTCAGGATGCAATGTTCTTCTGTCGTGAGCGTCTAATGATCGTGGTCCACCCCTTCTCGCGGAGAGTATCCGTGGTTTAGGGTTTAAGGGTTTAAGGGATTGAGGTTTAAGGGTTTAAGGGTTTAAGCTTTAGGGTTTAAGGGCTTAGGGTTTAGGGCTTCAGGTTTCACGGGCTTAGGATGAAGGAGTTGACGATTTAGGACTCTAAATAGAGTTTAGGATTTTAGGCTGCAGGAGTTTAGGGCTAGTCTCATGGCACCTCTTTGCAAGAGTCGTCTTCCGTGAATTGCGAAGTCTAACCTATTCTGAGGTGTTTAGTTTCAACTTGGTATCAATGTAAGCTAGAAGGCTTATAGTAGAAGCCGGAAAGTTGGAACATTGGTATCCTCATGCCCTGAAGGTAAAGCATAAGCAATCCTGGCACTAAACCTCCTAAACCCATGCCGGGATTCGCAAGAGTGTAAAGCTTCAAACATTCGTAAAATCTATTCAAGGATCCATAACACCCATACTCGCAAGAGTTGCGCAGTACGTCTGCGGAGCACACAGACACAGACATTGAAATATTGGTACATATGACCAAGAACCTTCCATGTGGTCGCATCGGGAGGCCAGGCTATATACAAATGGTTCCTAAACACTACAACCAAACCTTAGAAGGACTATAAGGATCATACTAGGGCCCTATTATATTCCTATTATACCACTATTACAGGGTGGGGGCCCCTTCTAACCCAAACCACTGAGCCTATGAACCTAGTCCCCAACGAGAGAACCTGGACCTGAAACCCTAAACAATGCCCCACAAAGCAAGAGGGTCTCGGCTTCAATAGCCCTAGAAGCCCTAAGGCACTAAATCCCGAAGTTTAGCACTAATTCCAGAATGGTAGTACATATGGAGCCTTATACCCTAAACCCTATAGAACCCATAAAGGAGCCCTTAAAGGGCATTCTGAGTCCCTCTGTGCAAGAAGTCCCTGTTCGCTATTGTTTACGTTGCAGAAGGATACCTCTCTCTGAGCAGCAGCATCATCAGCGGCGGTGATGGGAGCCTGGGGCATAGGGTTGACGTGAATTTCATAAGTCCATGCGCTTAGCGGGCTTTGTAGGGGCGGTAGAGTTCACGAGTTGAGGGTGTTTTAGGGTTAGATCCCCTTGTTGTTTCGGTGTTGGGTTCAAAATTCTATTGTTTAAGCTTCCGGGCTGAGGGTTCAAGGGTAAGGGGCAGAGTGCCCTGTCCTTGGGATGAAGCCTCGCAGTCTCAAGGCGTTTGATTATGTAGGGGCTTCATCATAATTAGAGTATGCTTTTAGGATATCCTATGAATACTAAGAGTACCATTACCATAAGGAACCCAAAAACGCTACTGGTACTTGTTCAGGCCCCTATATTATTCCTGTTCACACCGAACCCCAAACAGCGCTGTGCAACCCTTATAGAACCCCGTGAAGCCCTGACTAACAGAAAGAAGCCGAGAACAAAGAATCGCCCTTTGCCAGAAACCCTGAAACCTCAACCCTGAACCCTAAACCCTAAACCCTAAACCCTTAAAACCTAAACCCTTAAACCCTAAACCCTAAACCCTAAACCCTAAAACCCTAAACCCTAAACCCTAAACCCTAAACCCTAAACCCCGACCCCAGGATCCTAGAGCCGCGGATTCCCAAGTCCCAAGACTCGAAAGCCTAAACCTTGAAACTCCAAGCCCTGAACAATGAAGCCTCAACCGCTAAAGATCCTGAAACCTAAACCCTAAACCCTAATGATCCTGAAACCCTGTAAACCCCACAGCCCCTAAGGCCCCAACACTCAATCCTCCTGAGCCGACATCCTAAACCCTATACTCCTGCCTATCGTTGTAATAATTCTTTATATACATCATACACACATAGTAACACATATGTATTTATATATATATATATACATACATATGTATTCATGTGTCATTTTTGGTTATATATACATACACAATGTACCTATATCCATACCTATGTCTATATCTACATCTGTATCTATATCTGTACCTAAACCTATACCTTCGTATCTTTTTCTACATTTGTACCAGTAAGTGTATAAGTGTATAAATGCATAAATGTATAAATGTATATGTATGTGTACATGTGCTATGTGTACATGTATCGGTATATGTATATGTACAGGTATATGTACATGCAACTGTATACTTATTGTTATTTCATTTATTTGATTGTGCTTTGACATGGCCTCCTCGGGCATCGTCTCGTCGGCTCTTGGGGGAGCTCGCTGCTCAGCCGAGGGTTGAGTGGACTTGGACCGGGCTTTGGCAGCCTCGATGTGGCTTGAGTTTGAGGGTTGAAAACCCTACAGCCCAAACCCTAATTAGGACTTTTGTGGCATGTAGGCTTTGGGGTTTTAAGAGTTTAAGGTGGGATGAGGCGTTTGGAGTTTAGGTGTGGGGCGGGTCTGCAGTAGGAGTTTCGGCTGTGAGGCTTCAAGGTTTTGGGGCTGCTCTGGGGCTGTGCAAGCGGGTCTTCAGACTTACTGCGGGGTTTTAAGGTCTTCAGAATCTTGGGTTTCGGGTGTAGAACGGCATTTTTTTTTCGGGTTTCAGGGCTTAGGGCTTAACCAGGGGTGTTGAGGGTTGTTCCAAAGCACAGGGAGTACACGTCGCCTCCAGGGGTTGGGATTTTGTGGTTGCGGGTTGACCCAACACACCAGGGTTTAGGGGGGTAGGGGACTACTCGTATGCTGAGCCTATTGACGATAGGACCCAGTGACCACCCGTAGGATTTGTTTATGGCTATTTAACGCAAGCCTTTGGATTAAGATCTGGGGGCCTTGGGGCTTGAGTCTCTAGGGGCCGAGGTTGCCATCAGAGTCAATGACAAAATCTTGGCAGTAAATACGATCCTCTTAAGCCCAATAACGGAAGAATACAAAATGTCCCACAGCCCTAACTAAAAGTATTAAATAGTCACGATGAGACAACATAGCTGATGTTCTGGACTTCTGTTGTTGATGACTACGATGGTGATGACAACTGTTTCCGACATCACGACCGACTCCCTATCTGCGAGAGGCGGCTTCAAATTCAGAATAGCATTTTGGGGTATACTATACCTAGGTTACCCAGTAACCTAAGAATAAAAAGGCATCTCTTTTTGGTATTGGGTAACGTTATAAGGAACCTAGGACCACAAAAAGGGAATGAGGGTACTACTGGGCATCCTAGTATACTATACTTTGATTACAGTATAGCAACCCAAGAGCCGAGTATGAGTAAAAATTCAGATTCCTATCGTCAATACCAACCCCCTGTAAACCGACCTTAAGGTGTAGGATTTAGGGGTTTAGGGGTTCAGGGGTTTAGGGTTTTAGGGTTTTAGGGGTTTAGGGTTTAGGGGTTTAGGGTCTATAGGAACCCTTCAGAGGGAATTCCGACCGACTCGTTTAGCAGGCTGGAGCCTTCTTGGCCGCCGCTGCCGCAGCTTCGCCCCGGACGCCCCGCCGCACCTGCGCATTTCCATAGGGCTCGGTTTAGGGAAGGGCTATGGATTTCGGGTTTAGGGGTGAGGTCTGGGGTCTTGGCGACAGAAGCAAAGGCCATGTGGCAGGCTTCAACCCTGGGGTGGTGTACGGCTTGCACTTTTGCAGGCTTTCATCCTCCGTTGTATGAGCTTGCAGGGTGAGGGCTCAGTGTGTGTAGTGTTATAAACCGATGAATATACCCTTGGCAATTTTTCCGACAACCTTATGGGCAGTTGTCAAAATTATGGTCCCTTTTTGGGTCCCTATTATAGTACGGCACCTGATATTCAGGGTACCCAACAGGGACCCTAATTTTGACAACCACCCATATGGGGTTCTAAGTTCTGTGTAGAGTTTACCTAGAGTCTCCATTGCAGTTCCTTTTGTTGGTTTAACCAAGTATATAATTAGGATCCTATAAGGTAACCCCAAAAAGGAACTACAATGGAGACTATAGGTGGGTTCTGTAACCCTAGACCCTACCTGAAGGACCAAATGATCCTTAAAAGTAGGGCCTATACCCATATACTATGAATCCCTATATGGTATATGAACCGGTCGACAGACCCCACGCACTGGGGCTACTACCCTGGAGACCCTTCTCGGTGCAGTCTCTCGGGAGCAGCCAATAAAAACGGAAACCCCCCTTATTGGGCTTCATTAATAAGGGGATTCATATGGGACATTATCCTAATTTAGAGGATATCCCTACCTTATTGGGCTTCATTATAAAGGGAACTCCAGAAAGTTGGAATATGGTTTCAGGGTAGGATACCTTATAATTTACCATAAAGGGTTTAGGATAACCATATTCCAACTTTCTGGCTTTTACTTTAATCCGAAACCAAGTGGGTGTGGGTTCAGGCATACAAAGACCAGTTCTCAAGCTTTTGGAACCCGGGATCAGGAACTTGATCCCATGGCGGCTGGGGAGTCGGATTGCAAGGCTTGGGCTTTATGGTTGCAGGGTGTGGGGGGTTTAGGGTTTTGGCCCTGGGTTTAGGGATGTAGGTTACTTACGGCTTTAGGTTTGTGAGCTCAATCTTCAATTCTCGCAGCTGCCTCTTGTACAGCAGTGGCGAACACGGGCACCGAGTCCTGTCGCACGACAAGATCAACAGTGTAGGCTTTAGGGTTTAGCGTAGACTACCATAATGTGGTTCTTGTGCCTGGAATTATGCAGAAGCCGTGCAAACGGAGGCAGGTTATGGTATGTCGAGGTGTGGTGTAGGGATATGTGTGTGTGTGTGTGTGCGTGTCCAGCAAATCCTCAGATTCTTCTGCCGGTTTGACTGGCTCGGTTCCCAAAGGTTTTAGCTATAGGGTTGTGTATCGGTCTGGTGTTTCAGGAGTATTGCAGCCCTCCTTGCACGGTGTATGCTTGCAAACCCGGCAACACCCGCTGCTTCGCCAAGAACCGAGAAATAGGGGTCTGTCTTCTGAAACTTTATGCTTGGGTGCCCACCGTTTGCCAGTCGGATCTTCATATAGGACCCACATTCTGCAGATACACCGGCTTCCATCGCCGGATGCCGCAATCTGCTGTCCGAAGCGTCGCCGATGCCCGGGGGCTCAACAAGACTCGCCGTCGAAGATGGCTCCTTACACCCCTAAATCGCACTGCGGTGTCAACCAGCATCCTGCGCGTTCAGGAGCCGACGTTCGTCAGAGACCATACTAGTGACTATAAGGATTATATTCGGGCCCTATTATATTCCTATTATACCACTATCACTGGGTGGGGGCCCCTTCTAAGCCATTCGGATGTGCGGCTGCAATGGCAGAACTCACCGCTGACCCTTACTCGCTGAGTCTTGTTTTTCAATTGGCCTCCAACTCAAAAATTCTGCATAAATCCTGAACCCGAACTCTACACCCCAAGCTCTAAATCTGAAATGGGCATTATTATGACAACAGATCACTTTGGAACACCCAAAATGATGTGAACAAAACTGCACCTCACTGTAGAATCCCAGTAAGACCCTGTCACTGGAAAACCCTGCAAAACACAATACAACCCTATAATGCCGAACAAAAAGCCCTAACCCATGAAAATCCAAATCAGATCCTAAACCCAACACCGTTGCAAAAGCCTTGCAGGGAACCCAGGAAGGATTTTTTTAAAAGCCATCCTAAACCATAAATCCCTAAGCCAAAGCACTAAACCCTAAGCCCTAAACCCTTAAACCCTAAAGCCCTAAACAACTGAACCCCGAAATTCTAAACCCTAAACCCGTGCTATACTAAACCTTATAGAAACCCAATGCCCTAAACCCCAAACCCTAAGCTCTAAAACCCTAAATCCTAAATCCTGAACGCTTCTTAAACACTGGGGAAAGAAGGCCACGCGAGGAGGCCTCGAGAAGATCGAAACTCTGGGAGAAGCAGAGGCGGACGCAGCCGGGGCCTTGGCTTGGGGTTCCTTTCAAGGGATCTATAACGGTTGCTTTAAGGGATCTATAATAAGGTTTTGGGTTTAAGGTTTAGGGCTTGGGGTTCAGGGCTTAGGGCTTAGGGTTTAGGGTTTAGGGCTTGGGGTTTGAAGTTAGGGTTTCAGGGTTCGGGGTCTAGGGTTTAGGGATGAGGGAGGAAAAGGTCAAGGGTTTAGGGTTTAGGGTCTTGGATTTGCCTTGGGCAAAGGCTGCTTCATCAATGCAGGTCTTGGGCTTAATTTAGTATTCCTTGGCATTCCTTGCTATACTTAATGAATAAATACCCCATAACCCTATGCTAATATTTAAGGCCCACACCTTCGAGTTAAAGCTTTGGATTGTCGGGTCTTGTGGCTTCCGGGGTTGGTGGGCATGCTGGGCGCTTACGGCTTCGCTCTTCGGGCTCTGAGGTTTAAGGCGTACCTAGTAGGCCCTCAGGCATAGGGGAAAAGGAGGGACCCTTAATGGGGACCCCTACCCTGTAATGGGCTATATAATGTATACATAATAGCCATATTAAGGGTATCCCTCCTTTTCCTTTTTGATATCCCAGCAAAACATTCCCCAATTCCGCACGGGATCTCCGTGGTCCCCCTTCAAAAAACCATAATTACGGTTGATGATACAAATCCTGCATTACCCATAATAAGGAATATACCATGATTCCCAGTCCTTAAGGCAATGCAGGATCTATATCATTAGCCGTAACACCATGTAGGAATCCCTTCAATCCCTGTAGAAACCCTCACAAACCCCGATACTGTAGGGTCGTTTATGATTAGAGTAGGGTTTTGGGGCCCTTTCCATGTAACTATAATAAGGAACCCCCCAAAATAGTATTGGCAAATATCGAGACGCCTATACTAATCCTTACAAAAACCCTTATAGTAGCCCTGCCCTGTAAAGGAACCCTATTCAAAGTATTTGGGCCCCCACAGCCCGATAACAACTGCAAGTAGTGGTTTCAAGAAAAGCTTGCTTAGGCCCCTGTATTATAGTACCCTTATAATAGCAGCCCTTATATATCCCTTCAAAGGAACCCTTTAATAAACCCTTAAACCCTAAAACTCTAAACCCCAAACCCTACAACCCTAAAACCCTGAACCCTAAACCCTAAAACCCCAAACCCAAAAAACCTATGCCCCTTTAAAGGAACCCTTTAGCAAAAGCTCCTTCTGCTTCAAGAAAAGGCCTCCAGTGCCCTTCGAGGCGCATCCCAGCGCAGAGCCGGCCTCCGCAGCCACGTTGTGTCGCTCTAGGGCCGAACCTGAGAAGAAGATTTACCCAGAGACTCCAATATGCCTCAATTAAGGAATATACCTTAAATTAAAAGTAGGATCCCTAATATGATTTAAGGAATATTCCCTAATTAAGGGGTATGGCCGAACCTCAGAAGAAGATTTAGGGGTACCTTAGGGTTCCTTTAATGGGATCCTTTAAGGGGTTCCTATAAGGGATCTATAGGGTTTAGGGTTTATGGTTTTTTGTTTAAGGGTGCAATTGGTTCTCAGAAGAAGATTTAGGGTCTAGGTGTTAGGGGTTTGGGGGTTTGGGGGTTTAGGGTTTAGGGTTTCGGTATAGGGTCTAGGTTTTAGGGTTTAGGGGCTTGGGGGTTTGGGGTTTAGGGTTTAGGGTGGTTGTCAAAATTAGGGTCCCTTTTTGGGTACTATCATATTACGTCACCTCATATTTAGGGTACCCAAAAACGGACCATAATATTGAAAACTACCCAGTTTAGGGTCTACCCTAAGGCCCCAAGGTAGTTCCTTTTGGGGTTCATATTAAGAACCCTATGAGGTAATCCCAAAAAGGATTTACTTTGGGGCCTATGGGTAGGTTTTAGGGTTTAGGGGTATAAGGTTTCGGTATAGGGGTTTAGGGGTTTAGGGTTTAGGTATATGGGTTTGGTTAGGGTTAAGAAGTTTAGGGGTTTAGGGGTTTAGGGTGTAGGGTTCATTATTTAGGTATATATATATATATATATATGCTACATGCTTTCTAAGTATAACCCGACTACGACTACTGCTAATGATAATAATACTACTACGAGGACTACTACTGCTGCTCTGTCCGTCTGTCCGTCTGTCTGTAGGCAGGTAGAAAATTGCTACAGGTGTTTAGCAATGTTGGCTGCTGATGGCTGTGATGCTGTCGGCTGCGGCGGAGGCGACGATGCTGACACTAGCCGCGATCTCCCTGCTCAAGACGACAAGCACAATGACCGTTTGGACGACAACAGCCTGACAAGCCATCGTCAGCGTCCTCAGAATAGATCTGCAGAGGTGGCAACAGAAACATCATGGTCATGCTACGTAGGCATGGGGGGTGAACACTAAAATGGGGGATTTAGTAATTAGAATAGGTTGTTGGGGTATATTATACTAGAAGTACAAGAAGGAACCCCCCGAATAGTATCGGTAATTGTTTAGGCCCTTGCATTATAGCAGGGGTGAAGGGTTCACGGTGTAAAGGACAGACCAAGCTGGCTTAGAGGCAATTGCTGTACCATACTCACAGCACATCAGGAGGACCAGACAATGAAGGCTTCCCTCCCGGAGGGGTAGTACCATACAAGGCGTCAGGGTTTCGAGGTTTTTGGGCCCTCGAATTTCCGGAAGTAAGAGACCCCTTCCCTCGAATTTCCGGAAGTAAGAGACCCCTTTTGGGGCGTTCGTCACAATGAAGAACATGTGGCCAAAACCATAATTGAAGACAGGCATCAGACCTGCCGCCTAACGTAGGGTTTAGGGTTTAGGGTTTTGGGGTTTAAGGTTGGGGTTTGGTGTTATTCAGGTCAACGGTTTACATGCCCTAAACTCCAAACCCGTCACCTGCCCACAGCTCTTACATAACCAGCATGACCGAGCACCCTGCAATACTCCCCCTCGTCGATGTCTTCCGGCAGCTTTGCCACCATGTGTCCGCCAGCACCTGAAGATGAAGGGTTAAGGGGCCTTAGTGATTAGAGTAGTGTTCCTTTAAGGGCTGCATTGAGAGTAGCACATAGTATCCTTTCAGCAAGCAACTGGTTCGTAGGGCTCCGGGACCAGGCGCAAGGTTTAGGACTTCATCGATACTTCTCACCTAGGCGGGGCTTGGCTGCAAGAGTACGCTCGACCTGATGTGCCCTTCATCCCAGAAATCGATGACCCCGAAAAGGACAAGCCCCAGAGTCCCGAAATCCCCCGTGGGAATCTTCGTGTTCGGTGTCTTGTTGGAACCCAGAGACCCCGAGATTCCGTGAAAGAGGGGCTTAGGGCTTGGTGCTGCTTAAGCCGAAGCCCCTAGGCGGGAAGGAACAGAGATGCCAACAACCAACCTTTAAGGGAACTCTGACAATTTGAGGCTTTCATGTTGTAGGCCGTAGGCTTCGGGCTGTAGGGCTGTAGAGTTCGTAGACTGGTCCGAACAGCGGATCGCGTCTGCTCGCTTTAAGCAGCCATCGCAAAGACAAGACACACCTTGGAACATCCTAAACCCTAAACCCTAAACCCTAAACCGCGGCCCTATGGCAGCAACAGCAAACCCTCGAAGTGGACCCGCCCACACCCCACTAAGAAACCATTGGGGATCATAAGTCTGACACCCTGGACCCACACCCTAAACCACAGTAGATGTATATAGATGTATATAGATGTATAAGCTGTATGCATCTATACATATGTATATATATATATATATATACATACATAAATATACATGCATATGTTATAAAAGAAATAGCGAAGAACAATCATCGAGCCCGGTGACGTGGCCGGCCGCCCGGCGCAGAAAGACCTGCCCTCGAGAGCGCCTGGGCCATCGTTGCTTGCTCTTCGAGGGTATCCCCAGAGGCCTTATAGTAGCTCCTTTTTGGGATTACCTTTGACGAAGTTTCTAAATATGTACCCCAACAAGGAACTCCTTAAAGCCTTAGGTAGGCTTTATGAGTTTGAAGATAGGACTGTGTGGCGTGCTTCTCTGGTGTAGCAGGGAGGGCTTAAGAGGGTTTCAAAGGGCGTAACAGATTTGCAAGTGTTCGTGGGACTCATCGGGCTCAATAGGCTTTCAAAGGATTTCGCGGTATGTTGTGGGGTCATGAGGTTCATGGCTTGAGGGCCTTGTAAGCTTTACGGTTCAGGTTCAAGGGCTTAGGAAGCCAGAAAAGACAACCCTGGGTCCCATGCCATGGCTATAAATTTGGGTACATACTTTTCCGTATTGCAGATTCCAAGCATGAAGCTAAGCACCTTCGAAAAGGGATGGGGCATGGCCCTGGCTCGAGGGTTCCTCCTGTGTTCGAGGTTTAGAGCTTTTCAACTTCCGCGTCTCGAGTTCAGAGCTTCAGGTCTACTGTACACAATAGGGGCCTTAATGATTGGAATAGGTTTTGGGGCCCATGATACTATACTTATAACAAGGAACCCCCCAAAACAGTATAGGTAATTGTCTAGGCCCCTACACTACTGTCACATTCCCATAAGCGTGCTATCACGAACCTGACTTGGAAAAGGGTAGCTTGGGGTCTTTAAGGTTGGGGGCTCAAAGGCTCACGGCTTTAGGATTGAGGGCCTTAAGGTTTAGGGTTGCGGGGCTTAGGACCTACTTGGTTGTAGGATTTCTGTCGACTGCCGGTATCATGTCCACGTAGCGTTCCACGAATATGCATGGGGCTTCTGCACGGAACGATGCCCTGTTTCAACTGATACCTGCGTGCTATCCCTAACTCTCCATTGGAGGTCTACAGTCTATGACTGGTACCTCATGTAGGGGCCAAAAAAGTTAGAATGGGAGTTTTGGGCTCCTGTATAGTATAGTCAGTATAGTCATGATAAAGAAACTGATAATAATACTCGTAATGCTTTTGGCTTCCGTCCACAGAAGCCCCGGCATGAGGTGTTCGGGCGGTCTTAGTTGGGCTCTACCTCGGGCGCTCGCGTGGCTTCGGGCGTGCGCTTCCAAGACAAGGGTTGACCCTCTTAGAGCCTCTGAGTTCCTTTGGAAGATATAATACCTACAGTCTCCATTTTAGTTCCCTTTTTGGGTTAACCAGTGTTATGGTTAGGATCCTATAATAGAGATTTAGGTTAACCAACAAAAGGAACTACAATGGAGACTATAGGTATGATATATTTATACCTACACCCAAAACCAAAACACCACAGCCTACAGGACACTTTGGACACGGCAGAGCCTCGAGGAGAATTTGCCTTCGCCGGCGTAAGCCCTCCATGGAGCGAAGCTCCTGCAAACAGATGTGGTTGGAGTTTAGGCTTTAAGGATTTAAGGTTTTGGGTTTAAGGGCTCAGTGTCTAGTGGCTTACGGTGTCGGGGGAAAGGCTTTCTTGCGGCCCTGATTGACCGAAAGTAGGTGCTGCTTACATAGCGGCATCATTTGCATGCTTGGAGCCGCAAGGTTTCCGATGCCAAACAGGTAGTGGGTTTAGGGTTCCGTGTATCAGGGTCTGAGACGTGTTTGTCCAGGATCTTGGGTGTTACATGCATCCATCCATACATACATACATGCATACATACATAGGTACCTACGTACGTACGTACATACACATACGCATACGCATACACACACATACACACAAGCAGACACAGACACAACCACCGACACAGACATACACCTGTACATATACATATACATGTACATATATATATATATATATGTACATACATGTGTATATATATATATACACACATGCACATCTACATCTACATACACATACACAAACACACACACACACAAACACACACACACACACACATGCATATACACTGCACACACATACATGCGTGCGTACATACATGTATACACACATTTACCCATACATACATTTACACATACATACATTTACACACCTACCTACATAAATACATACATGCATAAATACATGCATATACATCTACTAGGTTATACACTCTGTATGTAGATTTAGATATACACATATTTATATGCACACACATTTCTGCATTGTATGTAGCAACACGGATCCTCGACACTTGCACTGGAGTCTCTGGGAAGTCTATAGCAATCCTGAGGCAGGGATGCCGCCAACCTTTGGACGACTGCACCTCGCGGAGGGCTCTAGGATGCTTCCCGGGCCTAGTGTTCGGGATTTTAGAGTTTAGGTGTCTAGGGAGTTTCACCTGTCTAAGGTGTTCGGGTGCATTGCTCTAGGGCTCGGATGGAACCAGAGACGTGGGACAGTTCGGAATGAGCCGATGGACTTGCATCAATACCGAAACCCAAAACACTCAAAGATCCGAACAACATACTTTATGAAGGAATGGCCTTCAAATCATAAACGGCTCCGTGTGTTATCAGAAATCCTGCTTTAATACGCGATGAGTGATGTTGGAGTGCCGAAACCTCGCTTGGGGGATGCTGCATTGCAGTGTCTCCAAACTATATATATATATATATATATATATATATATACATACACACACACACTTTCCATATGTGTATGCATATATATATATATATGTAGATGTATGTATATATATATATATATATATATATATATATGGTGACCAACACGCTTGCCCCCCCCCCCCACCCCCCCCCCCAAGATCTACGCTTTCGTGGTTCTTGGGGCATGGGGCGCACGAAACACTGTCATGCTCAAAAAACTCCAAAATTCCAACCTCAGAACTCACGAAACGCTGCAATGCTCAAAACTACGGCCAGGCCACGCACAGAGTCGTGAAAATTTGAAATTAATTGAGCATTACAGTGTTTTCGTGTCTACTTGGAGGTTTTCTTGGGCAGTTATAAGTGGGGTTATAATTAGTATCACTATGGTAAAAACCGCTATTATGGGGGACTTACAACCCCATTTATAACTACCCATGAACCTCCAAGTAGAGCACCACGACGCGTCGTGGCGACAACGACAGAGGAGCAAGATGACCCCGCAGTCCAGGACGACAAGGAAGACCAAGAATATTTATTTAGTTCCCCAAGAAGCCACAGAAATAAAAAGGTTGAACTTTGCGATCCCTACTATACTAAACTGCAAGAACGGAAAAGGTTTAAAGGTTGGGCATTGGGGAACTAAGAATGCCAGGATACAGCGATGACCACAAGCGCCGACCAGGAGAACGGCCAAGAGAGCACCAGGATAATCCACGAGACCCCGAACACCGGACACCAACCAAAAACCAGAAGCAGGAAACTACTAGCAGCAGCCAGAAGAACACTCGGACAACACTGACGGATTCAGAGACATGACCACCATGGTGCCCCGGGGAGTCCATTGACCAAGGATCCATATCATGTAAACACAATAAAGAGCCTATCGAAACCTCTCAAGCGTCGCAAACTCTAAGGCAGTAGACCCTGATCCCCAAAGCCCGAAAGCCCCAAAAACCCTAGACACGCCGCTGCTAAGCACTCGAGCCCTCCACCATGCAAACCTGTAATCCCAAGAGATTACAACTTCACCGTAAAATCCTACACCCCCAATCCAATAAAGTCCTAAACCCCTAAGAGTCTTGATGGGTGGGCGCCTGCAGATCCCGTGGGCCATGCGGCCCCCAGCAAAGGGCGGATGCCCTCGCCGAGGGCAACCTTTGGTGAACGGTTTTAAGCTTTAACCCGATTCACCACTGACACCCTGGGTCTCTGGGGTTGGCATGTTCCGGATGTCGAGCTTTGGTCTTGGGGTTCGGGGCGAGCGCAGGGCGCAGAAGCCCTCAAATTTTCCATTTGTTCATGGTCATCGTGCAAAAGCCTTCCAAAACTGGGGGGGCAGCATACTGCGCCCGCAGCGCGCGGGCGGAGGTCCAGGCACCAAAAAGGTCGCCAAAGACCTTGGGTTGCGACTGTCGCATACATACATACATACGTACATACGTAACATGCATACATACATACATACATACATGCACACGGACAGACGGACGGACGGACGGACAAACATGCGTGTGCACACACGCACATGTATAATGGAGGCAAAGAGAGATAGACAGACATGTGTGTGTGTGTCTTTCTATGTCTATATCTGTTGCTATAGCAATAGCTGTATTCACATCTGTCTATATATAGAGATACAGATATATAGATATTCACACGTGTTTATCTGTTTATATACGGATGCATTCATGGGTGTGGTTGCTTGTTTGGCTGGTTTGCTTTCTTGCTTATGTACTGCCTTGTGTTTTTGTGTGCCCTTCAAGGGCAATGGCTTGGAGTTTATAGGGATTCGGGGTCTGATGATGTTGAAGAACAGTGCTGATAGGAAGTTAGATCTGCCTCAAGCTATCACAGAGCTACCGTCGCACACGTATGCTACTATGGTATTTTAATGCAGGATTGAGCACCCTAGAGTCTACGTCGGGGTCTTTAAGGTTGGGGTTGGGGAGAATGCGATATAACACACGAGGGTAGCAATGTGGGATTCAACATCATGGGCTTGCGACGTTACACTCTCAACCCAAACCCTGAAGCCCTTAACCCCAAACCCTTGAAAGAGGCCGGATAGTAACCCTTTTCACGGAAAAGCCCAAACCCCTCAAAAAAACAAAAACACCTACCGAATCTTTGGGACATTGTCGAGGAATTTGGGATTCGAGGTTAGGGTTTAGGGCTTCAAGGGTTTACACGGCTTAAAAGACTTGTGAAGTTCATATGGTACATTTAAGCTTTAGAAGGCTTCGGCTGTCCACGATCGAAAAAAGCACACTCTACCCAGACCCTCCATCTACGCTCTATTAGACCCTAAATGCCCCTTATTTGGGACCAGATACCCCTATTTGAGGGTACAAGGAGGGTCCTACTCTACCTGGAGGCTCCATAGTAGTTCCTTTTTTGGGGTTTAGAATCCTTTAAGGTAATCCCAAAAAGGAACTACTTCGGAGCCTTTGGGTAGACAGAATTGTAAGCCTATGTTCAAGACTGGCTCTGGCCTTTACAACAGGAAGGGCAAAGCAGGAAACAGGGTTTAGGGTTTACCTTAGAAGGGGCCCCCACCCTGCAATAGTGGTATGATAGGAATATAATAGGGCCCTAATATAATCCTTATAGTCACGGTTACAGGGTGGGGGCAGCTTCTAAGGTTTACCTTAACCCTGAATAACCTACCTTTTTAAGGCTCCTTATGATAATTTTTCGTTATACAAGCCCTTAGATACATGTAGGTTCTTCGGGGTTAAGGTAGGGTTTAAGGGCCTGTGCCCGAAATGCTAAGCCCGTCAATCTCTGAAGCCGCCCAGCCGCGGCGCAGTGCCGGCAGTGGGTGAGAACAGGCAAGCCTTTGTGGTCTCTGGTGTTTTGGGGTTTAGAGAAATTCCTGCGCCCTTGAACCTGGCCCTGTTATCTGAATCCAACATAGATCGGTAGATAGGTAGGTATGCGGTTGGCAGATAGCTTAGACGGTTGACCTTTCGAAATTGGGGTAATCTTAGGGCCACCCAAAGAAAATGAAAGTTAGGGACTCAAGCTACGAGAAGTACCGCTACCCTCCACGTTGATGGATGTGTGCCAGGAAGAAGATGATGCCTGAAGCAGTTCCCTAGGGATCTAAGGACTCATATATTAGGCTTTTTGGGCCCAAAGACCATACTATAAAAGGCTTTGGGGCTATTTCGATCCCTAGGGGTTGAGCGAAGAACAACTTCCCAGGCGTCCTTTGCGTTACTTTGTTACGCTCACACACCCCAAGAGAGTCTGAGAGGTAGGGTTCTGAGGGTTCCGCAAAGGCTCCAGATGGGCTACTATGAGGTCGGTTGAAGAGTAGCCCCTTGACCCACCCACTGCGTTGCTGCAGAAGCCTGAATTCAAAACAAATTGCAAACCTCAAAGCCCTGGACGCCCAAATCCCTCAAGCCTAGCGCGGTAAATGCCGAGTCTTGCAAAACCGCAGAGGCTAAACCCGAACGAGCACCCTTACTCTCTAAAAGAATGAACTCGAAAGGGGAACTCCGGAACAAGAACAAGTCTTCCACCACGAGTTTTCACGCACCGGGCCCTCTGAATGAGCTGTTTCATTTGTGTAGAGTCCTGTTTCGGTGTGTAAACTTTCGAGGGTTGCAAAACAGTAGGTCATGGTAGCTGCACTGCCCTCAGAAGGTAAGGAGCATGTGCAAATTTGGATATAAATATGGGTGGTTGTCAAAATTATGGTCCCTTGTTGGGTCCCTAGTATAATACGGCACCTATTATTTAGAGTACCCAAAAGGGGACCTTAATTTTGACAACTACCTATATATATATATATATATATATGTGGCATGGACCTTTAGGGTCTATTTGGCAATGTGGTTTGTTTAGGGCTTAAGAAGCAGTCAACCAAGACCACAGCGACTGCGACGACAACGACGATGAGAACGACAAGGACGATGACGACGACAAGGACCATGACGACGACAAGGACGATGACGAGAACGACGTAATGACGGTCGGCCCCAAGGCTTTATTTTTCCTTCTACCGCGTAGCAGAGCTGAAGGCTTCTTAAAAATCTACGATGCACGAGTGCCAAACATGGGCCCTGAGTCTCAAGGATCTATAGGGATTCTATAAGGGTATCAGGTTTAGGGCTCTTCTCGGAGCTTCATGGGTAGTTATAAGTGGGCTTCTTAGTAGGGTAGCCATAGTTATAACCCATATTAAAAGACCTATAACGCCACTTATAACTAGCCATGAACCTCCAAATGTCTGCGTGCTCCGCCTCTACGTACCTGTCGGTTAGCTCTGAAGGATTTAGGGATTTCGGTTTTGGGTTTAGGCTTCTGGGATATGTTGCACTACAAGGAACCTCAGGGCACATAGCTACTCTATGTGAACGCAGCCGTCGGCATCGATCACTTGTCCAAGGCTGTCCAACGTGTAGACTTCCTCACAGTGAAATGATGAACCACCGAAAGAGGGTAGAAGTGTGCAAGTCCTGGGAGGCTTCGATCATCTCACCAGGGTCGCGCGTCTCGTAGACTTCCTGACAGTGAAGTGATGAACCCCCGAAAGAGGGTAGAAGTGTGCAGGTCCTCGGAGGCTTCGATCATCTGTTCAGGGTCTTCCGTCTCGTAGACTTCCTGACAGTGAAGTGATGAACCCCCGAAAGAGGGTAGAAGTTTGCACGTCCTGGGAGGCTTCGTTCTTCTGTTCAGGGTCTTTCGTCTCGTAGACTTCCTCACAGTGAAGTGATGAACCCCCGAAAGAGGGTAGAAGTGTGCAGGTCCTCGGAGGCTTCGATCATCTGTTCAGGGTCATCCATCTCGTAGACTTCCTGACAGTGAAGTGATGAACCCCCGAAAGAGGGTAAAAGTTTGCACGTCCTGGGAGGCTTCGTTCTTCTGTTCAGGGTCTTTCGTCTCGTAGACTTCCTCACAGTGAAGTGATGAACCCCCGAAAGAGGGTAGAAGTGTGCAGGTCCTCGGAGGCTTCGATCATCTGTTCAGGGTCGTCCATCTCGTAGACTTCCTGACAGTGAAGTGATGAACCCCCGAAAGAGGGTAAAAGTTTGCACGTCCTGGGAGGCTTCGTTCTTCTGTTCAGGGTCTTTCGTCTCGTAGACTTCCTCACAGTGAAGTGATGAACCCCCGAAAGAGGGTAGAAGTGTGCAGGTCCTCGCAGGCTTCGATCATCTGTTCAGGGTCGTCCATCTCGTAGACTTCCTGACAGTGAAGTGATGAACCCCCGAAAGAGGGTAGAAGTGTGCACGGGGTCGTCCGTCTCGTAGACTTCCTGACAGTGAAGTGATGAACCCCCGAAAGAGGGTAGAAGTGTGCAAGTCCTGGGAGGCTTCGATCATCTGTTCAGGGTCGTCCATCTCGTAGACTTCCTGACAGTGAAGTGATGAATCTCCGAAAGAGGGTAGAAGTGTGCAAGTCCTGGGAGGCTTCGTTCTTCTGTTCAGGGTCGTCCGTCTCGTAGACTTCCTGACAGTGAAGTGATGAACCCCCGAAAGAGGGTAGAAGTGTGCAAGTCCTGGGAGGCTTCGAGCATCTGAAAGATCTCGTAGACTTCCTCACAGTGAAGTGATGAACCCCCGAAACAGGGTAGAAGTGTGCAAGTCCTGGGAGGCTTTGTTCTTCTGTTGAGGGTCTTTCGTCTCGTAGACTTCCTCACAGTGAAGTGATGAACCACCGAAAGAGCGTAGAAGCGTGCAAGTCCTCGGAGGCGTCGAGCATCCGAAAGAGGGTAGAAGTGTCCAAGTCCTGGGAGGCTTCGCTTATAATTCTAAGAACTACTTTAACGGCTCCTTAAAGAATCCCTTAAAGAATCCGTTAAAGAATTCTTCAAAGGAACCCTTATTTGGATGCATAGACACTCAAGGACAAAGAAACGAAAGCACAAACCCACGCCTCCGTGTTATGGAAAGAACTCCAAAACCCTATTCTAACTACCAAGGCCTCTATATGGCAGTAGGGGTTTGCTTGGAATGTCACAGAAGCCGGTCTGCGACCCCTGAGTCGCAAGCCAACCTCGAGGAGTCGCTCGGCACGCGCTCGGTCCTTGCCTTACTCAGAATGCAGTGGTTTGTTCGATCCGATGAGCAACGCCTCCGGCCTTCTTGCTTCCTTCTGCCACCTGTCGAAACAAGCTGTGAATGGCATTCCAATGAGTTCCGGCGGTCTGCGACCCCTGAGTCGCAAGCCAACCCCGAGGAGTCGCTCGGCACGCACTCGGTCCTTGCCTTACTCAGAATGCAGTGGTTTGTTCGATCCGATGAGCAACGCCTCCGGCCTTCTTGCTTCCTTCTGCCACCTGTCGAAACAAGCTGTGAATGGCATTCCAATGAGTTCCGGCGGTCTGCGACCCCTGAGTCGCAAGCCAACCCCGAGGAGTCGCTCGGCACACACTCGGTCTTCGCCTTACTCAGAATGCAGTGGTTTGTTCGATCCGATGAGCAACGCCTCCGGCCTTCTTGCTTCCTTCTGCCACCTGTCGAAACAAGCTGTGAAGAGCTTTCCAATGAGTTCCGGCAGCGGCTATGGCGAGCGTGGCTAGCAGCTGTAACAATGATGCAAGCAATATTTGCAACTCAGAGAAGCCTCTACACCCTGAGCCCAAAACCCTAAACCCCTAAACCCCAAACCCCTAACCCTTAAACCCCTAAACCCTAAACCCCAAAACCCCCAAACCCAAATCCCCAAATAACCGCTTTCTTTCGTCGGCTCAGAGTCAAGGGTATTATACAGACCTTCCAAAATCCTTTCATTAAGGAAAATACCTTAAATTATAGTAGGATCCCTAATGTGAATTAAGGTATATTCCTTAATTACGGGATTTTGGAAGGTCTGGGTATACAGGTCTGCGACCCCTGAGTCGCAAGCCAACCCCGACGAGTCGCTCGGCACACGCTCGGTCCTCGCCTTACACAGAATGCAGTGGTTTGTTCGATCCGATGAGCAACGCCTCCGGCCTTCTTGTTTTCCTTTGCCACCTGTGGAAAGAAGCTGTGGATGAGTTCCGGCGGTCTGCGACCCCTGAGTCGCAAGCCAACCCCGACGAGTCGCTCGGCACAAGCTGGGTCCTCGCCTTACTCAGAATGCAGTGGTCTGTTCGATCCGATAAGCAATGCCTCCGGCCTTCTTGCTTCCTTCTGCCACCTGTCGAAACAAGCTGTGGATGGCTTTCCAATGACTTCCGGCGGTCTGCGACCCCTGAGTCGCAAGCGGAACCACGCGGAGAGCAGGCTTTTGCCTTAGTTAGAATGCAGTGGTTTGTTCGATCCGACGAGCAACGCCTCCGGCCTTCTGGCTGGCTTCTGTCACCTGTTGAAACAGGATGTGGACCGCTTTCCAATGAATTCCGCCAGTCCGCGACCCCCTGAGACGCAAGCGTACCCAGGCGGAGGGTGGTCGGGCTCGCGCGGCGTCCTTGCCTTAGTCAGAATGCAGTGATCTGCTTGGCTCGTTGAGCAACGAGTTTGTTCCGAGTCCTGGACTCGCTTCCTTCCGCGGTCCTGGCCGCAATGGACAAGAAACACATATCTTGATGCATTTCCCCGGCTCAGGCAGCAGCCAAGTCGTACCAGGTCGTTCGAGCTGCCAGCACGAGTGCTGGCAGCCAGATGGCCTGGTCGAGATGCTGCTGCCCTAAACCCTAAACCCTACAGCAGAAGCCAGAAAGTTGGAATATGATTCTCCTAAGCCTTGTATGGTAAATTATAAGGTATCCTACCCTGAAACCATATTCCAACTTTCTAGCTTTTACCTTAAACCGCAGGTCCACGGCGGGTCGAGATGCTGCTGCCCTAAACCCTAAACCCTACAGTAGAAGCCAGAAAGTTGGAATATGATTCTCCTAAGCCATGTATGGTAAATTATAAGGTATCCTACCCTGAAACCATATTCCAACTTTCTAGCTTTTACCTTAAACCGCAGGTCCCCGGCGGGCACTCGGCCGTACCGGAACGCCTTCGGCAGGTCCTTGCAAAAAGATGGTGTTTGTTTGTCTAGGTGCGAAGTGTTCCGAAGGCCCGAGGGTCGGGCCATGTCGTCGAAGCCCTTGCTGGCCCGACCCCGTGTGTGAGCAATAGTAGCATCGCGGCGCAGCCAGGGTCTGTACTCGGTCCAGCTACAACTACTAGTACTACTACGACTACTACGGTTGATGATATAAATCCTGCATTACCCATAATAAGGGATATACCATAATTCCTATAGTTTAGGGTCCTGAAGGTAATGCAGGATTTATATCATCAACAGTAGTATTACTTCACATGCCCGGCAGTCTGTTCGTGTGTGAGCGCCAACAAGAGCTCTGGAAGCTTCAGCAAGTCTCAGGAACTGCTACAACTCTATTCAGAAACAGCCCAAACCCGTCCGAAGCCGTTCCGAAGCGTCGAACAATAGCAAAGTGCAGGCTTCACAATTCGAAGGACCGAAGAGGTCTCGATAATCATCTCACCATTCTGGAGGCCAGAAAACGCAAGGAGAGATGCCCTGTATTAAACAGGCCACCAGCGATTCCAAATATACCTCTACTACTACTACTACTACTACTACTACTACTACTACTACTACTACTACTACTATGCGAGAACTTATGTATAGATAATAAAGGGCTGCTGCTCTGTGTCTGATACGTATTCATGCACATAAGAGTGCGCATGAATGCATGTGTATGCGAATATGTATAGTTTTCTTTAGGCAGTTAGTTCGTGACCATCCCGCGCTCCCGGTTGTTGTACTTGAAAAATTTTGAAACATCAGTTGTATGGAGTTTACAGTGTCCTCTAGACCGTTGCGGACAGTGAGACGTTCAGGGTTGGGACTAGGGTGGCTGGGCTGGAGCCAGGGGCTGTGGGGCTGGATAAGAATTGAGAGGGCAGGACTGCAACTGCGGATGAGGGCTAGGAGGTTGTAATGTTTGAAAAAGCAGAGAGCAAGCACAAAGAAAACGTTGCTAATTAAAAATATGTGCTAGATATCTAAGATTTTTGCGAGTTTATATAGCTTTTCCTTAGGACGCTGGTCTGTCACTATACAGTGCTCCTGGTTGTCGTACTTAAGAAATTTTGAAACAGCAGTTGTATGGAGTTTACAGTGTTCTCTAGACCGTTGCGGACAGTGCGTCGGTCAGGGTTCGGCGTAGAGGGGATGGGCTGGAGCCAGGGGCTGTGGGGCTGGATAAGAGTTGATAGGGTAGGACTGCGAGCTGGGAATGAGGGCTTGGAGGTTGTAATGTTTGAACAAGCAAAGATCAAGCGCAAAAAAAAACACTGCTAATTAAAAATATTTGCTAGATATCGAAAATCTCTCATGTTTATATAACTTTTCCTGCGGACGCTGGTCCGTCACTATACCGTGCTCCTGGTTGTCGTACTTAAGAAATTTTGAAACAGCAGTTGTATGGAGTTTTCAATCTCTTCCCACGATATTCATATGAAACTATTGAATACTCCAAAACTTTAACAATCTATATGGCTGCTCCATGCTCCTCCATAGGAAGTTGCTGTTCAATGTTTCGAGCTTTCACACTTAAAAAGATTTTCAACCAGCAGTTGTATGGAGTTTTCAATCTCTTCACAAGATTTTCATATAAAACGATTGAAAACTCCAAAACTTTAACATTCTATACGGCTACTCCATAGGACGTTGCGATTGAGTGTTTCAAGCCTTCAGACTTAAAAGGATTTTAAACCAGCAGTTGTATGGAGTTTTGAATCTCTTTCATATAAAACGATCGAATACTTCAAACCTTTAACAATCTATTCCCTACGAAGTTGCTGTTCAATGTTTCGAGCCTTCACACTTAAAAAGATTTTCAACCAGCAGCTGTATGGAGTTTTCAATCTCTTCCAAAGATTTTCATATAAAACTATTGATTACCCCAAAACTTTAACAGTCTATATGGCTATTCCATAGGAAGCTGCAAAATTGCTAAAAGCCTCTTACCACATATATGAAACTACCGCATGTAACGTAAAAGTGACGAAAACGTATAAGGAAAGTCACATTCTCTCTCAGAGCTCAGGTTTCATGACCCTTGCTTGCAAGGACAAGTACGTTGTAGGACATTGCAGGGCCCGCAGTCTGCCAGGCACTTTTCCATCATCCGAAACCTGTGACTGCAAGCGGAGTGTGCTAGAAAAATACATAAGTATTGCAAGACTGCGGTTTGTGCCGTGTGTCCACATATTTTGTCCGGCATATATGAAATCTGCTATGCATAGTACAACGGCTTTGCTATCTCACCAGCAACTGAGATGCCGTTTTTTCGTCTCCGGAAAAAACACCTTAGCCCTCGCTAAGGTACTTGGCCGTGGGGCTGTAGCACCGGTCCTGGTAGTCCCAGCGCCAGCCGACCGAAAAGTGCCGGATGGCACCGATAGGATGGAGTTCCTCCATCCGGGCAAAGGCAGTGATGAGTAGAGTTGGCCCGCCTAGAGTGTACTCCAAGCGGACCAACTTTCCTGCTTTTAAAGCATCGATCCTCACTACTTTGCCCGAAAGTCTCTCTTGAGGAGAGACATCAGACAGCTCACGGCACGGCGGCGTGTAGCGACCTGCAATGAAGCATCCGAGATTCTGCAGACGTTAAAATGGCACCCAAGACAATGCCTTCCAAACGCTCGATGGCTTTGCCAATGTTGGAATGAAGATCGTTCTCCTTGTTGGGCACATGCCCCAAAGCCTCAAGGACACGTATTTATAAAGACACTTACTTCAGGGCTTGGGTCTCTGTGTTACCTGCCTCGTCGAAGATTTCAGGAGTTACCGCGAGAAGCTGGCGACCCAGCCAGTCCGAAGGAATGCCGGGAGCATGGTTAGTGCTTTCCTTCCAGCGGGCCTCATGGAAAAAAAAATACGTCAAACCGTAAGAGCCAAAAAAAACACGACTCGTGCCTGAATGCATTCCTTTAGGAATTCCTGCTGCTCCCAGATCGTGCGCGAGGACTTCGGAGTCCTTAGAGAATTCCACAGGTCGGCTCTTGCTGCACCGGCAAGTGTAGCATTGTAGTGCAGCTAAAAATCTTGGACCACTCCGCCAGCCGTGCATGCCAAGCTTGTAGCAAGGCAAGAAGAGTCACACGGAGCGAGGCCCAGAGTTGCTCCGCTTTGGGAAGCCATGGTACTCCGTCACCGGGGGCCTCGCGAAGCCAGTTGTTTATGCTTTACAAGACTATGGCGTTAGAATAATCACAGTGGTTTGTAAGACGCGGACAGCGGCAGACGACGTCGCCTTGCGCTGACTTCCAGTCTTACCAGCTCGCCTGCCAGTCAACTGCGAGTTTACTTGCATTTCCACTCAACCTCGTTCGTCGCCAACCCTGCCTCTTGCCGTACCCTGAGACCCGCTGGGGCATCGCTACTTCGGCGTTACCCTCAACAAAAACAGTCGTGAGCTGCTTAGCAGATCAAGGCTGCGGCGGCCGAGGCGTGCAAGGCGCTGCCACATGTGCTGACATGCAGGTCTGGATGTCCGACCCTGAACGCAAACCTAAGGGAAAACACTCTTAACTCGATACAAACGGGAACTACTTTTTTAAGATCTATATAGCAAAATCTCATACTAGAAGACATACAAACAAGAACTATTGCTTCCAAAACTACATACAAAGGAATATCTTTGAGCATACTATCTTGTTCATTCACATCGAAAAAAGATTGATTCTACCGTCAGGGAGCTAGCTAACTATTGTTCTCATGCTTTGTAGCGTAAAAAAATCTACTGTGTCGGCATGGAGCAATTTTGGTACATGTCGATTCATATCACAAAAAAGCAGCGACTTCATTCGCGCACAAATATCTAACTTTCTAATGTTTGGCATAACAAAAACTATCATTTGCAGTCGTTTTATGCATGAAACTATTATCAAAATAAAAAACCGTCTAGCACTGAAATAACGAATTGTTGTTGTCGCGTCAATGCACACATGTGTTCCGCGCGAAATTCCAAAAAGTACTCACATCAGGGATCTTGGTTGGCTAAGATTCAAGTCCCGTTAAGCAAAAATCTGCATCTCGAGCCTCAATGTTGGATCTCGCAACATATCTCGCAGGCACATCACTCACGCATGTTTTCTCAAAGACACAAAGTCGCAAACTCGTCAAGTGGATGCTTCGCATCAACATGATTGTCATTGCCTGGATCGCACATATTGGCATAGGTCTTGAGAACTTCCACGACAACCAACATCAGAAATCTGGTTACAGTCTACTCATAGATCGCACACAATATCCTATTTCATCGAGCAACTTACGCAGCCGGTTTTCGGCCACGGACACCTGCTCGACGGAGGTTGTCCTGCCGATCCAACGTGTGAGGCGTTCGCCGTCTTTTCAATGAACTACTATGTACATTGCCTGCTGGTTTTTTGCGGACGCTTTCTTTGACTTTGGCACGCTCCTCTTCCCTCTGTGGGTGCAGCTGCAAGGGTGCTTTCTCGATCCTGGCATTGCCTTGCAGCTGCTCGCACCATTCCCTCCACTGCTCAGAACTCCACATTTCCTTGGAACACGTGCGAGCCAACACCTCTGCCTCAGCCATCTGACGAGTTGTCTCGTAATAAAGACTGGGCGGCCTTTAGCAGGGAATGAGGGAATGAGTGGGGCACGGCGCCAGCGCCGATCTTAGCACTGGGGCACTGCTTGGATGCGAAAGACATCGGCGACAACTCGCACTTCCTAGCACTGGGCACCGCTGCGAGGCCAAACCAACGGCAACAAATCATACTTCTTAGCACTGGGACTCCACTTGGAGGCCAAAAACGGCAACAAATTGCACCCATGTACAAGTCCAACGGATTTAAAATCCGTTGGACTTGAATTTGACGAGGTTCTAAACTGCCAAAAGACCCGCTGATGCACATGATGCTCGGCCCCTGCCCTCCCAGACACAAGTCCAACGGATTTAAAATCCGTTGGACTTGCGTCTGGGAGGGATTTAGCTGGAATTGAAGCCCGAAAAAGCCCACTGATGAAGGTCTTTCCACTCACATGTTACTATTTAATTGAGTACTAGTAGTCGTCGTCGTGGTAGTGGTAGGCCTGGTGGCGGTAGTCGTGGTAGCGGTAGTGGAAGTGGCAGTGGCAGTGGTAGGGGTAGTGGTAATGGTAGCGGTAGCAGTAGTGGCAGTGCTGGTGGTAGTGGTATAGTGGTAGCGGTAGTGGTAGTGGTAGTGCAGTTGCAGCAGTAGTGGGAGTAGTAGCAGTAGTAGCTGTAGCGGCAGTAGTAGAAAGGGTAGTAGTTGCAGTAGCAACAGCAGCGCCACAGCCCGGCCTTGTTATGCAGGTTTTTGCTTCACTTGGCGGGTTTGGGTGGTATACGCGGGAGTTTGAGCGGTGGGGTGGGATTCAGGCTTCAGGCTACTTGGAGGATGCTGGGGCTTAGTAACTCGGGCTATAAATAAGGTAACTAAACTTATAACTCCAACTAGGGTACTTATAACCTTACTAAGTCCCATGATCCTCCGAGTAGGGGTTGCGGTCGCAGGCAGCGCGAGAAATTCCGTTGGCCTTGCCTTCCTCCAGCGGTTCCTCTCTGGGCGGGCGGGTTTGGCGAGCAGCACTCGCGACGACCCGCCGCCTGCTCGGAGACCCCAAACCGGGGAGGCCAGGCCAACGGAACCTTCAAGGGCACCCGACCCTCACCCTAGCCCGAACCCTGGCATATGGGGCCGTGAGGTGGCTGGGGGATGCTGGGGGTGTGGCAGCGGCGGTGGGGAGGAAGGAAGGAAAACCGGAAAACCCTTGCAATGAACACGAAGGATACGATATGCTCGTGCGTGCAAACGAACCGGGGGAGCATCATACCCACGTCAAAAGCGAATTTCCACGCCTACCGAAGCGAGGCGAATTTCACACCCACCAAAAAAGAATTTCCACATCCACTTAAGCGACATCCTTACCAAACGTGTCGCCCGCTTCGCCCAAGGATTTTGCTGACCGAAACCCTTGTCTCAACACTGTCCAGGGCGGCCTGCGCTGTACTAAGAGAGAAGTTTGCTGTAGAGGCCAAGGCGCCTTGCGAGAGGCGTCTCGTGACCGAAACCTTCTTCTTAGTACAGTCCAGGGCGCCCTGGGTTGTACTAAGATAGGGTTCTGCCGACCGAAGCCTTTCTTAGTACAGTCCAGGGCGCCCTGGGTTGTACTAAGATAGGGTTCTGCCGACCGACGCCTTTCTTAGTACAGTCCAGGGCGCCCTGGGTTGTACTAAGATAGGGTTCTGCCGACCGAAGCCTTTCTTAGTACAGTCCAGGGCGCCCTGGGTTGTACTAAGATAGGGTTCTGCCGACCGAAGCCTTTCTTTAGTACAGTCCACGGCGCCCTGGGTTGTACTAGATAGGGTTCTGCCGACCGAAACCTTTCTTATAGTACAGTCCAGGGCGCCCTGGGTTGTACTAAGATAGGGTTCTGCCGACCGAAGCCTTTCTTAGTACAGTCCAGGGCGCCCTGGGTTGTACTACTAAGATAGGGTTCTGCCGACCGAAGCCTTTCTTAGTACAGTCCAGGGCGCCCTGGGTTGTACTAAGATAGGGTTCTGCCGACCGAAGCCTTTCTTAGTAAAGTCCAGGGCGCCCTGGGTTGTACTAAGATGGATAGGGTTCTGCCGACCGAAACCTTTCTTAGTACAGTCCAGGGCGCCCTGGGTTGTACTAAGATAGGGTTCTGCCGACCGACACCTTTCTTAGTACAGTCCAGGGCGCCCTGGACTGTAGTAAGAGAAAGGTGCAGCCGGCCCGAAGGTCAGAGTACGGATGATGGTGGTCAGGCATTCCTTGGGAGCAGGACAGCTCGCAAGCCCCCGACTGTACTAAGACAGGGGTACCGGTACCCTGACCGTACGGTCCAGGGCGCCCTGGACTGTACTAAGAGGGGTTTCGGTCGGCGGAACCGTATCTTAGTACAACCCAGAGCGCCCTGAACTGTACTAAGAAAGGTTTCGGTTGGCAAAACCGTATCTTAGTACAATCCAGGGCGCCCTGGACTGTACTAAGAAAGGTTTCGGTCGGCAGAACCCTCCCTTAGTACAACCCAGAGCGCCCCGGACTGTACTAAGACAGGGGTACCGGTACCCTGACCGTAGTACAGTCCAGGGCGCCCTGGGTTGCACTAAGATAGGGTTCTGCCGAGACTAAATAGAAATACATCGTGCAGTTAGAGCCTCGGGCTGGCCAGGCATTCCCTGGGAGCAGGACAGCTCGCAAGCTCCGGACTGTACTAAGACAGGGGTACCGGTACCCTGACCGTAGTGCAGTCCAGGGCGCCCTGGACTGTACTAAGAGAAGGGTACAGCCAGCCCAAAGGTCAGGGTACGGCGGCGCATCATCCGTACCCTGATCTTCGGGCCGGCGGTACCCTTACCGTAGTACAGTCCAGGGCGCCCTGGACTGTACTACGGTCAGGGTACCGGTACCCCTGTCTTAGTACAGTCCGGGCCTTCTGCGGCACTCTGTTCTCACTCACGCACGGGTTCCCTGACCAGACACAACCCTATCTTAGAACAACCCAGGGCGCCCTGGACTGTACTAAGAAAGGTTTCGGTCGGCAGAACCCTCCCTTAGTACAACCCCGGGCGCCCCGGACTGTACTAAGACAGGGGTGACCGTAGTACAGTCCAGGGCGCCCTGGACTGTACTAAGAAGGGTTTCGGTCGGCGGAACCCTATCTTAGTGCAACCCAGGGCGCCCTGAACTGTACTAAGAAAGGTTTCGGTCGGCAAAACCGTATCTTAGTACAATCTAGGGCGCCCTGGACTGTACTAAGAAAGGTTTCGGTCGGCAGAACCCTCCCCTAGTACAACCCAGGGCGCCCCGGACTGTACTAAGACAGGGGTACCGGTACCCTGACCGTAGTACAGTCCAGGGCGCCCGGGACTGTACTAAGAAAGGTTTCGGTCGGCGGAACCCTACTTCTAAGGGCGGGGTGGTTATAAATGATTACAGTGCTTAGCATGGTTAAGTATCTTGTGCAACCATGGTTATTATCATGGCTAAGTTGTTGTTAGTATACTTATAAGTAGGCTATGTTGCAGCAGTGCAGATGGCTTGTTTAGTAAATGGACGGGGTCATTTAACAATCAGATGTTGTTGCTTGTAAGTGATTAGACAGGATAGACAAGATATGGATATTTTACTTAGCCAAGTTAGCATACTTAATGCTAACTGAGGTCGTGCCATTTAGCACAATTAAGTAAACAGGCCAAGTGTGCTTAGGTGCTGTTCTTTTTGGTATATGTATCGATGCTCGCGGGCAGTATATTTTCGCCTGCAGGGCAATAAAGCTTTAATTCCACAGGCAGCCATGCCAGCAAACACTATATTTTTTTTTCATAAGATGCATGCATGCTCGCAGGCAGTATATACTTAGTTCGCCTGCAGGGCAAGAAGGGCAAGAAAACCATCATGTGACCATGTGTATATACCGACGAAGTTTCTCTGCTCGAGAACTCAGTGTACTTCTAGGTGGAACAAGGTGCAATGGCGCTGTCGCCTGAAGTTTACGGGGAAATCGCAGCCCTACTGCGGAAGACAGAGGGAGGCGAGTTCCTTGTGAAGTCGGTCGCCGACCTCTTCGTCGTTCTTCGCCGCTCTGGTTTGTTGACAGAGATGCGTATACCCCCACTTTCAGTGGGGGTTCACCCGCAGAACCGGGACGGGTTGATGTTGAATGCGGGCGACGTACACCAGCTCCTCGACAGCATCGCTCAGGTGGGCTTTGTGCCTGCCCGTGTGGATGCCATCGGCATCGATATAGGCTCGGACGACCACCGCATCTACAACCAACGAATGGTTGATGGTGCCGGTGGCTCGCTTGGTACCATGGACAGCAAACTCCTCAAAGTACCCAGCCTGTCAGCATCTCATACTAACTTTGCCCTCAGACTGGTGGCATGTTCGGCTCGCCACGAGTCGACAGAGCTTTCTGTGAATGGGATGCTAAGCCTTCAGCAAGTCAGGGCTCGAGATGCAGCCCTGGCAGAACACGTGGAGCTTGGGCTTACTTGGCGAGTCATTTCCAAAGAAGTCGGCGAGGCTTTTCCCAGCATTGTCCAGCTCGTTCAAGCATCACAGAATGCGACATTGCAGAAGAGTGAGAGTGAACTCCAGCTTCTTCGCCGCATCTTCTCTTTGGCAAGCCGTGAAAGCTCCCCGGACATCAAGAAGGTGGCCCTGAGCTCGAAGCCACCGTGTGGCGATTGCTTTCCGGCTCTCTACAGTTTCGCCCTCCGCTTCTGCGGGGGGGCGGACGGCGGCTTTCTACGAGAAAGCGAGATCTTCGTCAGGAGCTCAGGCCAAACAAGAGCTTTGGGATTGCAGTTCTGGGAGGTGCTCTCCCAAGACTTCAAGAAAGGCCAGGAGCAGATCCCTCATTTCCGGCATGCATTGCTGAAGCTGGCTTTGTCAGGGGGTGGGATCACCGCAAGCACAGCTCGGAAGATGTTCGCCCGAGACTGCGAGAAGAAGGTTCTGGAGGGGAACCAAGTGTTGTGCGAACTTCGGGAGCTCATGGTCAAGAAGGGTGTTGACGTCTTCAGGGATGTCAGCTTCGTGAACATCTTGGGAGTGGTGGACATGAATGTCGTGAGGCTCTGCCTTGGGCTTCCTCGTGCCGAGCAGGAGAAAAGCTATAGGGCCGTCCAAGGCATCGCACACGATGCTTGCCT